AGAGACAATACCTTTGTTTTCTCACGCGAAATAGGCAATAGCCATCTTCCGACCATCTAACAACGAGATCTAAAGCCATCTGTACCTTTTCTTTATCTGCGCGCTCAATGACTGCACTATAGATTTTAAAGTCATCAGCGAAAGCACAGCATCCAACACCAGCTCCCAGCACTAGGTCAGGAAGGTCATAAGTATAAATATTGAACAAGTTTGGGGATAGAACCCCGCCTTGAGGCACTCCACTCAGCATAGGTCGTAGACTAGAAAAGCTTCCATTAACTCGGACTGTAAATGAACGTCCATGCAAGAAGGCTTCAATCCAGGCTATAACCTGGGGATGGATGCCAATCATTTTTAGCTTGACTATAAGTTTGGTATGAGAGACCTTGTCAAATGCTTTAGTAAAATCTAGGTAAATGACATCAACCCCTTTGCCTGCGTCTAATGCCCGAGTCCAGTCATTCAGCGAATGCAACATCGCCGTAACCGTTGATTTGCCTACTTGAAACCCATGCTGAGCGTTAGAAATGACGCCACGACTGGTTAGATGATTAACTATTCTTTTCTTTAACACTTTCTCTAACAATCTAGCAAAAACGGAGGTAATACTTATAGGCCGGTAGTTTTTAGGGGAGGTGTGAGGCTTCTTTTTAGGTATGGGAGCTATATACGATATTTTCCATCTGTATGGAACTTCTGCACTAATCAAGCTCAAGTTAAATATGAATTGCAGGGGTTTCGCAATGATATGGGCAACCTCTTTGATGAATCGATGAGGTATATGGTCAGGGGTTAGAGATTTTGATTTTGACCATCTACGAAGAAGTTCAAAAATCTCACTTTCATCAAAATATACAGAGTCCATAGCTTCAAATCGCGGTGTAACATTTTCGGAAACACTTGATTCATCTCTCTGAAAAACCTTTTCGAACACATCTGCAAAACACTCTGATTTTTTAGGATCAGTATTCATGGCTGTACCATCATCAGCCAAGAGAACTCCCAACTTGGTCCTCTCTTTAAGCCTTGAGTTAAGGAGCTGGTAGAACGCTGATCTGTTTCCACTGTTTATAGATTTCTTTTCCAGGTAAGCCTGATATTTTTTCAATCGCTTCAAGTATTTATGATTTATCCTTTTGTATAATGTAGAAGCAATTCCTCTTTCATTAGATCTAGCTTTATACCAGGCTTTAGCTCTAATACGCGAAAGTGTTACAAGATGTTTCGGAATGCTCGGCGTATTTCGCGATACAGATATGAGCGGCACGTAAAGTTCAATTGTGTGTTGAAGGATAAAAATCATCATCTCATACATATCATTGAGTGAGCCTGCTGCATGAAAGGAGCCTAACCAGTCAATTGTTTCCAGATAGCTGATAGCTCCTGCCATGTCGGCATTTTTAAAGTCCCTTCTCAAAACACATTTGGCTTTTGTTCTACATAGGTCCTCCAAACGAAAACTTATCAAGGCATGGTCACTAGAGCCCACCGGTGGATTTACCAGGACATCCTTTATTAATTCTTCATCAATGGTTAAAATCAAGTTTAGTATGCTCTTCCCCAGCGTGCAGGCGGTTACTTTTTGAACAAGCCGATGATTTAAACACATATTCATGAACAATTTAGCTGCAGGACTTGCTTTGCAAAATTGAAAAGAATTCCAATCAATTCCAGGAAGATTGAAATCCCCCATCAGTACTGATGGGTAGCCGCACGCTATGAGATCCGTAATAGCTTTGATCATTTGCCTAATGTTTCGAGCTGTGCATGACGGCGCCCTATACACAAGTATAAAACGCATTTGCTGGCGACTGGTTACAATATCGGAGCAAATCAATTCATATTCATCAACGACTGATTCAGAAAAAATCAATCGTGGATACAGTTCCCTACTAATCAATATGGCCACCCCTCCTCCTATTTTAGCCTCTCGATCACACCTAAATACTTCAAAAGAATTATGAAAGTTTCCCAAGATAGGCAAATCACTGATGGTACTTTTAAGCCATGTTTCAGTAAGGCAGACTATCCAGGCAGGAGAAGAGCGAAGAACAAATGTGAGGGGCAGTGCATTTTTAGAAAGAGATCTTATGTTTGTTAGGAGGCACGGAATTGAACTATCTATCTTCCGAGGAAAAATCACATGTTTAAATCATTGCTACAACGAGACTGCAAATTACGTGAAGAAATGTCAATTCTATTACTCGAATGAGGGGTGGGATTTGATGAGATATGATCATGATCAACGACAAGCGAAGAACGATTAGGCTCATGACTGCAATCTACCTTTTTCTTCCTTTCCTCAGGGGGAAGGGAAGGTCTTATATATAAACCTTGCCTCTAGGGGAAATATTTCAAACGAGAAGCACGCCTGAGCGTGAGCCTAACAAAGTAGGAGGATGGCATAAGAACATTTAGTAGCCTATCACGATTAGCACTCGGTTTACCCATGCGGTATACCGCAATCGGGCGACAATCTATCGATAAAAATTCCATTATTTGACCCACACAGTTGAAGTCGTTGTTGATCCTTTGACTACTGTTTCCATAACGGTATTCGGGTACTCCAATAAACACGAGCGAACGCTGCCTTTCGAGCTCTTCATATGTGGAGGCATGTGGTGGGGGGCTCATTGAAGTCGGCGGGCTGGTGCTGGAACTATTGACAATTTTCTTCAGATCAGAATTTTCCGCTCTCAGCTTCGCCAGCTCTTCTTTTAGAAGCCTAACGTCGTCGCGCAACTCACTATTACACTGGAGAATAGCATCCGTTTCTTTACGACTTTCCAACAAAATTGAAATAATGGCTCGAGCGTAAACAGCCAAACCGTCATCCTTGGCCAGATCGGCCGCCTGCAGTAGATCGGGTGACGCGCGTGGTGATTCGGCCAAATCCAAACGTCGCTTCTTCCAGCGATCCGCAGGAGGAACAGGATAAGACGGCGTATCCATAAGTTTAGAAGAAAGAATAGCAGTAGCGATTATCAGCGTCGAAGGAAAAAAATAGGCTGCCGAACGGGTCGGGTTGGCTGAGACGAGACGGCGCAAAAAATCGACCGCTCAGGGTGAGCGAGGGTCGCAAGAATGGTTGGACAGTTGGAGTGATGATTTTCTTACTTCACCAGGCATCTGAGCTGTATGTATTTTTCACAACAAATTTTGCTTCCTTTCGTGCGGTCCATACTATTATGTGCTCTTTTGATAAGAAAAAATACTCAAAAAACTGATTAAGAGCAACACTTAGATTGACCACAATACTTCCTTGGCCCGAAGCCAGATTTTCCTGTAAAAACAGAAAATCTGACTTCGGGCCAAGTAAATATTCTTTTTGAATAAAATCTTTTGCGGATATTTTGTGATTGATTCTCTCAAATTATACTTTTTGCATTCTTATGTATAATGGGGAGAAAGTCACTAGCTAATCCTGTACCCACTTATTGTACTAAAAATAGGAAATTATACTGTATATTGGCACTAAGAATACGACATCAACGTATTTTAGATTCATCTTCACACAAACAAAGTAGGTAATAAATCGACGCGAAAATCGAAATTCTTAACTAAAACATACTGCATTTGAACAAGAAGAAAGTACATTTATAGATTTGATAAAAATACATTTATAGATTTTTATTCAAATTTCCTAGTACGCAAGTTCAATTCACTTTAAATTTGCGACTGTTCTTGATTGGTTAGTCGATTGATAAAATTCGTTTTAAATTTATATAATTTCGAAAATCCTTCCACATATTGTTCTTTTGTTGTACACTCTCTGACATGTCACAGCAGTTCCCTCGCAATCCCTCTTGGCCAAAATTATACGAATGCACAATCCTCTAAGGCTCTTAAAAGACTCATCTACTAACAAGTGAAAATTGCTTGGTGAACATGCCCTTTCGTAATGAGACACATTTGACTAAATGCGTCTGGAAATGCTGATTACAAATCTGCTTTCGCTATCTCCTAAGCAGTTGTGTGAACTTAGTTATGAGACTTTTTCCTGCATGATTTATGCACACTGAAGTGAGTCAAAATCACGATACCTGAGTTTTTTTTTTTAAGTTGAACTGAGACAGGTTATTGAAGTGTAAAATGATTGCACTCTTCTTCAAAGAGATGTTCCTAGCCGAAAAAAAGAAATTTGAGCGATGTTTTCATATTTTTGCTTAACTGTTTAAGTGCAGATACTTACAGAAAAAAACGTTCATAGCTTATCTCAGACAATCGCTTAGCAGATAATGAAAGAGATTCGAAATTAGCACTTTAAGACGCATCTACTTTATGTATACAAGTTCATGATACGCAAAGACTGGGCGCCGTTGAGTCCGGGCAAAATAGTGCGGACATGAGAGAGACAGCAGGCGGTAAGAGAGGGGAAAGAGCGCTCGATCAGAGAGACGATACGTCCGCAGTCTTTGCGTGTTATGAATCGCCCATATTTCATTAGGAACGGTCACGTTAACCGAGTACCGAGTATCCTTCGCTTGTAAGATAAAGCTGAATATGATACCCACCCTTCTTCGTGTTTTGCATTATAAATGCGGCTCAGTGTAATGCTTCCGAATCAATCTTATCGTTAGCGGCTTTCTGGAGCAGATTAAAAAAAGCGATTAGGAAAAGCTGTTTGTTTGGTTATTTCTTGCTTAATTTTGAAAAGTCAGAAAAATGTTAAAGCTTTCATTATATTCATTCATAAAACTCGCAACAAGGCTGACGCCGATTTTATTCCATTACATTTCATAGTTGTGATTTTGATCTTCCTCGAGAAAATCTCTATCAAATTGAGAACATAAACGCTACTAATGATATCAAATTTTTCAAAGCTAATTAATCTTTATCCCCGAAAGAAGTACTTCAAAAACATTTAGCATAGTTTTTTACTCCTAAGGTGCGTTTGAAACTTTCAACTGGCGTTTGCTCACCCTTTTTTATTTTTTCTCAACCCCATGCGAACTACGTTTCCAGTTTTGAATATATTCATTTAAAAAACTCAGGAAACATGCACAAATTCAACAGCTTAACAACTAGCTATGACTATTGTGACAAACACAAACAACAGCAACTATAGTAACAAGATAACAACATGCACAATACCTAAAAGGCATTTTATAAAATTAATTCGTTCTATGCACTCTTTTTGCAAAAGTTTCGGCTACAAGTAGGGGAAAAACCAAGGTGGCGTCAGCACATACTTTTACTGCATGAGCTGCTGGTTTGATCTGAATAGTCATCGAGTTTATAAGAAACGCAAGACAAGTATGATTTAGTGATTCGACAGTCACAGTGCCCCTACACTATTCACAACATCTGCGCGTAGAAATAGCCATAGCGCGCTCAATTTCAAGCATTGCGCACTAGGGCCATTTTTAACGCGCAAATGTTGTCGACAACGCAAGGACACTACGTTGATTGTTAAATCCCCTACTGTCTGTGAAAGCCAACCTTTCCCCAGCTGACTGCCTCATCCGGCTGTGCACCAGAGTCTGATCCGTCAAATTCCTGGAATTTTCAGCAAAGCATTTTTTCCTTGCTCTGCTATAAACTCACCATGCCGGTATTGATGTAAACAGTAAAATCCGAGCCGTTTCGCATGAGATTCGCGTTATTTATGTGGTGCTTAACAACGCCTCCGCCTAAGATTAACACTCCAGTGCGAGCGCTTTTAACAGCCATAGCGTTGATGTTGCGCACATCCTAGAAATTCAAAATATAAAGTTTCTTTTCGTGTAACCAAATTCGTTCAGCCCAAAAATGCAGTTTTGTGCTTAGATTATTGTCTCAATTCGCAAATACCGGTAATAGACAGTCAATAGTAGAAGAACTCGTTCAGCACAGCGTTCTGAGGGCACTAGGAGACTAGGGATAATAGGATCCGCGCAAAGTATAAAAGCTCATACTCCCGACCCAGTGGCGGCCTAGGATTTCGGACCGGGGGGGGGGGGGGACAAAAAATTTTCCGGGTGAAGGGCTTAGCCACGCACCTCCAAAAAAAATTCTTCTCAACACATTCGTGGGCCCATGATGCGGCAGCCACGCCCCCCAAAAAAAATTTTTTACAAGGCTAATTAGCAATTTTAAAAAATTTTGAAAATCATCTCAATTGTTACAAGTATAAACAAGTCACTTGCACAATTTTATAACCCTTGTAGGTAACTTCCAAAAATTTCGCCTTCCCCCCCCCCCCCTTCGGACCGCCACTGTCCCGATCATAACTGTATCATTCACGCTTGATTAATCAATTCCTCCCAGTTGATATTCACAGAAGAAATCCAGACCCAGATTCTAAATCCTGCCTTGGAGGTAGGAGGAAAGAAGGGGGGGGGGGAGCAGCCAATCACAAAAAGCATAGTATACGACAAGCATCGACAGGAAAAACTGAATTCCAGCCCAAACTCTGCGGAAACCTTTGGTCTAGAGTTTTTCCTTTATGTCACAAATTAAGATTTAGGGGTTGAGTATTCTGAAGAATTTTTCAAATGATTTCTAATAACTGAGTAATGCCTTAGAAATATCAGATAAACAATGAAATTCATATTGACACTCATATGTCGCTGCCTGTGTCTGGAATTATCTACTACAATTGATGGCAACCATATGCGCTTAATCGCGGACTGACAAAGGGAGTCGGAGGATAAAAAAATTATCAAAAGTGACACGCGTGAGTTACAGAATTAGCAGTTAGTTATTGTGATCTAGATTACTACCAACATCTCAAGACAGCCTTCTGAAAAATACTCGATGTCGGAAGAAGTGCACAGTGCATTGCACATGCACACACATTCACCTATTAAAAAAATTTTGTTGCTCAAAATTCCATGGACACGTGCGCGTTAAATCTACTATAAACTTTAGAGCAAACAACTTTTTTTAAAGGCAGTGTCCAGGATAAACCTAACCCCCTCCAATTAGTGTCGGTCCTAAATGTAGGCAGAAAACGGGTATCTGCGTTGGTCCGATCTTCTAACGTTGTTTCTGAATGGAGATAAGGGGCCTGGAAGTCCCTGGCTGGGCGGAGTCTGATAGCTCCTCCCCGCTGGCATGTCGACGAGGACGAGCGATTCGAAACTCGTCCGCGCCCTCAAGACAGGGCCCCAAGAATCAGGTTTTTTGTGAATTTTGGAGAGTTTGAAATTCGGAACTGTAATCAGAAAAGGCCCCAGAATGACGAAAACATGGGGGAGGGGAGGGCCAAATTCTGGGTGGACGCTGCCTTTAAGCATCGATGGTCATTGACGAAAATCACACCTCGACAATATCAAGGCGAACTCCTTGCGAATGCTTGACTGAATGGAAATACAACATATCACCAAGGCTTCCATCTGTCAAAGCTGGACAAAAGACTGGGATATGATTTCGAGAAGCCCAATAAAGAATCGATTCCTCATTATTGATCCTTTCACCCATTCTGAAAAAATTTGCTGTGAAAAAAAATCAGGGGTTAACGAACAGGACCTCCGGCAGAGTTTCGAAGGGGTCCAGCTGACCCCGTTATCATTCTGCTCCTTTAAACATTCGTCGAGAATCGGTGTCAACCAATCTTCAAACTTGCAATAATTATCATTTGGTATCAAGATATTGCCAGCTCGATTGAGACCTTTAGACCTAAAATTTAGCTGAATTTATTCCAGCCATCCTTTGACATTAGTGACTAACCGTAGGTCTTTCCCATCCATGCAAAAATCACCGAGGTAGGATGGAGCCAAACATTTAATCAGGTCTTCTTCGACACCACCAGCACTGGTCACAAGACAGTCAACAAGATTATGTTGCACAATAAATCGTATAATCTAAAGCGATACTCTTGATAAGGGGCTACAGTCTGTTTCAGTTGCAGTGTTCCCCTTCGAAGGTGGATCCGCCTCGCGAGGCAGTCGCGCGGCGTTTGCGAACATTTCGCTTGCGCACTCAAATTTGCCTCCTCAATCGGAGACCGACATACAAGATCTTGCGGTCGCCTAGCCGCACTACAAGGACACTGCAACTGAGACAAATTGTATGCTAGTATTTGCAATTAATTCAGACGCAAACCGCGCCGCATCAGCCGACGCAGTTGACGCATTGCCTGCGTCATGATCCAATGCAAGTTCTCCCTGAAAACGCGAAAAATTACCTCTCTGATACCGCTAGTGACTAGATTCGATGTGTATCCAAGAAAAATTGTACAGGGAGGTATGAGACGTTCTTTAGGATATGGGAAGTGACGCTCCTTCTGCTTTTCATCCACTTTCTCCCGCGCATCTAACATGGCATTGACTTCCTAAATCGTAGTATGTTCATGTATCTTTACAGCTAAGCTTGTTATTAACACCTGAATAGCCTTTCCCAGATGAGATGCCTGGAAGCCAGTCGACAGATATGATGCCATCAATTTGGAGAAATCAATACCTTCATTGAAATCGTATCCACGAATAGGTATGGCATCTTTGGGAACCTAAAAGTTCAAAATGAACGAATAAGCGTACCAATGGCGGACCAAGAGGGATGAGATTGAATTTTAAGAAATTGTCGGAATCTTATATATAAAGCTGAATGTCTGTTTGTATGTATGTATGTATGTCTGTATGTCTGTGTGTACGTATGTTCCGAATAGAAAATTCCATTTCTGAACCGATCCGGACCAAACTTGGCACACATACACTTCGGGCCCCGGCGCGTGTCATAGACTACTTTTCGTCATCGATCGATATCGATTTTATCGATTTTTATCGATTTTTTTGCAGAGTTCACCTACGGGGCTGGGAGTTGGCACAGGGGGGTAAGTGAGCATGGGGATTCCGAATACAATATTAGTTTTCAGGATTATCGATTACTTTTATCGATTTTATCGATTTTTTTGCAAAGTTTGAGCACGGGGCTGGGAGTTCGCACAGGGGGGTAATCGAGCATGGGGATTCCGAATACAATATTGGTTTTCGGGATTATCGATTACTTTTATCGATTTTATCGATTTTTTTGCAAAGTTTGAGCTAGGGGGCTGGGAGTTGGTACAGGGGGGTAATCGAGCATGCTGATCATCCCCAAGGGGGGTGATCAGCCTGCTCGATTACACCCCTGTGCCAAATTCCAGCCCCCTAGCTCAAATTTTCAAAAAATCGATAAAATCGATAAATGTAATGGACGATCTTGAAAACTAATATTGTATTCGTAATCTGCATGCTCGATTACACCCTGTGCAAACTCCCAGCCCCGCAGGTCAAACTTTACAAAAAAATCGATAAAATCGATAAAAGTAATCGATAATTCTGAAAACTATTATTGTATTCGGAATCCCCATGCTCACTTCCCCCCTGTGCCAACTCCTAGCCCTGTAGGTGAACTCTGCAAAAAAATCGATAAAAATCGGTAAAATCGACATCGATCGTTAACGAAAAGTGGACTGTGACACCCGCCGGGGCCCGAAGTGTATGTGTGCCAAGTTTGGTCCGGATACGGCGGAGCCGGGTAAGCCAGCTAGTGATTCATATAATCATGCAACTAATCTGCTTTTCATTCTAATAAAATTCCAAAATTTTATCAAACAAATAAGATGAACTTCCCAGGAGTCTGGCCATCTTTAATAAAAATTTCTATGCCGATTTTGACAATGGCAACACAATTCCTTTGCAGGTCTCAACTAGAAAATAATATCAAAGAAAGAGATGAAGTATTCTTTAGCTGATGATGAAAATTCATGAATGACGTTGATTATGATTTGAATGTGATTAGACCAATAAATACGTGCATATTCAATTATGACTGGACCACGGCCCGTATGCACTAACATTTTTGCGGCGAGGGGAGCGACGTCCCCCGTTATGAAGGGACCGCGTGCGGACGCCGCTGCGGCTTTTTCGTCATTGGGGACGCCGCTCCCCTCGCCGCAGGGATGTTAGTGCATGCGGCCCTAAGGGTGATGAAAATCATCAGGTGGGAGGAGTTTTCGTCACTGTGAATTCATGCTCCCAGCTTCCGAAGCTCTTCTCGGTTTCAGGAAGTTAATTGTCCACACTTGACCGGTAGCGATGTCATGGCGGCTAGCGGAATCGAAAAGATCGCTCCGAAGCTGGGAGCGTATTCACAGCAGGAAAGACCCAGCCCAAATGCTGAATTCCCTCCTGCTTTGAAGCCCTTTTTCGCCGTTTTCGCGCTCTCCGGTGGGGATTTTCGGGTTCAGCATAGCGAATAGGCCCGGATAAGCACAAAATCTAAGAATAGAGGGGAACTGCCTTCACTGTATCTCAATTCTGTTATCTTTTCATGTGGGCACCTGGCCCTATCAGTGAGCCCAGAAAAATTTTTGAAAGGAGAGAGGGAGGGCCTTCCTCTCTCGAAAACGTAGATGAAATCATGAGGAGTAGTCTGCATGACATATAAAGTCGTGCGAGCAACTCGAATTGTAATTACAGAATTTCTGTAAATAATTGCGATGGCTTGGTGATGCAACTCTTTTCTTCCAAAAATTTGAGTTACAAAATCGCAAAAATCTCACAAGAATCAAAGAAAGGTTTCAAAAAGGATTTTCTAACCTATTTGATGAGGCTCCGTCTCATTTCTGAACCATTACGATTACCGACGTATCGTGGATTCATTTATATGCGTACTGCACATGGCGCTCTTACTACCTCACGATTTCTCCAATTACAACTGGTTGATTTTCAGATATTCATACGTCTTTTCTTCTCTCCTTCAGCTTGATTTGATAAATATGGAATAGTAATACACACTCCCCAGTTTTTTTATCGCTAGAAAAGCTTCTACTGCATGCTAGATCCCGCCGGTTGCAGCGCTCAGCGTACAAATTCACGTATTGGAAGGTTTGGCAGAAATTCGTTTTCCCGTTTTGCCTTCTCCCATAATGATCCATATCCGGGCTTTCCAGCATATAAAAATGGCGAAAACGAGCTTTTTCAGGAGTTTTCCAGGTTTGCATTCAGTGAAGATACGCCGGAAGTCTGTCGCGCTCCGCCTCCCTTGTTCCGGGTCCCGCCCATTTACACGTATTCTCCACTGATTGCGGACCTGAAAGGCTTCGAAAAAAGCTCCGTTTCCCCATTTTCATGCGCCGAAAAGCCTAGTTATGAATTCCTCATGGCGAAAGGCTCTGAAAAGGTGAAAAACTGGAAGACCAAATTCTGCCAAGATACTGCTTTCGAGTTCAAATGACTCGCGCGTAGTATTCGGCTTTAACGTGACAAAAAAAACCCCGAACACATGGCCAACGCCATAATTCCACGTCAAAAAAATTGTTGTCGCATCCCTCTCAAAAATTAAGGGACCAACATTGCAGCCTACACGGCTCGGTCCTGATGAAATGGCTGGAGAGGAATACCCGCTTTAATGCACAGAGATTATGTCCCTGCTTATTCCGGTAAATAGAGTGCATCTCTTTCGAACCGGAGCATAGCTGTATGTGTTTTTGATTGCATGCAATGAGTACCTCGCATGACTTCACCAGCACAGCCCCTTGAGCAATATCGAGATCATCTTCCTTATCTCCCGCATCCATCGTTACCTATCCCCAGAATCGAGGTGGCTACGATCTTCAATCAGTTCACTGTATCTTATCTTCAATCTGAAAGCAATAACTTGCTTCTACGGCACAGCCCTGCAGAAGCGCGGTATATAAAGCAAACAAATGCACATTAGTAGATGAGCTACATTTCGACATGAAACAAATATTTTATTAGATTATTATCACACTGTACAAGCTGCAAAATAACAACATGTATAAAATTCAGAGATAGATTGAAAAGCATAAAATCACTTACAAGGGAAGGATACCAACATTAGTTGGCAATTGAAGATGAGATGTATACTAGTAGACGCGCCTTTGAACGCTGATTCCAAATCTACTCTCCTTTTTTGCGGAATAAGTTTCCGAAAGAAGTTGTGGGCGTTTAAATGTCTGAATTTGTCAAGGCTTAGGTGGTTTAAAATTGGCGAAAAGCTGTATAAAAGCACCGGAATGCGGAAAATCATTTTTGTATCGAGTATATTGTTTGCAAAGAAGGAACAAAGCTGGTGGAATTCGCATGGGTGTTGTTTTAGAGCTTTTCGCTGATTTTAAGCCACTCAATGCTTGGCAAATCTGGACATTCGAACGCTCATAACTTCTTTCTCAAACTTATTCCGCAAAAAAGGAAAGCAGATTTGGAATCAGCGTTCAAAGTTGCATCTAGTGATATACATCTCATCTTCGATTGCCAACTAATGCTGGTATCCTTCCCTTGTTAGCTTGGAAAGCGAAATCAGCCTCGGAAATTGTTCTTTGCCTGCCGCACAAGATCCATCACTTTCACCAGGTCAGAAGCCCCTACTTTCTTCTGTATCTCAGGTGACCAAGTTCTCATAAATGGATTCGTTTCCTTCTCTTCACCAATGGTCGATGGTACAGTTGGCTCATGACGTGAGCGGACTTTTGCTGCCCATTCAATTTTAGCTTTCACTTGCTACAAAATTGGCATCATTACCTGCATCAAACTGCAGGACTCAAAGGCACCGTCCACCCAAAATTTTGACCTCCAAGTTTTTGCCGTTTCAGGGCCTTCTCATACCCCTATTCTGAGTGAGTCGAAAATCCGCGAAAACCACAAAAGCCCCCCTTTTCAGAACCCGCAGAGCGATTTCTTCGATACGGTGATTGGTTGGACGCGCACAGATGGGCGGGACGAAAGTCACGCCCACTCAAAGGAGAGGAGCCAACGTGGCGACTGTGTCATCCGAGCGATTTTCGAAGCAATTTTCTTGCTTCGGAAGCAACTTTTGTCAAAGCAAGTTGGATAAGTATACAGTTGGGGGCCCCACTACTGTTAGGCAAAAATCTCATCGATCCCATTCTGGGTGAACAATCCCTTTAAACCTTACGTCATTGCCCGGTTCAATGTGCTGGGCAAATTTTAGGTTGCTGAGTGTGTATTCATGCCCCGGATACACAAAAGTCTCGTCTGGGAGTTTTCCAAGGACTTCATTCAAGTTGTGATGCATCTCAGCGCCAGTGCCTGGAAGATTAGAATGGAATTAGGGAACAGAAAATGATGTTTGCCCAATCTATCTAGATAAAGCAGCTCACCTTCGAAAAACTTCCCACATCCAGCAATAAAAAGCGTGTCGCCAGTAAAGAGCATGCGATTGTCATCTCCTGGATGAGACACATAGAAACAGACATGGCCACTCGTATGACATGGCGTTTTGTATGCAGTTATCTATATGAAAAAAATTTTCGTGCTTTCATTTACTTGTGAAACCGAAACCTGCCTCCATTTCGCCGATCTTGAACTTTTCCTCATGTTCGACTTTGTGTGTTAGATGCTCTATGCGATCGTCACCGCCGTAAGCCTCGACCTTGTCCATTGGCCAAATTTTTCGAAATTCGCCCATACCCCCGGCATGATCCCAGTGATGGTGTGTAACTAACGCTGCTGCGACTGTTACCTGAAAACTAAGATCTTTGGTTTTCCTCGATAAATAAAGCTGATCTCAAACTGACATTAAAAAATGTTTATATGATCCCCTAGCAAAGAATCAAGAGGTTTTTGTAGGATTAAGAGGAATATTCTGGCATTTTGCAGATGTGATCAACCTCTTCAAGGTTGTCGCCAATTATGAAGTAGCCTTACGATCAGTTTAAGGTGATTTTTAAGAAACTTTTGTAGCGTTCATGATTTTTTTGTGAAACATATCGTAACTAGTGCATATTCACGACAAGGCCAATTTTTCGGTGACTGTCATTTTAGACCAGAGCATATTGCGCAATATTGAATTTTGCGTATTATTTTCTGGCTACTAATGGGTCCTATGGTCTGAAATGTCTATCTTCCCAGAAGTATTTCAAGAGCGGTATAAAGACGTTTTTGCAGTTTGCCCCAGAAAGTCCGTCGTTTTTGAGAAAGCATACCACTCACCGGTGGCTCATATTCTCAGAAATGGCGGACACGTACGACCACAGTGGCTCGTATTATCGTGAATGTGTTCAAGACATTTTGTCAACATGGTGTTTTTTTCCTGACATGATAATGGAAATAATCCTCAGACTTGATTTGGTATTCGTAGTAGTCCAATTATCCTTTCAGAATTTGATGAGATAAGAATCAGATTGATGAGTGAGCGCCATGCTTCCAGCTACGCACCAATAGCAGGACATTCTTCTTTACAAAGCGATAACTATAGTAATAATATCGCAAAATATCACCTTCTGCTCTTCAGCAACTGCCTGGAGCTTCTTTGGTTCAACTGGATCCACTGCAAAACCTTTCCGATCTTTTTCACTGTACACAAGGTACATATAATTGTCTTCGAGCGCTCCCACTGGTATTACTTTCATCATTTTCTGTTTCAGACCACGTACAGCATGCTGCATTCACGACTAAAATGTGCTTAGTGTTAACAACAATATCCTGGGTATTCCGGTTCCAGCAATATTCATGTATGTAACAATCACACAAATAATAAAATTGTAATTATAATGTTTATTGCACACAAAATCATAGAAATTTGCGCAATGAGTATGATTTAAGATGAGATATTTACACAATAAATTACAGAAACTGGAGATCATTTGAGATTCAAACTTGTCCGCTAGAGACAAGAAATAAGATGTCGCTAAGTGTCTGCTCCACATATAGCTCATCAGCTCTTGCACTCATAGGTTTGGCACCTGATGGAAGATACTGTAGCCTCGGACCAAAGTTACACCGTACCGTAGCATCTGCAAAAAAAAGTAGATATACGCTAAAAAAATGTGCTGAATGCACAATTACTTTTGAAAAGTGAAACAGCTGGATGATAAAAGCCTCTGTAGATGTCAGTGAATGCCACGCCGCAAGATTTGCCGTTTTTGAAGAACTCAATCTATAAAACAACCTGTTGGGGTCTATAGAGAAAAGACAGCTTTTTACTCACATAACTCTCATTCAAAGGTGTCAAATTCTTCACAACATCCGCAACTTCATCGTGGCCCTCGTAAAAGTAATTGTGTTTGAAATTAATGAGAGGTAGGTCCTAAATTGCTCACATCCACTTTGAGACGCCTTGGACAAAGAAATTTAACGCGTAACAAACCTTTTTCGAAGAGGGTAACCACTGAGTTGATGGTCCAGGTTTACGAGGATCATGTGGTAGATGGATAAGACAGCCAAGAACATCACCTTCCTAAAATACGTATGACAATCTACTAACAAAGGACTTTTTGACTCACCTTGTAACCCCCAAAATGGTACTTCTTCCCGATAGCATCATGAAACTTGGTTCCTTTCAATGAACGCCAGCTATACGATAACTTGTTATAGCCAATACAAGACTGAACCACTGCTGAAAGCCATTATTTACAAATTAAAGTCTTGTACTAAAGAAAAGTACAGTTACCCAATGGCTGACTCCACCCGATCCGTATGTGAGAATCCTCAGGTTGCTTCAGAAAGTTCACTTCAAAATACCAAGTGCCCTTAGACACTGAATGTGTGGCTCGAGCTACACGATAACCTTCGAAACCGGTTACAGTCAATTGATCATCAGACACACGCAGCTGTAACGAGGTATACATAATCTGAAGTGAGCAAGTTTTCGCACCTCATGAGCCCGATCATTTGGCGAGATGGTAACGGATCTTTGTAGATGCAAGCGATACAAGTGTGGCGGGATAATTCTAGGTGTCAAACCGTCATCTTCTTCGGAGTTCCCTCTGGAAGACGGATCAAATGGGAATGGACAAGTCTTCGGAAATAAAACGGACACCAAAAACGTCTTTCTTTAGTTTTTTCTTTATAGTTTGTTCCAAAAACACCGTAAATACAAGCAAGTACTTGTCTAGAAATTATATGCTAAGCTGCTTACTTATCTACAACGTTTGGATCCCTCTCAACTAGAAAGTATCGATAGCCCTCTTTATTGAACGGAAAATCTATAGGGCCTGATCCATCGGAAGCAGCAATCTTCGAGGAAGAGTAATCGGTAGCTCTAAATACATATCAGGAGACTACACTCAACGACAAATCAACAACAAAAAACTTACAGCTTCGGCTTCTTCCCAGTCCCCATGTTGTCTACATTACGCCGTTTCGAAGCACCACGGGTTTTTGGGCCACCATCAACATCGGAATCGGCCCCAGATGATCTTCCCATACCTTGCTGGGCACCAACAAGTGTCGATGCCAAATTGTTCTTCTCACCACTATTATTCTTCTTACCAATCTGAACACGACGCTAAACAGTTTTCACTGTAAGGTCGTGGATACGAAGGAGAAATAGGAACAACTGTATCAAATGTGATTGAATTCTATGGGAAAGCACAGAAAGACGAGGAAATGTGGTATAAAAGTTAGTTTATTCACCTGCTTCACAAATTCATTTATTGGTCCAATATCCGCTAAATTTGTTTCCATAAGAGCAAAACTATTTTCGTTTTCTGGATTGACCTGAAACATACAGACTGAAAGCGTTCGTCACCAGTAACTAGATTTTTGAAGAAGTCGGCAAAGTTCAAGCTATACAGTCAACTGCTGCAGAGAGTTATGACAGAGTCAAAACGGCGAGTGCAAGGAACAAAATTTTCGCAATCTCTGAATGCTCGCAAAGTCAATTGCTGGGAGACTCCATTAACTCTTGTCTACTTTGACATCTGCCTAAGTATAAATATTCAGATCAAGCCAAAACCAAGTATTGCCAACTTCATAAGATCTTTTGATAATGAAGGTATTCTTCGTCAAGATGGCATTTACACCAAAAGTTAATGCCGACTTAAACAGCATCGAACCATAATTCCGAATGTGTCATCATCATTCGCCAAGAGCATTGAAGCCGAATTATGTGGGTCAAATGAGTGAACGCACATTTCGAACATTAGTCAGAAATCGCTCAACATTCACGAACAAACATTCTGTTTAGAGCTCTAAATCCAAAGGTTCTTCAGGGCTCAACATTCTGTTTAACGTATATTGAGCCCTAAAGGATCGTTAGATTTAATTTCAAATTCTATGTTTAGTTTTTGCGCAAAAAACAGTCATCCAACGGCAGAGGAGATAATGAAAAAGATTTGAAGCCGATGTTCAGTGGACTCCAAAGTTCTAAAGGACTTTTGGGAAGGTCATTTCAACCAAAAACACGCCCCTTCAAGAGAGCCTATGGTTGATTCGCCGCAGCAAGCTATGCGCAAGCAAATGCTGTAATGCAGTGCAGTTCGTTTGAAGAGCAAGGAGAAAACAACTGCAGAAAAATTGCACCAGCTATACAAAGATAGAGAACGTTTCCCAAAGAAATCGCTTAGACTTATCACTACTTTACTCCAACGTAGAAAAACTTATAAGCGACTTACCTTGAACAGCTCGGTATCCTTAATCAAGGTTTTTTGCAAAGTTGTGTGCCACGTGTTCTTCACTCTTCGAGGCATGGATGTTAGGTTTTCCCAATTGGCGTCAAAATATGGAATTATTGTGTCATGTAGGCTAAAGTTCAAAATATGATAAATAATTACAGCTTGATAGAAATTTTAATGAGGAAACTGACTTGAAATATATGTGCTCATCTGTTTTCTGTATGCCTTCTCGCTTCATCCTTTCAGCGGTAAGGTTAGCCAGTACAGTTACACACATATGACTGAAGTCTGCAAAACTATAGATTAAAAATTTATTTATACATGGTGTAGCAGGACAGAAACAAAAGGAAAACTGAACCTACTTGCTTGCTTGGCCACCCATGTTTCCATTCCAGTAGGACTACAATCTTTGCAATGAAAAACGTAACAAACCATAAAACTCAGACCGTAGCTGGAACCAAAAAATGTAGATATACAGACCGTATATTTTTGAAAGTTCTCACAAATCTTTGAGGTCCTTGAGACATCGTCCATGGAACCACTTATTACAACCGGAACAGAAAAGTTCCATGGTACCGATTTCGCGTTCGCCATCGCTGAAACAGAAAGAACAGTCCAAGATGTCAAAACAGAAGAAACATCTTTTATTTATACATTTTCTGGTCGGACAGGAAAGCGGCAAAGCCTCGAAATCCACGAAGTATTTGAAAAACGTACCAATAGCATACTGTATCCGAAACTGACGTCGGAGCGGTATTTTTACGTGAGCTCTTCAGGCCTCTCATGGGCTCTGATTCACTGAAATGACAACTGTAACTAACAAACAGAGGTTCCATACTTATAAAGGTCACTTTCTCTGATGACTGAAAGTCAATTATTCTCACAATCGGAATTCTGCCAAAAGTGCCGCAGATGTGCACGGGTGACTGTAGGAAACCAAGATATAGAATCAGGAAGGTAAGCTTCAGCATCACAACTCGACAATGTTCACAAGATGAACAAGTATAATGATTCAGCGAAGTATTCTGTAACCCGTGCCTTGAGGAATAAAAAGAGCGATCAAATGCGGCCAGAACAAAAAAAATTTAGCCGTCTCACTTTGTCGTGGTTGCACTACAAGCAAAATTACGCGCGTAATCCTGGATCTCTGTGTATTTTTTACAGCGAGAAAGTTTTCCTTTCACGCCACGCATTAATACAGTTCTTCTTTTTATCTGTTCACTGTTGATTGATTCGAAAATGGTGGATTTATTTTTAAGCATTTCAGGGCCATGACCGGGCAAGAGCCTGCCATAATTGACCGAATATCTGATGCATCAAGAAAGGTGAGGATAAACTAATCAAAGCGCAGATCAAATCAACCTTGCCTATCTTGTTAAGGCAACGAATGCTATAGGAGATTGGTGGCATCGTGTAAGTGCTGAAAGTCGTCCACCCGCCAATCCGGAAGATCTGGTTCCTGTCAAAAGTGTGAGAATTGATTTTACTCTAGCCAAAGCGATCTAATTTGACTTCGAACATGTAGTCTAATTTTAGCTACCAATCTACAACGACCCGAAACCCGAAAAACAATATAAATTTGTGGTCGAGGAGCCTTTGCCTTTGCAGAATGGAATTTCTCATCTTCGACATGCTTTTCAAACCGAATATGAAAGGCTAGCGGTATGGACTTACTACTAAACATCGTCTTACAAAACACGGTATTTGTTTTTAGAGCAGGTTCAGAACCGTTGACAAGACCGTGTCAAAATCGAAAGTGGCATTGACGAAAACCAAAAATTACCTGGAAGATGAGTGGACAGTCCTACCAAAAGCTGCCGCTATCACCATAGGAGGCATGGCTGGTTTCGTGCTCGGCTTGAAAAGGTTAATTGCATTGTTTTTTTCTACATTAATCAATTACTAGTTTTTGTTTAGACTCCTTCCTTTTTGTTTTTTCTTTGGTAATCATTTGCTTGAGCAGATATAAAATGCAAAAGCCTTTCTCCTTGTCTCATCTCACGAGAGTACAAGTAATAGTTATGGCAGCTCTAAACAAACATCTTATCTGTTTTGCAAGCGCCTCACTAACGTAACCAGAAGAGTTTCACTTATAATCCAACGCTTTGATTGAAGCTACTTGAGCAGTCCGTGTTCGTCTCAATAATAAAGGTGTTGAGTGGTTACTGCTCTGCAAAAATTATTGTGGCGTTGACTTCACATCTTAGAAGCATACGCGATGCTTTTGAATTTTCATGTTCGCAGTCTCCCGTTGCTGAAAGATTAACGAACTAATGTACGACATAAAACTGGGGTATATTGGGTTTATGGGAGTTTTCAGACCGCGCTTGAACCCACAGAACTCACGGAAGCCGCGCTGAGCTCGTTGAGTCATATGACATACTAGCTGGCTTAGGTAGATGCCAGAGTAAGCGAATATTTTGTTCAAGGGTCCCGCGCAGAATGGACGTCACTCACCATGCTGGCGTTAATCCAAGTGACGTCAATTCTGCGCGGGACCCCAACTTGAACAGAATATTCGCTTACTCTGGCACCTACCTTACCCGGCTCCGCCGTATGTTCCAGAAAATTCCATTTCTTAACCGATCCGGACCAATCTTGACACACACATACACTTCGTGCCCCGGCGGGTGTCACAGTCCACTTTTCGCTATCGATCGATGTCGATTTTATCGATTTTAAAATTTGAGCTAGGGGGCTGGAATTTGGCAGGGGGGTGTAATCGAGCATGCTGATCATCCCCACGGGGGTGATCAGCATGCTCGATTACCCCCCTGTGCCAAATCCCAGTCCCGTAGCTCAAATTTTGCAAAAAATCGATAAAATCGATATCGATCGATGACGAAAAGTAGCCTATGACACCCGCCGGGGCCCAAAGTGTATGTATGCCAAGTTTGGTCCCGATCGGTTCAGAAATGGAATTTTCTATTCGGAACATACGTACAAACAGACAGACAGACAGACATACAGACAGACAAACAGACATTCAGCTTTATATATATGATCATCGGCTTCCCGATTCGTGTAGAGATGGAGTCTGCCAACTCACTTTTTGATAGTGAGAGAGTACGAAAAACAGTGCTAATATGGAGGTTCACCAGATTCACATGCATAATCACTGAAAGTCCGACCCGCCTCAACACGAATCTGGGAGCCATCATATGTACATCGTAGCGTTCGAGGTATTTCAGGTATGCTCCAAGACGCGCACACGCCATGTTTGATGCATTTGATCCGCTTGATCCACTTCATCCACACCGCTATTGGTCAAATTACTGAACTGACCAATAGCGAGGTGGATGAAGCGGATCAAGTGGATATCCGTGTTTCGCTATTTTCAGTCCACTATTTGACCAATAGCGAAGTGGATCAAGCGGAGCTAGTGTGGCGCGTGTCTTAGTGTCACATTTGGTGGCTTCAAGCTACAAGCTGGTTCTTGAGGATTGCAGCGCCTACGTTTACAGTTGAGACGGTTAGAGACGTCTTCAAGCGCGGTCTAAAATTTCCCTAGAACTTGGACGTGTACAATGCATTAAATTCTCTGTCGAAATTTTAGTTATGATGTTCATCTCTCCAGTAATCTATTTTTCAGGGGTGTTATCGGTCGCACACTTTCGACTTCTCTTGGATTGGCTACCATGGCTGCTTTCTGTTACCCTCATGAAACAGTCGATGTTCTTCGCACGGGAAAGGCGCACGCAGAGGACGCTTGGTATCGTTTCCAACAATGTGAGTTTGTCGCCTATCTAAAGGAAAAAACAATTTTTTCCATGGAAGGGGAGAGGGAGAGATGAGGGAGGTGTCCCTCCTCCATCTAACAACGGAAGTTCGCTTGGCCAAAGTGGTGATTCGAAAGGTGATGCATACCAAAAGATAGTGCTCAAAACGCTGGTCTCTAACATACCTTCTATATCTGCGAAGCATTCTTCTGTAAAAGGTTCCGGGCTGCCCCCCCCCCCCCTCCTCCTCAATCAATAGCCAGAGTGCCTATATTGCACATAGTTAAGGCGTAGGGCTACCACGACTTTGCGTCTTAACCTCCGCGGTAAGCGGAGGTTCGAATTCAAAAATAGGCGCTTCCGGAATAGCCCGTTTTCAACATTTTCGCACTTTACAAGCTGCATTTTCGGATTCAGCGGGAAGGATAAGCCTAGGTAAGCGGAAAAGATTTTGTTCGAAATTTTGCCCGGACGCTGTTTTCAAAGGCAGTGTCAGGCAAATCTGGACATATGGGGATTTCAGGTGGATGGTAATTTTGGGGCCCTAACTAAGCCACTGCCCAACCGGCAGCTCAAGTAGTGCTCTAACGGCTGAGATATTCCCTTCGAAACTGGACCCCAGGTTCGTATTTTGCGTGGATTCATGGCGCAACCCATCGCCGCACTAAACTGATGGGTTGCGCCATGAATCCTGCGAAATACGATCTTGGGGTCCAGCTTCGAGGGGAATATTTCAGCCGTTAGAGCACTACTTGAGCTGCGGTTGGGTAGTGCCTTAGTTAGGACCCCAAATTACTTTTCCACTAATATCCCCGTAGATTCGAATTTGCCTGGACGCTGCCTTTGAGTCTGCATAATTTTGTGCGGAACTTACCTCGATTACGACTAAATGCGGGAGAAAATGGCGGAAAAAAGCTCATAACATTTCTAGAAGCACTTCGCAGATATAGAAGGCATATCTGAGATCAGCTTTTCAAGCTCTTTCCTTTGATATACATCATTTTCCGAATCGCCACTTCGACCAAGCGGCCTTCCCTTCCTGTAAGATCAGGCCGACATCGTATTGTTTTAATTCAATTCTTTTCATCTTCTTAGTGGATAGTTTGAAAGGTCGATATTTCTCTTCACTGCCTTAGCCGCAGCAATGCTATGTGTTTATTGCACTGACCGCATTCACCCAAACTCTTGAAATATCAGAATGATTATTTCATTTTCACAACTCTATTTTCCAGCACCTGAACCACCGCAGAAGCCAGTCGTTGATCTGAGGCCCCCAAAATGATCGTCTCTATCGGTTCTTGTCATTATAGTTCATTAGCAGTGTATTTCGGCCGACATCGTATTGTAATACCAATTCAATTTTTTGAGTTTCGTAGATAGTTTGTAAGCTCGATGTTCATCTTCACTGCCTTAGCAGCAGGTTAGATCGAGTTGTTTGGTTACATAGTTATAGTGTCATAAGGTTTTCAAAAAGAAATATATGATTTTTTTCAACTGTAACACAAATCATCACAGACGGTACTAAACTTTTCTAGAGACTGCAAGTATCCGCAAGTTCCCATAGAAAGCATTGGATTAACATTCGAACACAACAGGATCACCTATCTAGAACTGAGGAGGCGAATCTGGCAATAGTCCACATGATGAAAACATTTCTGCATCAGATTCCTTCATTTCGTTTTGATATTTATCAAAAGGTGATAGCAACACTAACAGCAATAGGAGTAAGCAGTTAAAGGCTAAAACATGTTGAGTTCAATTACAACGACAGGAGTATAAGCGAATATAAGCTTAAACATGTTGGACTTATGATATAAGAGAAATATGATCAGTTGATTAGCATAAGCTGTGATGAGATAACGTAGGTCATCGAGGTTAGTGTGGATGTTCTCACATTCTTCTTCTCCTTATCTGAAACACCAAAAAAAGACTACACCATATTAAAACTACTGAAAAAAAACGAAAACTCTTGTATTCAAGGAAATTCGGAGGGTTTTACCAAAAGCGTGAGGGGAATGTGCAAAAGTGGCTTTTGAGATTGTCCAGTGTTTACTTGCAAATGTAAATGAGTCTACAATCGATGCCAGCCAAGTGCTTCCTTTTCCGTGGCAGCCACGCGTCCGCAAAGCGAGGGAAGAACGCAGCGACTCCGATCGACGAGGGGAGTTTTAAATGCGCAGCCATACGCGCGCGGGGTTGCAACTTGGCTCATGGAAAAAAGAACAGAAAGGCCCGTATGCACGTACATTTCCGCTGGGAGGGGACAGGTTCTGAGACGGGATGCCGACATATTTGGCTACTCTATCTTTCTTCTTCCTTCTCTATCTTGCTTATGAAAGTTCTCATACTCTTGAACTTGCGCATAATGTGCCAGGTTAGGCAGGCGCTATACTCCTCGAGGAGTATAGCATGACGACGATCGATATGCATCATGCGTGTAAAACTGGCGATTTTTGTCGCCGATATTGGCGATCGCCAGTCGTAGCGACTGGCGATCGCCCGTCGCCATGCTGTACTCCTCGAGGAGTATAGCGCCTGCCTTACTGCCATAAAGATTGGTTGTTTGCCAGTTTTTGTGATCACCTGGGGATCACCTCTCATTTTCAAAGTGATTTATCTTTCTGAGAAGTCAATGAAAACGCTGCAAACTTGTACTGAGGATATATTACGGCACTGCCAAACATGTTTATAGTAGGACTAAGTAAAATCTTAGGATATCGAGATCTTCGATGAACCACTGCTCGCAAGCTAGGGATTATCGGAAAATTTAATCTTCAGATTCCATTTCTCCTGTTGAAAACATGCTTAGCAGTGCCGTAGTGTATCCTCAGTACAAATTTGCAGCGTTCCCATTGACTTCTCAGAAAGGTAAATCACTTTGAAAATGAGGGGTGCCCTGGGAATCCCCTGGGGATCCACAGAAGACCACACAAAATGGTAAAAAACCAATCTTGCCTGGAAGTAACCTAGCATCCATTATGCGCAGGTATACGTGTATAAGAACTTTCATAAGCAAGTTAGAGAGAAGAAGAAAGATACGTAGAGTAGCAAAATGTGATGCATCCCCTTTCAGATCCCCCCCCCCCCCCCTCCCGGGCGGGGATGTAGGTTCGTGCATGCGAGCCAAAGTTGACCCGGACTGTACCTTCTATTCTTAGAAGGTACAGTCCGGGTCAACTTTATCGTCATAATTAAAGCACTGACCTATACATATTCATCAATTTTGTATCCCTTGCGCTTCAATGCGTAGATGACATCCATAACTGTGACAGTGGTGCGCTTCGCATGTTCCATATAGAGAATGGCGCTGCTTATGACTTCCTCGATGAAAAGGTGCAGAACACATCGAATCTCTTCGTAAATATCCTCGGATATGCGCTGAACTCCAGCACGACGAGCTAGACGTCGTATCGCCGTTTTGGTTATACCCGAACATACACAACGCTGTATCATTTTGATAGGACGCTTCTTCGATGGATTTGTTCCTTTGCCAGTGGGTGTCATTGTAGCGATGAAGCTGTCGAAAGGATTACGACGAATTTCGCGTTGCGCTATGCCGCCACAGAAGAGATGATTTCCGCGTGGGACTACCATGAGCGCTCGCGACGCTGGCGGCGGGTATCCATTGCCGTTTTTCTGATTCTCTGAGCTTGTAGATCTACATTTTCGCCTCTAGATGTTTGCTGACAGCGAAGTTAAAATGCTCATTTGGCCACAGCGAAAAAACCGGTCAAAGATCGACATTTTGGTGCTCCGTTTCAGATTCGCAGTAGGTAACAAAAAATGGATGTTTGCTCCGATAGTGTCAGAGCTTTTACCTTCATCCTTTTACAGTAGAATCCCAGTTCGGCCACATATTCCTGCTATTGCTCTCGGAGTACGCTAGCGGCGCAAATAGAGACATTACCCGGGGGGGGGGTACGGCTGCGATTTCTAATCTCCCAAAACAAGCTAAATTTGCAAATAAGAGGGCCTTTTCTGAAGCATAGAGCAAAAATGTATTAGGTTGTGCCAAATGGCATGATAAGATAGTGATGATATGTTTACGAATCACTGTCAATAACATGGCACCATCCACCCAGATTCTCGACTTCGACTATTATGCGAGCTGTCAATTCCATGTTTTATTGTTTGGGCCTTCTCAGTCCCTAACTCCGATTATGAAGTAGAGAATCTGCATTCCGACAATCCTCATTACCAAACCCACGCTGCGGTCTCCAAAGGTGATTGGATGAGCAAGCACGGATAGGCGGGCATTACTGGAGGGGGCGGTGCCGCCTAGGGATCTTCGTGCCTCTTCGTTATTCCGAAGCGATTTTCTCGCTTAGCGATATTTTGTTCCGCGACTCTTGCATTAGGTTGATAGGGGTCCTACTATCGTATGGATCCGTATCAGTTGATACCCGGACAGCCGCTCGCAGCCGCACCGTGTGGTAATTACCGAGGTGCGACGTGCCCTTATTGGGCTGCGCTACGCGGCAATCGCTCTCCCTCTCTAAACCCTCTGGTTAACCTTTGGTTAGAATCTCCCGTCACCACGCTCTGAGGTGCGAAAATACCTAGATTATGCAGTTGTAACAGCCAAGAAGTTTCTCTAATGAATGGAGGTTTTAATGAAACAATTTCAACAAGGATTTTCTAAAAGCCTCAAACGAATAGATAGAGAACAATGATCAGAAGTACTTGAACGAGATTATTCGACTTACGGGTTTAAAATTATTCGAACTCAAATATTCGAATATTGACACACCTCAGAAATGAGATTTTTGAGAAAGAAAATGCTTGGAAATGGTCGAAATTCGAAATCAAATATAGGTTTGAAAAAAAATTCAACTTGTTTTTTAGAATTTGACTCGACTTTCTAAATAACTATCAGCCTTGAGTATTGGCTGGTAAAACAAGTTAAACGCACTCAGGAATCTCTTAGTCAGACTTACGCAAAACGTGCTTGTGTCTCTTAGGCTGGGTTCATACTGATCCGTAAGTTCCGGACAATTCGGCACAGCGCCCTAACTGCGCACTGTGGTGGAACTGCTCCGGGGCTTATGAATTAGTATGAACGCCATCTGTCAGAGAATGAGTGATAGGTACGTACAAATAGACATTCATCTTTATCTATAGGATGGAAACAAGTTCACACATCGTCTCGTTGACCGCACGTGGACATCACCGCGGAGCAGCCCCGCGTGGCCAAACGCTTGCCCTAGTACAATTACGCCACTGTATCACAAGTCATGCTTCCGCAGTATTTCAGCCGCATGTGCCCCGCAAGTTTAAGTAGTTTGTGCGATCAATGAATCGACTATAGTTAGTGCTTCATCGTTCTACAAGAAGTCAGAAATTCTGACACTAGATATCGTCTGTCTCCAGAAACGTCCCCATAGGTACAGTGACAGCCAAAAAGTTGCGGACAAGTTGCCCTCCTTTTTTCAGCGTTCATTTTCGGATGGAAAACCAGGGTGGAAAAATGATTGGATTGCATGAGGTGATAGAGCTCTTCAAGAGCTACAACCCATACATTGTGTTTCCTGCAAAGTATGTATTCTAAAAATTTTAAAAGTCTTTTTCTAAAAAAAGTTCAAAAAATGGCCGCGTCACAATGTCGCGGACAATAATTCTTCGAACGCGAAAATTTCCCTTTAAGTCTTCGTTTGGAGCAAAACAGAAGTTTTTTGACAGATAAGCATACTATATTGTAGAACTAATCGAGGATAATAATCAGGTAGTGGTTACTTCCAAAAAAAAACCCAAGCTTGAATTTTATTTTGCTTTTTTCAAAAATCAACTTCTAATTACCTCTTTCAAACCAATTTTCTTCACACGAAAACCCTAATCAAAACATCCTAACAAAGCTCTTTAGATAAAATAGATGTTCTTCACCATCCTCCATGCATTGGACGTGTGCTGGTGGGTTTCTTGGCTGAAAATGACTCCTGACAATGCGTGCACATGACCCTACCTGCGCCTCACCACTGACTTGCAATGCTTTGCAGGCTTGTAGCTCAGCCGTCAGGCAATTTACGAGCCTGTACTTAAGCTCATTCGAAAGGGCGTGACTTCTTCGACACGATGGTATGCAAATAAGTTCAGTCTGAGCAACCCCAGAGATTTGACGGATGGGGTGGGAGAGGGCAGCTTCAGTTATAAGCTAAGCATTTTTCAGCTAAAGTTGAAGGGAGCTTCTTTCGCTACCAACTTCATCCTGGAAGTTCAAAACTGTAAATCTTCTTGTAATGGATCCATTTCGAAGCTCTAAGACTGTTCTGGTGTTCATAAGAGCCTTCAATCCAGTCACCTCTAAGGCTACACTTTTTCTCCCCATCCGTCAAATCTCTGGGACTGCTCAAACTGAACTTATTTGCGTACCGTCGTGTCGAGAAAGTCCCCCCCCCCTTTTCGAATGAGCCTAAGTACGTAAATTGCCTGACGGCTGAGCTACAAGCCTGCAAAGCGGTGCAAGTCAGTGGTGAGGCGCAGGTAGGGTCGTGTGCACGCATTGTCAGGAGTCATTTTCAGCCAAGAAACCCACCAGCACACGTCCGATGCGTGGATGATGGAAACGAGCATCTACTTTATCCGAACAGTTTTGTTGGGATGCCTTGAATAGGTTTCCATGTGAAGAAATTTGCTTTGAAAGAGAAAAATAGAAGTTAATTTTCTAAAAAAGCAAAACAAAATTCAAGCTTGCGTTTTTTTTGGAAGTAACCACTACCTGATTGTTGTCCTCTATGAGTTTTATGATATAGTATGCTTATCTCTCAAAAAACTTCTGTTTTGCTCCAAACGAAGACTTAAAGGGAAATTTTCGCGTTCGAAGAATTATTGTCCGCGACATTGTGACGCGGCCATTTTCGAACTTTTTTTAGAAAAAGACTTTTAAAATTTTTAGAATACATACTTTCCAGGAAACACAATGTGTGGGTTGTAGCTCTTGAAGAGCTCTATCACCTCATGCAATCCAATCATTTTTCTATCCTAGTTTCCATCCGAAAATGAACGCTGAAAAAAGGAGGGCGACTTGTCCGCAACTTTTTGGCGGTCACTGTACCTATGGGGACGTTTCTGGAGACAGACGATATCTAGTGTCAGAATTTCTGACTTCTTGTAGAACGATGAAGCACTAACTATAGTCAATTCATTGATCGCACAAACTACTTAAACTTGCGGGGCACATGCGGCTGAAATACTGCGGAAGCATGACTTGTGATATAGTGGCGTAATTGTACTAGGGCAAGCGTTTGGCCACGCGGGGCCGCTCCGCAGTGATATCCACTTGCGGTCAACGAGACGATGTGTGAACTTGTTTCCATCTCCTATAGATAAAGGTGAATATATTTTGCTACGTAAACTCGTGCCTTTCGCTCCTTTTGAGATGTCAACTTCAGCAAATTCATGGCATTTTCTCCGAATGAACGTGGCAAAACGATCGAAGACAACTAGCTGACATGGTACCTATGAGAAGATTTTTGGGGGACAAAGTAGAATTGTATCTATGAGTACTTTGTTTCCTCAAAATAGATTCAAACCATGAGTTAAGCTCAAAAATTCATAGTTGCCATTAACAATAAATTCGTGAATAATTCATTTTCTATGCAAAAGCTGTCAAACCATGCACTTCGCCTGGTATATTTCAAAGGCTCGCGCTAAACTGAAGTCTTTTGTTAATGATAACCGATGCAATCGCGTCTATTGACCGTCTCGCGAGTCTCAATATGGATGATAGATATCGCATCGTCCCTTCGACAGTGCACAGGCGCGCGCGGGAGAGACGCGGACTGCGTAGCGGGCGCGAACGGCTTTAACTAGGTCACAAAGCCCCGCCTTCCAGCCACCAACCCAGTTAAATCAAAAGTTATGTCACATAGGTCAAGCAGGGTCAAGCGTGGGGTGCGGCACGCCACACCTGGGGGGTCGTATTGAGGAGTCAAAAGGGGAGGGGGGTCGTAGTTGGGTAATCTGATAATAGTGATAACATGATATTCGTATCATATCCATAATTAGCATGTCAATTAACAAATTTGATATAGTAATGGGGTGCGGCACACCCCTTTAAAAGCGGCTGCCGCAGCTTTTAAGGGGGTGTGGCGCACCCCCTTAACTTGCCTTCAAAATCCAGCAAGCGCTCCATTGCTGGTATGAGTATTGAGCACATAGCTTCTTCTTGCTACATTGGAAATTTGGAGCCGAACGCCCCACCCATAAGGAAATTATGGCCCTTTCAATATGCCCATTCAGATCAAAATCAGCCGTCAAATTACGTGTGATTGTAAAGTGCAGTCACAGAAAATCGGGCGTACAACTCTCAGAAATCTGAAAACTCTCTAGAAAAAGATGGTGTCCTCCAGAATGTCACACTTTGAGGTCCAGAGGTTAAGAGGAGGAAGAAGGGGTTGTTTGAGGGCTTTCATGGGAGGGGGGGGGGGGGGTTTCGAAAGACTTGTGCCTGACCTCTTTCTCAACTCTGGTAATGCTATTTTAGGTATATAGTTCAGGGGGGGGGGGGGGGGGGGTCTTATTAAGAGAGCAATCAGGGGGGGGGGGGTCGTAACCAGCGATCGTGTGCCGCACCCCTTGCTTGACCCTGGTTATGTGCCATTAAAGGCAGCGTCCCCTCAAAATGATGGGTACCGGGATTTTACAATGTTCCAATGGTAGACCCTCCAGATAGTCTATCAGTGAAGTCTAGCAAAAAAGCGCTTCTTGAAGCGCAAAATCCGCTCTGGAAGCCTTTCGGACCCCGCTCATTTCCACATCCCGCCCACTTCTTACACGTAACTTGAAGCGAACGCGGACACGAAGAGCTTCGAAAAAACTCAATTTTGCCATTTTTAAGCGCTGAAAAGCTCAGGTATGGCTTCAGCATGGCTAGAAGGCTCCGAAGATGAAGAAACTGGGAAGCGAAATTTTGCCGGAACACTGCCTTTAATGGCGCCAAGTTATGCATCAGCGACCCCCCCCCCCCCCGCCCTGTTTTTGCCGCCGAAGACATTTCACCAGAGTGCTTGGTGTCCAAAAAATTGGGTGTATCGCCTAACGCCCTACCCCCAAATACTGCTACCCATGGTCTGTGTCTCTGACCTGCGGCACGCGTGGTCAATATGTTGGCAACATGCGGCAACATGTTGGCGCTGAGGCTGGCAGCCAAAGTGTTCTGCCAACATGTTGTTGCATGTTGCAAACATGTTAGCCATACGTGCCGCTGGCCAGAGACGCAGACCAAGGTAGCAGCTACTGTGGAAAGGAGACACTTGTCCGCGATCCCCGTGTGAGGATACGCAAATACGGGCATTGTTTCGAACGTTTCAGCAGTTCATCTGTTTGGTAAGGACCGGCCATACTATTCCTGTGATTCCTGCAGTTCCTGCGATTCCTGTGATTCCTGTGGGTCCCGTAACAATGTATATTGCGAAAAAACAATGTATACTGAAATTCACAAAGCGCTCCGTAGTGCGGCACATCGGATCGAGGAATCACTAGAATTGCAGGAATTACAGGAGTCGCAGGAATCATCTCCTGGAATAGTATGGCCGGTCCCGTACGGTTTACCGTGAGCGAAAACTTGATGAATACATTGGGCAGGCGTCGATTTGCCACGATGCCACCGCATTTATCGCAGCTGTTTGTGATTATGAAACGATGTCTAATCAGCAAATTATGGCGGACTGGCAGGCCAAGCATACGCTGTCGCCAAGGAAATTGCTATAAGTGTGTGACTCATGTTTCACATCTTACTTTTTTGAGGTCAGACGACATTGTGTATATAATAAATATTTCATCACTGAGAAGTAGGGACGCAAGGGCGCCGTTGTGAAATGCAATATAGTATGCGCCACAGTCCTTTAGCACCTTTCGAACTTTCCAAGCTTGCAAACTACATGACATATCACGTACAAATGTGTACTTTTTGTAAGCTTTAGCTGTTTTGCAAATCGTTCGCGCCGTTCAGAACCTGAATCACCTGCTGGGTGAGATTCAAGTCGCATCCGGATCTTTCCACTCAACAAAAATAAACAAAGCCGGACGCCATAGAGTTTGCTACGCAACGTCGCATGTTCTTCTCAGTTTCACATCCTTCGCTATCACATTTCATCGTAGCCGGGAGAATAACATCAACTTTAGGGAGTTTGAGAGTACGGCATTTTTTTTTTGTTGCATGGCTTAGTCATATCGGCTACGAAAATACGCTCTTCCCACTCAGATCGAACCAGCCGCCGTAAGTGCATGTTTTTTGCGAGAAAATATGCTCTGCGCTCGTCTGTCCCATGTGCGTGCGTTGGGAGTGATGGGCAGCTACGCAGCGAGACACTGGCAAACCGCCAAGTGGATCTGGCAATGTGCCATTCCGAGAAATTTCCCTCATTATTCCTTTTAGTGTTATTTTCCTTCTGTAAATGCTTTGTCCTTCAATTGTTCTGCATAATTCCTGTGCAAGCATTGAATGTTTGCACGTCCATGTCCATATTTTCGCTTCTTGTGAAGTTTTCATGTCACCAGTAAATTACTTCAGAGATGGCCGATATAAACAAGAAGGACTCTATGGATATTCAGCAGAACCCCGAACCTGCAGATTTTCAAGCCAGGCTCGATCCCACAAACGTCGGCAACAAGCATTTTCGTAGTGTAAGTTTCATTCTTATCATTTTTGTTAATTTTCATTTCTAACAATTTTTTTATTCTTTTCCCATCTTTCTCAATTCTTTGTTCCACTGCTTATCTGACCTTCACTAATGAATTAATATTTTGATTCTAAGCAATGTTATCCGTTTAGCAGTCAGATATGACTCACAGAGCGCAACAACCGATGTTTGTTCCTACGAAATCACCTCCTCCTGCTTATAACGCGAAAGCTCCAGCACCTCCTCTTGCAGTAACATTTCGAGAGGTAAAATACTACATTTTTTATTCGAATTTCCATCTATATTTTTCTAGACTGGCGGGGGCCCAAGCGTGGAGGAGCAATGTACGATAGAATATATCCGATCATTTCTCGGGTCGTCGGATTTCAACGAGGATCTATGCCTGAAAGCCATCAGGGTGAGCTTCACTAAAAGCTACTTCTCTTATTTCAATGTAATACGTGTTTTGTAATTGTTTTTGAACGTTGTCTTATTCCTCCAAACTCATTATCTGATCATCTTGAGTTTCAGCATCCTCGACTACGTAGTCAGAAGAATAACAATGAGGAAGAGTATCTACAAGAAGTTGTTGGAGTTTATATGGATGAACTGAATCAGACTAATGAGAAGCAACAACGCTCACAAACTCCGCGTCCGGTAAACAATTTTGTTTTACATGCCGAACACGATTCTTTTTACGATAATTATATCTCTTCTGAGCGATTATATTTGTTTAGTCATTTTTACGTCGTTTTATCGTATCATGTGCCTTGTTCTGACGCCATTTGCGAACGTTGAGTCACACTCTAAGGAAGGAGCGTTTAGATAGAACTTGATTGATCGCGCACATATTCTTATCGGGTTGGGCGAACAAGCAAACTGTCCGCGTTCTTTTGAGCTCCGAGTCGAACTGACAAATGTTGATTAACTTGATTGAAAAAGCTTGGACATCTCTAAATGAAAGAGCAAGAACTTGACTCTACCCTTTGCTGTTTTACCTTTCACGTCGGATTGCTAAGTGGAGCAACTCAGCAATCTCTCTCGCATTCTGTTATGAAGTAGCTAATGCCCAACATTTTTGTGTACGTTCCCTTCAGGTCCAGACCTGCGCTAATCGACCCATGCAGACCATTGAAGAAGCTGCCGCTGAGATGGCACAGCAAGGTGGAGCCGTTCATGTGGTTCCTACAACATGCACTGGCTCCACTGCTACGTCCACAGCTACTCCCATGCCAGCGCTACCGTCTGCAGCTGAGAGAGAACAGAGTGACATAGAAAAGTTAGCTGTTTGATGATTTGGTTTCCCTTTTTCAATCTTTATATGCAGAGCCATAGCCGAATCTCTCATTTCACAAGGCCCACCTGGGAATCGCTCTTATAACTCATCACTACCAGCAAATCCTGAAGAGATGCTCAGAAAAGAAGGCGTATCGGTAAATTTGAACTATTATGGTTTTTTCTGTATTCTGAGGATCTGATTCTCATATGTTATCTGCATTTTGTCAAAATCATGTAGCTAGCTGAATATTTACATAGCTATCACTGTGCTTGTGATTGGGAGACTGATTCATTTTTTGATTAGAGCTCGATTCTAGCTATAGTCTGAAAAGTTAATTAGAATTCAAACCAAGAAGTGCGAGAAATTTCTATCTCTTTCCTTATAACACGGTATTACAGGTTGGCCTACATAACACCGGTAACACATGCTGGTTTAACGTTGTAGCTCAACTGCTGTTCCACTTGCCTCGATTTCGACGTGTAGTCTACGAATATGTTCCTCAAAGTTCTGACATAGTAAATGAGGAAGTAAGTATTTGTATGTGTTGTACGCCTTTCTCTTTCTTCTATCAAATTGTTCATTTTTTTCAGCAAGCAACCGAAGGCGATTTGGTTGACAAAATGCGCTTTCTTTTTGCAAGTATGGACATAGGAAATAGGCGATACATTGATCCATCAGAAGCATTGAAAATTGTTAGTGCATTGGCTGCCCGAAGCAGAAGCGACGTCATACTTGGACGCCAGCAGGTGTTTCTTTATATTTTCATGCCTCATTTGGTTTGTTTACGCTGGGCTAAATAGGATGCTTCTGAAATGATGTCGAGCTTGATGGAATGGATGGAAAAGGGTTTGGCTACACCCAGTGTGGAAGATGAGCACATGAAGGATGCCGCAGCAGAGATCATCGGTGTAAGTGCGAAATCGTAAGATCTTACTTTACTCTGCTCCAATTTGTCATTTAGGCTCCGCAAATTTCGACACCACTTACGACCAGCCGTAGTTTTGATGTGATGGAAACCTCACCTGCAGCATCGATAGAGCCGACTCCTGTCATTGGCGACGGCAATGTTTCAAATCAGAAGGAAGAGGCAAAGGTTGAAAGTATGGGTAAGTGGGATCCTTGTTCTGCATATGCATTATCTATGGAGATTTGAAGGTTTAGTTACTGACCAACCAGCTCCTGGGCCGCCATCACGAACGCATCTTGATTGGATACGTGATCTGTTTCATGGGTATCAGGCAGAACGGGCTACGAATGGTATGTCGTTTATTGATATGTTTTTGAGTTGGTGGCTATTCTTCGTGAGGTTACATTGGATTGGATTAGATTCTATCCTGAAATACTGATGGCTTTCAATTGGGCTTTCTACAGAGCCAGCCATAATTCTGGTTGTTTACGTTTTAAAACATACACGAATGATTTTCTCAGAAGAACCGTTTGAGCCAAAATTTCAACATTCTATCTGTCCAATTTTTGTGTTGCAGATAAAAGTTGGACAAAACTGGAGTACACTTCTTTGTTCCCTATCCACGTTTCTCATGGAAATCTCCATGACGCTCTCGAAGCACACCAGTTTCTTAACGATTCTGGAAAGGAGGTGCGAACAGCTTTATTTTTTGGTCTATAACACTTATTCTCATATTCATTTTCGTAATTTAGCCATGGTTCGAGTCGTTACCCGCTGTTTTGATTTTCTCTCTGGGTCGTTATTTTTTCAACGGAACGAAAGGAGAAACAGAAAAGCTCAACATGCGATTCCATTTTCCTCGTACCATCTTCATGGATCGCTATATGGCGAGGTTATCGCAGTAGTCGCATTTTACTCTATCAAAAATGTTAGTTTTTTAGCAACTACGATATCGTGTCTCGTTTGCGCGAGGAAAGAAATCGACTGCGCAATGAGCTATCTGACGTTCGTGCTGCTTTGAAAGGGTAGGTCTTGGTAGCTAATGGAAATTGCAGTGCTTTCATTTTTTTACTCTTCAGGATGAATGAGTTTCCTATTGGCGATCATACGGACAGGATCGTGAATATTTTGAAAGCTACACTACGGTTCGTGGAGGGAGAGAAGTCTGATAGGTAAGCTGATAAGGAATGCTCATGCTGTTATTGTTGTTTTATCGACCACAATTTGGTACAATAGTCTCAGTTCATTAGAGCTCACATTTACGTGAATATTACCAACTGCTGCATTTGTATAGGTTTTTTTGAAGGCAAATTGCAAGTAGTGACATCTGTTTTAGTGGTGCAAGTGAGAAAATGGATGATGACACGTGTCCTATTCCTTTGGCTGGCCCAGCTAGTAAGGCTCAATCTTTTGTGGAAGATAAACCACCCAGTAAGACATTTTATCTAATTGCGCAATTAGTCTATCAAGATATTTGCAGTTGCACCAACCGCCACGAACTTGGCTCAGCTGTATGGATTTATGCCTGAGCTGGAGAACTCTATCAACGAGTTACGAACGAAGCATAAGCGTGAGTTTCATGCACTATCTGACTGCACATTTGACTTTGCTATACTTCATGTTTTTATAGAGCTACAAATGCGCGAGGGGGAATTGCTGAAGGCGATTGATGAGATCTATGAAATTGAGGAATTGAAGCATCGCGGATACCACCTTCATGCTGTGGCAATCCATCAAGGCCATGCTAATGCAGGACACTACTGGGCGTATGTTAGAAAGGGTGTGTTTCATTCGTTCTTTAGTTGACATTCAGTGGAAAAGATTTTTTTAGGAGTTGACGATGACCATTGGGAGAAGTTCAACGATCAAAGAGTGGAAAGTGCCGCTTGGAGCGATATCGAAGCGGAAGCGGTCGGAGGTACACGAACAACATCTGCATACTTCCTCTTGTACGTCAGCTCAGCTGCGGAACCATGGCTTTTTGCGGGTGAAAATTTTGATCATAGGAAGTGGGTACGCGATCAAAACATATTGAGGTTTCAGATGACTGCACAGCTTCAAAGTTTCTGGCTGAGGATGTCCGCCAATTGGTCTTTGCCGACAATGAGGCTCTCGAAAGTCAAATCGAGCACTACCGTTGCACTCAAAATGAGGATGCTCGAGGGAATGCTGATGTGTATGAGGTACCAAACGAAGACCGCGGAAATGGATTTTCACCAGTTCCGCCTCCTATCAACGACAATGAGCAGATGCTTAGTGCTACACCAACGGAAGCGGTAAGAAATGGCCGGATTCTTTATTTCTTATTTCTATCCGCCGTTCTCACTTCTTTGTCTTCTACTCATTTTAGCTTGGCCGTGTCTGGCAGTTTATTCAATACACATAGATTCAGATTTACTTCTACTGTTCTGCAAAATGAATAGCTCCTTGCTATCTGTATAATTTCTTTCCATCATCATATATCCTTTTACCCACAATCAAGAAATCTCTAGCTTCGCAGATGTTTATTATCTGTGTGTTACTGAGACAAGGTCTGTCGAATTTTAGGCGTTGGCTGATCATGAGAACCTGGCTGTAGCTCTAAAGATGTATTGTGAGCCTTGGATTGATGAATCAACATTTGAAATGGAGCGGCGAAAGGTACCACAGTTCGTCAAACGTATTTGACAGTGTATTGTCGTGTTCAGCTGTTTGCAATCATGGAGTTCAACAAGGCGACTTACCCAAACAATGTAACACCTGAGATTGTTTATGAAAATCAGGCCAAGTTGCTCTATCTCAATGTTCTGAAACCAATGTTCATCGCGTAAGTACTTCTATTATTGTATGCAGTGCGGGGCACGCGTTCGCAAGTGTTTTGCAGATTGATGCGAAAAACCGAGGCTGCTGGTTTGGAAGTGAAACTTATGGAAATTTATAACAAGGTGAATCTTTTTTTTTGCAAAATTGTTTTGATCAAAGTTTATTTCTGCGGTTTACACTCTGATGAAATTTTATTGGGTTGTTTTTTGCTCGTGTTCTTTTGTTGCAATAAAGTTTTTAGGTGATCAGCAACTTTTACAATGAGATAGACAACGTACCATGCAATAACGCACAAGCTCGTCCTCTTCGAAGCCTACCAGAGTTTTACTACACTATGGGTTATCGGTATCCCGCTAAAACAATGCGTTTTGCCCTTGTTAAGGCGTTTACCTATTCAGAAATCGAGTGAGTTGTTTACTAGTCGATTCTTTTCCCGGTCTGAATCTTAAATTTTTTCTCATCCAAAAAGGCGAATCTTTTGCTACTCATTCGTTTGATAACGTTCTCCTTGCAGAGATGTGGCAAGATGTGCACGTGATGAAATTGCCGAGTTCGTAAAAATACCTTTCGCTCCTCACTACATCGTGCTTTTCCAAGTATGTTCTGCCTTGTGTTTTATCTTCTCCAACACTACCTTGAGTATTTCAGCGGGCATCTCATTTGTATGATCTTGTAAAGACTCTGTGGAGTGTTGTGCGGCTAGTGGCAACCGATATCAATCGCAACAACGCTGCAAATTTGCCAAGATTGTGAGTGATCTATCATTGATTTGGATACCTCATGCTCACATATCTCAACAGTTATGCTGTCAATAGTCCTCTCAGAATAGTAAACGTTCATTTCTTTTTTCAGGAAAGCTCTATAGCATTGATCAAATTGTCAGCGATGACTATCACGATTTCCATATGTTCTCTTTTCTTTCGAAAAGATTGCAATGCTCGTGTCTCTTTTTATCCCAGGCATCAGTCCTTTATCTATTGATTTCATGGTTCTTTCACAGATTTTAAGCGCATTGGAATTCGTTAATTTCTTCAGTCTCAGTAATGATTAGCTTAGCGCTATCGGCATGTCTTGTTGAATGCAATTGCAAGTCTTTTTTTTTCGTTGCTTGCAGCTGATATGCAATGCAGAGCGTTGTTCAGCGTTCAAACACTGGAGAACATGTCTTGACTTTTGCTCTCATAATCAGTAAATCAGTGTTCTATACCATCGCTGTAATGCTGCTGTTTCCTGGTGGAGCGAATTGTTTGATCTTCAGGTCAAAGTTTGCCTGAGTGTTAGAAAAGCTGCTCCCTTCCAAGTTTTTACATTTCATCGAGTTTGTTGAACTTGCCTGATTTTTTCCGTTGCTTAGGTCTTCGAAAGCGATCGAGACTTTGGTGAAGCTTTTAAAAATGGCGAGATGTGTCACTCATGTATACGACCGTGTCTACATAGAAATCGGCAACATTCAGGTCAGCTTACATCTTTTCTTTTTCTCAGAAGTAGATAATGTCATCTCCAGGGAGTACAATACCAGCAGCATGCGGAATGTGCTATACCAGGTCATATCATCCGTGGGCTCAATATAATTCCAGTATTGGTAAGTTTTACTGAAAAGCAGCTGCCTTGTTTTTTTCTGCTCTCATCCACAAAATGAACATGTATTTTGGTATTGTAACATGTATTCATGTATTTTTGGTCTTTTTTTTACATTTTACAGATTGTTTAGGAAAGTACAAACTGATATACTCTGAATGAATTTTAGAGCTTGTTTGCTACGATAGTCCAATATTTGGTTGATCGTGTTGCACCACGAGAAGATATTGCCCAGTTTCTACTTGGTTCACTGCTCTCTTTCGAACTCGCGGTCCATCGTTTGGCCTTGTGGGCTCGAGAAGGATGCAGGGATTCAGATAAGGTCAGTAATTTGATTGTTATTTTTGACCAAGTATGTAAGAGATAAGCGCTACGTTTAGATAATATGTCACATAAACGACACCCTAAGCATGATTGGAGCGGTTTTCCCAAATACGGCAGCTGCTAATCAGAAAAGGGAAATAACACGGGTAAGTAAAGATCATTTTGATTAGAACTTTGTGAGAGTAAATTATTACTTGGATGAATTGGTTTTTACTGATTATGTTGTCGATTCAGTCCTCTTACTTCGTTTTACAGAGGATCCATGGTGCAACTCAACCGGATCGTCATTTTGAAGTTCCATATCAGACGTGCATCTCACAAGCAACGGATATATGTCATGAAATGGAGCAGGTAAGCAAGCTAAAGAGGTCAGAATGTGGCTAAATTCTTTAGCTAATGCTGAGGACCTTTTTTTTTTCTTTAATGATTGAAATGAGACGTGTTCTCTGTACCTTTCGCACCTTGCACCCTAGCTTCTACCTTGATCGTAATAGGTCTCGATGCTCACTTCGGCATGATCCGACTTCCTATTTCAGGTCAGCTATCAATTGTCGATACTAGGATTGGCAGATCATACGGAAGCGGACAATGTATATACGAGAATGATGGCCGTTGTCAGTGATATCATCAATAATGCGATGCAATACGATGAAAAAACCACTGCATCCAGTCAAACGAGCGCTTTCTAATCTTACGACCAGCATCATGTATCCGAGGCTCATTGCCGCCGCATTTGAACTGTGTCATGGCTAGTGGCTTATCCTTAGGCAAAAATACAGCAAGTTGCTGTAGTAGAGGAGGGAAGTTGTATGGCTACTCAAACAAATGCTGGAACACGTGATGTCTGGCTTTGTAGTACTTTTAGCACATTGATCCGTACCACTCGCTTCATTCGCTCTGCCATTGCCTTCTCGAAGGTGCGAAAGCATAGCCTAATTAGACACTGCTTCGAAGCAGGTCGGTTACGCTGTGATGGCTTTCCCTAGTCATTTTACAAGCGCTCTTTAACACTTGCTGTAATTCATGTATAGTCGCTTCGGGACTACAGGAGACATTGCCAATGTACCTAATAACTGTTATATCGACGGCAAAGCGAACATGCTTGAATATTCTGTAGTGAGAAAGGGCGTAAATCAGGAAAAAGGCATTTAAAATCAGTTTTGCTCCATGAAAATTGAGACCGCAAATTCTTCTGAGCTCATTGCTTTTGCAGCTGTAGTCCTTGAAGCTATGCTTTGGTAGCTTGCCAGATCGTATATGAGCTGCGTTACTACAGTTCTTCTATCTTTCGTAGCTTTCCTATGTATCTCTAGTTAACGGCCCTATTCTTGGGTCTTTCCTGGTGCTTCCTAAATCTGGTGCCGATCTGTGCTTGCATTGACCGCTTGACATTTTGATGCACTCTGTCCACTTCTTTATCAGTTCGCCCCTTCTTGCCAAGGCGCGCTTCCTTGACACTCTAAGGTCAGTGCTGCGGTATACATCCATTGCGCATATTTATGCAATCTCACTTCTTTTCGTTCTGTTTCTCTCCCTATCAAAATCCTATTTTAAAGCTTTCAGTCATCGATTAGGTTATGCGCGTGCTTAGCGTCATATCCTTTCCCAATTCAATCACTTCAACGTCTTGCTTTCTAGATTCTCATTTTGTCAAAAGAAAGAGTGATAACAAGTGTAACGAGCGTGTTTTCATAAGTGCTGTTGTAATATTCACTGTATGTCTGTCGTCTAATTTTTTTTTGTTATTGCGAAAAATCCAAGTTATTAGACGCGTGAAGATCTGCTCTGCTTCCGCGTGAGTGCTCTTGTTCGGCTTCCAAATCTCTAATCATTAGAGAATGTAGGTATGCAATTTCATTGGGTTCGGTGTCGTGAAACCGACCTATCACGGTGTAATAACGGAGTCCATAGAGTTCTTTTTACTGTATCTCGGTTCCTGCTAACTGGGTCCTAGCTTTATAAAGACACCCGTGTATTTTTTGCTCATATCGTTTTGTTATTGTATTGTACAGTTTCTTACTAATTTTTGTTGTTACCGAAGAATTTATTGAATTCAGATGTATTTTTCCAGATGACAAAGAATGTTTAGAGTTGTTGTATGTGATGTTTTTGTCTTACGCCGTGAAATAAGAAAATATTGAATTTTATTCTTATATATTCTACCAGTGCATCACTTCTGTTTCGAGAGGCTCGCACTGGGCAGCATTTCAGGCAAAAGTATCGGACGAGCGCGCACCGCTCGCTTGGTCATCGTGGGCGCTCATCCGCCAGCAATCGCCGCAGTCATGTGGACGCTCGGCCGATCGCCGCAGCTGCTAACCCGGCTCAGTAACTGCCCCCCCCCCTGGCCGGTTATAGTGGATGATAGCCGTCACCGTGACCGCTCGTGCATCCGGTTCTTCCTATCTGATTTGAGAAAGAATTCTCTATTTATATGAAGTATCACTAAAAATCCTTTTATTAACACGGGGTAGATCTCATGAAATCAAACAGAGACGAATAAAAATCGGACTCATACCAGATGAATTTTCAACCGAGAGGCCCGCAGACACCATGCATGTGCACAATACTTGGGGAAATTCGAAATATCGAATAATATTCGAAAATCGAAATTCTCGCATATTCGACTATCGAATATTATTCGAAAATTGAAAACTCCGAAAGTTCGAATATCGAATATCATTCGAAAGTCGAAAATTTCGAATATTCGACTATCGAATATTATTCGGAAATGGAAGCCTTCGAATCGAATAATATTCGAATCTTATATATAAAGCTGAATGTCTGTTTGTCTGTATGTCTGTATGTCTGTATGTCTGTATGTATGTACGTATGTTCCGAATAGAAAATTCCATTTCTGAACCGATCCGGACCAAACTTGGCACACATACACTTCGGGACCCGGCGGGTGTCATAGGCTACTTTTCGTCATCGATCGATATCGATTTTATCGATTTTTATCGATTTTTTGCTGAGTTCACCTACGGGGCTGGGAGTTGGCACAGGGGGGTAATCGAGCATGGGAATTCCGAATACAATATTGGTTTTCAGGATTATCGATTACTTTTATCGATTTTATCGATTTTTTTGCAAAGTTTGAGCTACGGGGCTGGGAGTTCACACAGGGGGTAATCGAGCATGGGGATTCCGAATACAATATTGGTTTTCAGGATTATCGATTACTTTTATCGATTTTATCGATTTTTTTGCAAAGTTTGAGCTACGGGGCTGGGAGTTCACACAGGGGGTAATCGAGCATGGGGATTCCGAATACGATATTGGTTTTCGGGATTATCGATTACTTTTATCGATTTTATCGATTTTTTTGCAAAGTTTGAGCTACGGGGCTGGGAGTTCACACAGGGGGTAATCGAGCATGGGGATTCCGAATACAATATTGGTTTTCAGGACTATCGATTACTTTTATCGATTTTATCGATTTTTTTGCAAAGTTTGAGCTACGGGGCTGGGAGTTCACACAGGGGGTAATCGAGCACAGGGGGTCTAGATTCTGAAACTCCGTTTAAGGAAAGGGACGAAAGGAGTAAAACATGTACATCTTTACAGTACAGTACAGTAGAGCGGTACAGGTAGCAGTACAGTACAGCGCAGTACATCTTTGGCGAAACAACTCCGTGACGCTTACGCACCCTAAAAGCTATAGAGCGATGGGCCCGATATAGAAAAGGGTGCGCAAACTTGAATTTTTATAAGTTTTATTGGAGAACACAAGATCAAGCGACACTGCTGTCCTTGAGTAGCGCATTTTACTAATTTGTGTAAGCCATAAATTTCCATAAGCCGCAGAAGTTTCGCGAAGCTGGAGACACAGCCGTGGGCTCCCAAACTACCGCTTACCAACAAGTACTTGGCGGGTTGAAAGATCCCAAAATGACGCAGTCCTGATTTCTTCGAGCATTTCTGCAAAGTATGTCATTGCACTTTCAAAGGATGTGCTATCGCATTGGGGATTTCGGTATACTAAAATAAAGTAGGCGCTGCTGCTTCAATCAAGTAAAAACATAGACATTGGCAGAAGGGAGAACAGTTTCGGCTGGCAATTAAGTGGTGCTCTAGCCCTCTACTCATGAGGGCAAGGATCCCTCCCCCCTTCACTATCGCATCTAGTATTAGGTTGGCACATAAGTTTTGCAACTTTTCCCGTAACTTTTTTCCTATTTTATGTAGCAATCTCATTTTGTGGCATCATGTAGATTGTGATGTAAGCTGCAAGTATGCGCAAACCGCTTGATTTTTGATAAAGTAGTACAAAAAATCTAAGCATTTTTTGAAAACTGCTGAAAATCGAGGTTTCACGATTTTTTGGCAAACATGAAGCCCTACGAAACCTGATTCAAACATATGAAAAAGCAATTATAGGCCGCATGTAGCTGGAAGTTGGCACATTGGAATCAGTGAAAAAGAAATGAAATTTAAACTTAAATTAAGGTGGAGCGCCTTTGAGAAGTTGAACAAGTCAAATGCGTCAAGTTTTGAAGGCAATTTGTAAATACTAAGCTGCGAAAAGTCAGAATTCGCTATAACTTTGCACTATAGGGTAATCCTATGCGGTAAACACGAATATCATATTCATTTGTCGCTAAAAAGAAATTCATTTTTTGATCTCACTAACGAGGCCTTTTCATGCGAAACGGATCTCATTTTTGTGACCAGCATGTCAAATAAGCCCTATAGGCCAAGTTTCAGCAAAATCTGATGCATTCTAAAGTTTTTCACAAGTACCGTAAACCTACCGTAATCCTCACATAAGATGGTAAAATTCGGCAAAAATGTGTGCATTAGAAGCTTACATCATATTCGCATGTTCTTCTCAGTTTCACATCCTTCGCTATCACATTTCATCGTAGCCGGGAGAATAACATCAACTTTAGGGAGTTTGAGAGTACGGCATTTTTTTTTTGTTGCATGGCTTAGTCATATCGGCTACGAAAATACGCTCTTCCCACTCAGATCGAACCAGCCGCCGTAAGTGCATGTTTTTTGCGAGAAAATATGCTCTGCGCTCGTCTGTCCCATGTGCGTGCGTTGGGAGTGATGGGCAGCTACGCAGCGAGACACTGGCAAACCGCCAAGTGGATCTGGCAATGTGCCATTCCGAGAAATTTCCCTCATTATTCCTTTTAGTGTTATTTTCCTTCTGTAAATGCTTTGTCCTTCAATTGTTCTGCATAATTCCTGTGCAAGCATTGAATGTTTGCACGTCCATGTCCATATTTTCGCTTCTTGTGAAGTTTTCATGTCACCAGTAAATTACTTCAGAGATGGCCGATATAAACAAGAAGGACTCTATGGATATTCAGCAGAACCCCGAACCTGCAGATTTTCAAGCCAGGCTCGATCCCACAAACGTCGGCAACAAGCATTTTCGTAGTGTAAGTTTCATTCTTATCATTTTTGTTAATTTTCATTTCTAACAATTTTTTTATTCTTTTCCCATCTTTCTCAATTCTTTGTTCCACTGCTTATCTGACCTTCACTAATGAATTAATATTTTGATTCTAAGCAATGTTATCCGTTTAGCAGTCAGATATGACTCACAGAGCGCAACAACCGATGTTTGTTCCTACGAAATCACCTCCTCCTGCTTATAACGCGAAAGCTCCAGCACCTCCTCTTGCAGTAACATTTCGAGAGGTAAAATACTACATTTTTTATTCGAATTTCCATCTATATTTTTCTAGACTGGCGGGGGCCCAAGCGTGGAGGAGCAATGTACGATAGAATATATCCGATCATTTCTCGGGTCGTCGGATTTCAACGAGGATCTATGCCTGAAAGCCATCAGGGTGAGCTTCACTAAAAGCTACTTCTCTTATTTCAATGTAATACGTGTTTTGTAATTGTTTTTGAACGTTGTCTTATTCCTCCAAACTCATTATCTGATCATCTTGAGTTTCAGCATCCTCGACTACGTAGTCAGAAGAATAACAATGAGGAAGAGTATCTACAAGAAGTTGTTGGAGTTTATATGGATGAACTGAATCAGACTAATGAGAAGCAACAACGCTCACAAACTCCGCGTCCGGTAAACAATTTTGTTTTACATGCCGAACACGATTCTTTTTACGATAATTATATCTCTTCTGAGCGATTATATTTGTTTAGTCATTTTTACGTCGTTTTATCGTATCATGTGCCTTGTTCTGACGCCATTTGCGAACGTTGAGTCACACTCTAAGGAAGGAGCGTTTAGATAGAACTTGATTGATCGCGCACATATTCTTATCGGGTTGGGCGAACAAGCAAACTGTCCGCGTTCTTTTGAGCTCCGAGTCGAACTGACAAATGTTGATTAACTTGATTGAAAAAGCTTGGACATCTCTAAATGAAAGAGCAAGAACTTGACTCTACCCTTTGCTGTTTTACCTTTCACGTCGGATTGCTAAGTGGAGCAACTCAGCAATCTCTCTCGCATTCTGTTATGAAGTAGCTAATGCCCAACATTTTTGTGTACGTTCCCTTCAGGTCCAGACCTGCGCTAATCGACCCATGCAGACCATTGAAGAAGCTGCCGCTGAGATGGCACAGCAAGGTGGAGCCGTTCATGTGGTTCCTACAACATGCACTGGCTCCACTGCTACGTCCACAGCTACTCCCATGCCAGCGCTACCGTCTGCAGCTGAGAGAGAACAGAGTGACATAGAAAAGTTAGCTGTTTGATGATTTGGTTTCCCTTTTTCAATCTTTATATGCAGAGCCATAGCCGAATCTCTCATTTCACAAGGCCCACCTGGGAATCGCTCTTATAACTCATCACTACCAGCAAATCCTGAAGAGATGCTCAGAAAAGAAGGCGTATCGGTAAATTTGAACTATTATGGTTTTTTCTGTATTCTGAGGATCTGATTCTCATATGTTATCTGCATTTTGTCAAAATCATGTAGCTAGCTGAATATTTACATAGCTATCACTGTGCTTGTGATTGGGAGACTGATTCATTTTTTGATTAGAGCTCGATTCTAGCTATAGTCTGAAAAGTTAATTAGAATTCAAACCAAGAAGTGCGAGAAATTTCTATCTCTTTCCTTATAACACGGTATTACAGGTTGGCCTACATAACACCGGTAACACATGCTGGTTTAACGTTGTAGCTCAACTGCTGTTCCACTTGCCTCGATTTCGACGTGTAGTCTACGAATATGTTCCTCAAAGTTCTGACATAGTAAATGAGGAAGTAAGTATTTGTATGTGTTGTACGCCTTTCTCTTTCTTCTATCAAATTGTTCATTTTTTTCAGCAAGCAACCGAAGGCGATTTGGTTGACAAAATGCGCTTTCTTTTTGCAAGTATGGACATAGGAAATAGGCGATACATTGATCCATCAGAAGCATTGAAAATTGTTAGTGCATTGGCTGCCCGAAGCAGAAGCGACGTCATACTTGGACGCCAGCAGGTGTTTCTTTATATTTTCATGCCTCATTTGGTTTGTTTACGCTGGGCTAAATAGGATGCTTCTGAAATGATGTCGAGCTTGATGGAATGGATGGAAAAGGGTTTGGCTACACCCAGTGTGGAAGATGAGCACATGAAGGATGCCGCAGCAGAGATCATCGGTGTAAGTGCGAAATCGTAAGATCTTACTTTACTCTGCTCCAATTTGTCATTTAGGCTCCGCAAATTTCGACACCACTTACGACCAGCCGTAGTTTTGATGTGATGGAAACCTCACCTGCAGCATCGATAGAGCCGACTCCTGTCATTGGCGACGGCAATGTTTCAAATCAGAAGGAAGAGGCAAAGGTTGAAAGTATGGGTAAGTGGGATCCTTGTTCTGCATATGCATTATCTATGGAGATTTGAAGGTTTAGTTACTGACCAACCAGCTCCTGGGCCGCCATCACGAACGCATCTTGATTGGATACGTGATCTGTTTCATGGGTATCAGGCAGAACGGGCTACGAATGGTATGTCGTTTATTGATATGTTTTTGAGTTGGTGGCTATTCTTCGTGAGGTTACATTGGATTGGATTAGATTCTATCCTGAAATACTGATGGCTTTCAATTGGGCTTTCTACAGAGCCAGCCATAATTCTGGTTGTTTACGTTTTAAAACATACACGAATGATTTTCTCAGAAGAACCGTTTGAGCCAAAATTTCAACATTCTATCTGTCCAATTTTTGTGTTGCAGATAAAAGTTGGACAAAACTGGAGTACACTTCTTTGTTCCCTATCCACGTTTCTCATGGAAATCTCCATGACGCTCTCGAAGCACACCAGTTTCTTAACGATTCTGGAAAGGAGGTGCGAACAGCTTTATTTTTTGGTCTATAACACTTATTCTCATATTCATTTTCGTAATTTAGCCATGGTTCGAGTCGTTACCCGCTGTTTTGATTTTCTCTCTGGGTCGTTATTTTTTCAACGGAACGAAAGGAGAAACAGAAAAGCTCAACATGCGATTCCATTTTCCTCGTACCATCTTCATGGATCGCTATATGGCGAGGTTATCGCAGTAGTCGCATTTTACTCTATCAAAAATGTTAGTTTTTTAGCAACTACGATATCGTGTCTCGTTTGCGCGAGGAAAGAAATCGACTGCGCAATGAGCTATCTGACGTTCGTGCTGCTTTGAAAGGGTAGGTCTTGGTAGCTAATGGAAATTGCAGTGCTTTCATTTTTTTACTCTTCAGGATGAATGAGTTTCCTATTGGCGATCATACGGACAGGATCGTGAATATTTTGAAAGCTACACTACGGTTCGTGGAGGGAGAGAAGTCTGATAGGTAAGCTGATAAGGAATGCTCATGCTGTTATTGTTGTTTTATCGACCACAATTTGGTACAATAGTCTCAGTTCATTAGAGCTCACATTTACGTGAATATTACCAACTGCTGCATTTGTATAGGTTTTTTTGAAGGCAAATTGCAAGTAGTGACATCTGTTTTAGTGGTGCAAGTGAGAAAATGGATGATGACACGTGTCCTATTCCTTTGGCTGGCCCAGCTAGTAAGGCTCAATCTTTTGTGGAAGATAAACCACCCAGTAAGACATTTTATCTAATTGCGCAATTAGTCTATCAAGATATTTGCAGTTGCACCAACCGCCACGAACTTGGCTCAGCTGTATGGATTTATGCCTGAGCTGGAGAACTCTATCAACGAGTTACGAACGAAGCATAAGCGTGAGTTTCATGCACTATCTGACTGCACATTTGACTTTGCTATACTTCATGTTTTTATAGAGCTACAAATGCGCGAGGGGGAATTGCTGAAGGCGATTGATGAGATCTATGAAATTGAGGAATTGAAGCATCGCGGATACCACCTTCATGCTGTGGCAATCCATCAAGGCCATGCTAATGCAGGACACTACTGGGCGTATGTTAGAAAGGGTGTGTTTCATTCGTTCTTTAGTTGACATTCAGTGGAAAAGATTTTTTTAGGAGTTGACGATGACCATTGGGAGAAGTTCAACGATCAAAGAGTGGAAAGTGCCGCTTGGAGCGATATCGAAGCGGAAGCGGTCGGAGGTACACGAACAACATCTGCATACTTCCTCTTGTACGTCAGCTCAGCTGCGGAACCATGGCTTTTTGCGGGTGAAAATTTTGATCATAGGAAGTGGGTACGCGATCAAAACATATTGAGGTTTCAGATGACTGCACAGCTTCAAAGTTTCTGGCTGAGGATGTCCGCCAATTGGTCTTTGCCGACAATGAGGCTCTCGAAAGTCAAATCGAGCACTACCGTTGCACTCAAAATGAGGATGCTCGAGGGAATGCTGATGTGTATGAGGTACCAAACGAAGACCGCGGAAATGGATTTTCACCAGTTCCGCCTCCTATCAACGACAATGAGCAGATGCTTAGTGCTACACCAACGGAAGCGGTAAGAAATGGCCGGATTCTTTATTTCTTATTTCTATCCGCCGTTCTCACTTCTTTGTCTTCTACTCATTTTAGCTTGGCCGTGTCTGGCAGTTTATTCAATACACATAGATTCAGATTTACTTCTACTGTTCTGCAAAATGAATAGCTCCTTGCTATCTGTATAATTTCTTTCCATCATCATATATCCTTTTACCCACAATCAAGAAATCTCTAGCTTCGCAGATGTTTATTATCTGTGTGTTACTGAGACAAGGTCTGTCGAATTTTAGGCGTTGGCTGATCATGAGAACCTGGCTGTAGCTCTAAAGATGTATTGTGAGCCTTGGATTGATGAATCAACATTTGAAATGGAGCGGCGAAAGGTACCACAGTTCGTCAAACGTATTTGACAGTGTATTGTCGTGTTCAGCTGTTTGCAATCATGGAGTTCAACAAGGCGACTTACCCAAACAATGTAACACCTGAGATTGTTTATGAAAATCAGGCCAAGTTGCTCTATCTCAATGTTCTGAAACCAATGTTCATCGCGTAAGTACTTCTATTATTGTATGCAGTGCGGGGCACGCGTTCGCAAGTGTTTTGCAGATTGATGCGAAAAACCGAGGCTGCTGGTTTGGAAGTGAAACTTATGGAAATTTATAACAAGGTGAATCTTTTTTTTTGCAAAATTGTTTTGATCAAAGTTTATTTCTGCGGTTTACACTCTGATGAAATTTTATTGGGTTGTTTTTTGCTCGTGTTCTTTTGTTGCAATAAAGTTTTTAGGTGATCAGCAACTTTTACAATGAGATAGACAACGTACCATGCAATAACGCACAAGCTCGTCCTCTTCGAAGCCTACCAGAGTTTTACTACACTATGGGTTATCGGTATCCCGCTAAAACAATGCGTTTTGCCCTTGTTAAGGCGTTTACCTATTCAGAAATCGAGTGAGTTGTTTACTAGTCGATTCTTTTCCCGGTCTGAATCTTAAATTTTTTCTCATCCAAAAAGGCGAATCTTTTGCTACTCATTCGTTTGATAACGTTCTCCTTGCAGAGATGTGGCAAGATGTGCACGTGATGAAATTGCCGAGTTCGTAAAAATACCTTTCGCTCCTCACTACATCGTGCTTTTCCAAGTATGTTCTGCCTTGTGTTTTATCTTCTCCAACACTACCTTGAGTATTTCAGCGGGCATCTCATTTGTATGATCTTGTAAAGACTCTGTGGAGTGTTGTGCGGCTAGTGGCAACCGATATCAATCGCAACAACGCTGCAAATTTGCCAAGATTGTGAGTGATCTATCATTGATTTGGATACCTCATGCTCACATATCTCAACAGTTATGCTGTCAATAGTCCTCTCAGAATAGTAAACGTTCATTTCTTTTTTCAGGAAAGCTCTATAGCATTGATCAAATTGTCAGCGATGACTATCACGATTTCCATATGTTCTCTTTTCTTTCGAAAAGATTGCAATGCTCGTGTCTCTTTTTATCCCAGGCATCAGTCCTTTATCTATTGATTTCATGGTTCTTTCACAGATTTTAAGCGCATTGGAATTCGTTAATTTCTTCAGTCTCAGTAATGATTAGCTTAGCGCTATCGGCATGTCTTGTTGAATGCAATTGCAAGTCTTTTTTTTTCGTTGCTTGCAGCTGATATGCAATGCAGAGCGTTGTTCAGCGTTCAAACACTGGAGAACATGTCTTGACTTTTGCTCTCATAATCAGTAAATCAGTGTTCTATACCATCGCTGTAATGCTGCTGTTTCCTGGTGGAGCGAATTGTTTGATCTTCAGGTCAAAGTTTGCCTGAGTGTTAGAAAAGCTGCTCCCTTCCAAGTTTTTACATTTCATCGAGTTTGTTGAACTTGCCTGATTTTTTCCGTTGCTTAGGTCTTCGAAAGCGATCGAGACTTTGGTGAAGCTTTTAAAAATGGCGAGATGTGTCACTCATGTATACGACCGTGTCTACATAGAAATCGGCAACATTCAGGTCAGCTTACATCTTTTCTTTTTCTCAGAAGTAGATAATGTCATCTCCAGGGAGTACAATACCAGCAGCATGCGGAATGTGCTATACCAGGTCATATCATCCGTGGGCTCAATATAATTCCAGTATTGGTAAGTTTTACTGAAAAGCAGCTGCCTTGTTTTTTTCTGCTCTCATCCACAAAATGAACATGTATTTTGGTATTGTAACATGTATTCATGTATTTTTGGTCTTTTTTTTACATTTTACAGATTGTTTAGGAAAGTACAAACTGATATACTCTGAATGAATTTTAGAGCTTGTTTGCTACGATAGTCCAATATTTGGTTGATCGTGTTGCACCACGAGAAGATATTGCCCAGTTTCTACTTGGTTCACTGCTCTCTTTCGAACTCGCGGTCCATCGTTTGGCCTTGTGGGCTCGAGAAGGATGCAGGGATTCAGATAAGGTCAGTAATTTGATTGTTATTTTTGACCAAGTATGTAAGAGATAAGCGCTACGTTTAGATAATATGTCACATAAACGACACCCTAAGCATGATTGGAGCGGTTTTCCCAAATACGGCAGCTGCTAATCAGAAAAGGGAAATAACACGGGTAAGTAAAGATCATTTTGATTAGAACTTTGTGAGAGTAAATTATTACTTGGATGAATTGGTTTTTACTGATTATGTTGTCGATTCAGTCCTCTTACTTCGTTTTACAGAGGATCCATGGTGCAACTCAACCGGATCGTCATTTTGAAGTTCCATATCAGACGTGCATCTCACAAGCAACGGATATATGTCATGAAATGGAGCAGGTAAGCAAGCTAAAGAGGTCAGAATGTGGCTAAATTCTTTAGCTAATGCTGAGGACCTTTTTTTTTTCTTTAATGATTGAAATGAGACGTGTTCTCTGTACCTTTCGCACCTTGCACCCTAGCTTCTACCTTGATCGTAATAGGTCTCGATGCTCACTTCGGCATGATCCGACTTCCTATTTCAGGTCAGCTATCAATTGTCGATACTAGGATTGGCAGATCATACGGAAGCGGACAATGTATATACGAGAATGATGGCCGTTGTCAGTGATATCATCAATAATGCGATGCAATACGATGAAAAAACCACTGCATCCAGTCAAACGAGCGCTTTCTAATCTTACGACCAGCATCATGTATCCGAGGCTCATTGCCGCCGCATTTGAACTGTGTCATGGCTAGTGGCTTATCCTTAGGCAAAAATACAGCAAGTTGCTGTAGTAGAGGAGGGAAGTTGTATGGCTACTCAAACAAATGCTGGAACACGTGATGTCTGGCTTTGTAGTACTTTTAGCACATTGATCCGTACCACTCGCTTCATTCGCTCTGCCATTGCCTTCTCGAAGGTGCGAAAGCATAGCCTAATTAGACACTGCTTCGAAGCAGGTCGGTTACGCTGTGATGGCTTTCCCTAGTCATTTTACAAGCGCTCTTTAACACTTGCTGTAATTCATGTATAGTCGCTTCGGGACTACAGGAGACATTGCCAATGTACCTAATAACTGTTATATCGACGGCAAAGCGAACATGCTTGAATATTCTGTAGTGAGAAAGGGCGTAAATCAGGAAAAAGGCATTTAAAATCAGTTTTGCTCCATGAAAATTGAGACCGCAAATTCTTCTGAGCTCATTGCTTTTGCAGCTGTAGTCCTTGAAGCTATGCTTTGGTAGCTTGCCAGATCGTATATGAGCTGCGTTACTACAGTTCTTCTATCTTTCGTAGCTTTCCTATGTATCTCTAGTTAACGGCCCTATTCTTGGGTCTTTCCTGGTGCTTCCTAAATCTGGTGCCGATCTGTGCTTGCATTGACCGCTTGACATTTTGATGCACTCTGTCCACTTCTTTATCAGTTCGCCCCTTCTTGCCAAGGCGCGCTTCCTTGACACTCTAAGGTCAGTGCTGCGGTATACATCCATTGCGCATATTTATGCAATCTCACTTCTTTTCGTTCTGTTTCTCTCCCTATCAAAATCCTATTTTAAAGCTTTCAGTCATCGATTAGGTTATGCGCGTGCTTAGCGTCATATCCTTTCCCAATTCAATCACTTCAACGTCTTGCTTTCTAGATTCTCATTTTGTCAAAAGAAAGAGTGATAACAAGTGTAACGAGCGTGTTTTCATAAGTGCTGTTGTAATATTCACTGTATGTCTGTCGTCTAATTTTTTTTTGTTATTGCGAAAAATCCAAGTTATTAGACGCGTGAAGATCTGCTCTGCTTCCGCGTGAGTGCTCTTGTTCGGCTTCCAAATCTCTAATCATTAGAGAATGTAGGTATGCAATTTCATTGGGTTCGGTGTCGTGAAACCGACCTATCACGGTGTAATAACGGAGTCCATAGAGTTCTTTTTACTGTATCTCGGTTCCTGCTAACTGGGTCCTAGCTTTATAAAGACACCCGTGTATTTTTTGCTCATATCGTTTTGTTATTGTATTGTACAGTTTCTTACTAATTTTTGTTGTTACCGAAGAATTTATTGAATTCAGATGTATTTTTCCAGATGACAAAGAATGTTTAGAGTTGTTGTATGTGATGTTTTTGTCTTACGCCGTGAAATAAGAAAATATTGAATTTTATTCTTATATATTCTACCAGTGCATCACTTCTGTTTCGAGAGGCTCGCACTGGGCAGCATTTCAGGCAAAAGTATCGGACGAGCGCGCACCGCTCGCTTGGTCATCGTGGGCGCTCATCCGCCAGCAATCGCCGCAGTCATGTGGACGCTCGGCCGATCGCCGCAGCTGCTAACCCGGCTCAGTAACTGCCCCCCCCCCTGGCCGGTTATAGTGGATGATAGCCGTCACCGTGACCGCTCGTGCATCCGGTTCTTCCTATCTGATTTGAGAAAGAATTCTCTATTTATATGAAGTATCACTAAAAATCCTTTTATTAACACGGGGTAGATCTCATGAAATCAAACAGAGACGAATAAAAATCGGACTCATACCAGATGAATTTTCAACCGAGAGGCCCGCAGACACCATGCATGTGCACAATACTTGGGGAAATTCGAAATATCGAATAATATTCGAAAATCGAAATTCTCGCATATTCGACTATCGAATATTATTCGAAAATTGAAAACTCCGAAAGTTCGAATATCGAATATCATTCGAAAGTCGAAAATTTCGAATATTCGACTATCGAATATTATTCGGAAATGGAAGCCTTCGAATCGAATAATATTCGAATCTTATATATAAAGCTGAATGTCTGTTTGTCTGTATGTCTGTATGTCTGTATGTCTGTATGTATGTACGTATGTTCCGAATAGAAAATTCCATTTCTGAACCGATCCGGACCAAACTTGGCACACATACACTTCGGGACCCGGCGGGTGTCATAGGCTACTTTTCGTCATCGATCGATATCGATTTTATCGATTTTTATCGATTTTTTGCTGAGTTCACCTACGGGGCTGGGAGTTGGCACAGGGGGGTAATCGAGCATGGGAATTCCGAATACAATATTGGTTTTCAGGATTATCGATTACTTTTATCGATTTTATCGATTTTTTTGCAAAGTTTGAGCTACGGGGCTGGGAGTTCACACAGGGGGTAATCGAGCATGGGGATTCCGAATACAATATTGGTTTTCAGGATTATCGATTACTTTTATCGATTTTATCGATTTTTTTGCAAAGTTTGAGCTACGGGGCTGGGAGTTCACACAGGGGGTAATCGAGCATGGGGATTCCGAATACGATATTGGTTTTCGGGATTATCGATTACTTTTATCGATTTTATCGATTTTTTTGCAAAGTTTGAGCTACGGGGCTGGGAGTTCACACAGGGGGTAATCGAGCATGGGGATTCCGAATACAATATTGGTTTTCAGGACTATCGATTACTTTTATCGATTTTATCGATTTTTTTGCAAAGTTTGAGCTACGGGGCTGGGAGTTCACACAGGGGGTAATCGAGCACAGGGGGTCTAGATTCTGAAACTCCGTTTAAGGAAAGGGACGAAAGGAGTAAAACATGTACATCTTTACAGTACAGTACAGTAGAGCGGTACAGGTAGCAGTACAGTACAGCGCAGTACATCTTTGGCGAAACAACTCCGTGACGCTTACGCACCCTAAAAGCTATAGAGCGATGGGCCCGATATAGAAAAGGGTGCGCAAACTTGAATTTTTATAAGTTTTATTGGAGAACACAAGATCAAGCGACACTGCTGTCCTTGAGTAGCGCATTTTACTAATTTGTGTAAGCCATAAATTTCCATAAGCCGCAGAAGTTTCGCGAAGCTGGAGACACAGCCGTGGGCTCCCAAACTACCGCTTACCAACAAGTACTTGGCGGGTTGAAAGATCCCAAAATGACGCAGTCCTGATTTCTTCGAGCATTTCTGCAAAGTATGTCATTGCACTTTCAAAGGATGTGCTATCGCATTGGGGATTTCGGTATACTAAAATAAAGTAGGCGCTGCTGCTTCAATCAAGTAAAAACATAGACATTGGCAGAAGGGAGAACAGTTTCGGCTGGCAATTAAGTGGTGCTCTAGCCCTCTACTCATGAGGGCAAGGATCCCTCCCCCCTTCACTATCGCATCTAGTATTAGGTTGGCACATAAGTTTTGCAACTTTTCCCGTAACTTTTTTCCTATTTTATGTAGCAATCTCATTTTGTGGCATCATGTAGATTGTGATGTAAGCTGCAAGTATGCGCAAACCGCTTGATTTTTGATAAAGTAGTACAAAAAATCTAAGCATTTTTTGAAAACTGCTGAAAATCGAGGTTTCACGATTTTTTGGCAAACATGAAGCCCTACGAAACCTGATTCAAACATATGAAAAAGCAATTATAGGCCGCATGTAGCTGGAAGTTGGCACATTGGAATCAGTGAAAAAGAAATGAAATTTAAACTTAAATTAAGGTGGAGCGCCTTTGAGAAGTTGAACAAGTCAAATGCGTCAAGTTTTGAAGGCAATTTGTAAATACTAAGCTGCGAAAAGTCAGAATTCGCTATAACTTTGCACTATAGGGTAATCCTATGCGGTAAACACGAATATCATATTCATTTGTCGCTAAAAAGAAATTCATTTTTTGATCTCACTAACGAGGCCTTTTCATGCGAAACGGATCTCATTTTTGTGACCAGCATGTCAAATAAGCCCTATAGGCCAAGTTTCAGCAAAATCTGATGCATTCTAAAGTTTTTCACAAGTACCGTAAACCTACCGTAATCCTCACATAAGATGGTAAAATTCGGCAAAAATGTGTGCATTAGAAGCTTACATCATATCCCTTATATTGCCAAAAAATGAATGCGCCACGTTCAAATAGACAAAAGTTATTTAAAAAGTTGCATTACTTATGTGCCAACCTAATACATATCGTAATCAAAACCTTGGCAGATATTCGCATCATGTATAAGATGCGATTTGTACCATGACTCCGTGATGAGAAGCATGGATGGTTTGAAACAAGTCTGTGTAAATCGGGAAGTTTATTACAAATAGAGCGAGCATTAACCACAACTATACGACCATTCAAATTTACTTACAAGGGAGCGATACTCAGTGTCCGTGGCCTTTTGAGATGAAATGTATACCAATACACTCGTCTTCGAACGCTAATTCCGAATCTGACTTCCGCTTCTGCTGAACGTTTCTCTGAAAGAAGTTATGAAGGATTTTCGCGCCAAATTGGCCGCGCGAGGCACATACGATAAAAACACCAACATGGTAACATGTTGACATGCATTCATTTTCCGATCGTTTTTATTTTTATAGGCACCTCTTAGTATAAATATAGGAAATCTTATATATAAAGCTGAATGTCTGTTTGTCTGTATGTCTGTATGTATGTATGTATGTATGTATGTATGTACGTATGTTCCGAATAGAAAATTCCATTTCTGAACCGATCCGGACCAAACTTGGCACACATACACTTCGGGTCCCGGCAGGTGTCATAGGCTACTTTTCGTCATCGATCGATATCGATTTTATCGATTTTTATCGATTTTTTTGCTGAGTTCACCTACGGGGCTGGGAGTTGGCACAGGGGGGTAATCGAGCATGGGGATTCCGAATACAATATTGGTTTTCAGGATTATCGATTACTTTTATCGATTTTATCGATTTTTTTGCAAAGTTTGAGCTACGGGGCTGGGAGTTGGCACAGGGGGGTAATCGAGCATGGGGATTCCGAATACAATATTGGTTTTCAGGATTATCGATTACTTTTATCGATTTTATCGATTTTTTTGCAAAGTTTGAGCTACGGGGCTGGGAGTTCGCACAGGGGGGTGATCGAGCATGGGGATCATCCCCAAGGGGGGTGATCAGCATGCTCGATTACACCCCTGTGCCAAATTCCAGCCCCCTAGCTCAAAATTTCAAAAAATCGATAAAATCGATAAAAGTAATGGACGATCTTGAAAACTAATATTGTATTCGTAATCTGCATGCTCGATTACCCCCTGTGCAAACTCCCAGCCCCGCAGGTCAAACTTTACAAAAAAATCGATAAAATCGATAAAAGTAATGGACGATTCTGAAAACTAATATTGTGTTCGTAATCAGCATGCTCGATTACCCCCTGTGCAAAATCCCAGCCTCGCATGTCAAAATTTACAAAAAATCGGTAAAACCAATAAAAGTAATCGATAATTCTGAAAACTAATATTGTATTCGGAATCCCCATGCTCTTCCCCCCCCCCTGTGCCAACTCCTAGCCCTGTAAGTGAACTCTGCAAAAAAATCGATAAAAATCGGTAAAATCGACATCGATCGATAACGAAAAGTGGACTGTGACACCCAGTACTCTGCGTTGATACCACTGCTTCCAAGTTTGGTCCGGATACGGCGGAGCCGGGTAAGCCAGCTAGTACTTGTATAAAAATGACTCCGTCAAATTTTAAAAGAGTAAGGACACGCATTTACCTCGAGGAAATCCAACTCTCAAAAAGAAGCTTAATCGGGCAATGCAAAAATGAATAATGCAAAACAATGTGAACCTACACCTGCATCAGCTTGGGAGGCTAGCTCACTAGCCACTACACCACAACTACCGGCGGTATTGGTGTTCCTGTCATATCTCTGGAGGGCAAGTTTGGCGCGAAAATCCTTCATAACTTCTTTCAGAGAAACGTTCAGCAGAAACGGAAGTCAGATTCGGAATCAGCGTTCGTAGACAAGTGTAATGGTATGCATTTTATTTCGAAAGGCCACGGACACTAAGTATCGTTCCCTTGCTAGACTGTAGATTTTCATTTAAGCAGTTGTTGTCAGGCAGTAAAACTTTTCCTGTTTGAAAGTTTATTTTCTATTATAGTTGGCATCATAAGTACTGGGTACAGATTGCGAGGCAACAACCGGGAACATTTATTTATTTATTTATTTCATACGTACTAGGTGCGCTCTCAGAATTCCAACAAAGAGCCGCATGGAAGAGGTAGAATATAGTGAATTGAAAACAAAGTGAGTAATAAAACATAGTGAGGCTGTTGGGTGAACCACTGCTGTGTCTTTCCGAATCTACTGCAGACCTTCGGCCATTGCCGTGTGCGGTAGGTGAGACCAAGGAGCGCCTAGGCAAATCATGCGGTGTCCGGAGCTTGACTATCTCGAGGACGCGGACAACATAAACCAATCTGCCCTCCCTGGCATTCAAATCTCCCGCGAGTTTACGCAGCTCACGATCCAGTTGCCATTCTTCGATTGTAAAGTCGCGCCTAGCTTATGTAACTTCTGTGTGAGGCTCTGTCGCCCTGTCTCATGCATTCAAAAAGCTTGTTCAGCAATTCCTTAGTGCAAAGACCCACTTTTAGAACACGTCCAAGGCTTGTGGTCCCCTAGATTGGCCAGTTCGGACGTCTGTCACATTCCCCTTATCACACTCCTCTATTGATTCCGTTTCGCCCCATGTATAGATGTATTACCGTATGATTTCTTGATCAAAGCGACGAGTAGCCGGCACGTCACCCTGCTCGATCCCTATCAAGACTATCCGTTTTTTTCTTCCAACTTGTTTTCGTACGTACTTTGACAAGTGTGGAATACAGTAGCTTTTGCTGACCAAATTTGTCCGAGTGTAGATCCGAGGGCCTACTCTCGACTCCCCCCCCCCCAAACGAGTCAAAATCTCCCTTTGCGAATTCGCCCCAGGCATGTCGCTTTCCTCGGTATCATTCTTGTGTGCAGACTGACAAACCATTAAAGCGTGGGACTCGAGCACACACGACTTACAGGACTGATTACGGCAAGCGTAGGAAGGAGAAGGGGGAGGGCGCGGGTCATCGAAGTACCGGCAGTAGTAGAGACGACCGCACTGGCGGGGCACGCGGATCAAACTGGCCACATTTGGCCACATGAGCGAGCTCTCTAAACAGTAGTGCAAGTTTTGGTATCAGTCCTCTCATTGCCAGCGATTTTGGCTCATTATGTTTCTCCATCCTTCTTCTCTCATGCGGAGCGCACGTCTGCCCATTTGTGAATCATCTATTCGGAAAATATACAGTGTCCCAAAAAGATGTGCACACTGTTTGATTGCTAATAACTCTCTTGCTTTCATGTATTTTGCCGAGCCGGATTATTCTGTAGAGCGAAGTTCAACTTAGTTTACTGTATGGAGCGAATCACCAAGACTATTATTGTAGGATTACGGTATGAACTTTCAGCATATAGCGTCACTCTGGAGTAGGCCTTCTCATGAAATAATTCCAAAAAAATCTGAAAATTTGTGTAGCAAGGTTTCCAGGCGTGCTTATTTCACCACACAACATTTCATAAGTTTTTCGAGCTTTTTTGATGGCGTAATCTCATTTCTGACTAACATTGGAAAAACAGTTGTTACCCTAAATCTGAAATGACTGAAGGAAGCATTATACTGAAGTCCAAATTTCATTTTTGAAATTAGCGACTTTGAATGGCCTAGCTCAAGAGTTTCTGGCTTGTTTGGCTTTCTATTTGAGGCAAAATATCGCTTCCAATGAGTTAAAATTCTCGTCGCAGTTCCTAGCGTAATCCTACAGTAATGAAAAGCAATTGTTAATTCGATCCATACTATAAATCGAAGTTGATCCTCGCTCTACAGAATGGTTTCTTATGCTTGGCAAAATACATGAAAATAAGAGAGTTATTGACTCAAACAGTGTGCACATCTTCTTGGGACACCCTTATATGTTGAATTTGCATGGGAAGAGTAGATAAAGCAGCGAACGAACTGATCATTCATGGTTACACTATCCTTCCAATTGCTACACGATTCAGACCATTCCAATTGACTCTCGTATTCGTTGCTCTGTCGAACATCCTCGTTCTTCCGCCATCATTCTTTCCAGGGCTACGCAAGAATTTAGTGCGCGATGAATTAGAGAGTTCTGTAAAGATTTCGGCTCTATTTCGCTTTGCTTGCGCAGTAACCCTCACTCAAAGGAAGCCATCAGCACAAAGACCACGAGTCTCTGATTGTAAGGTAAAGTTGAAAGAGTCAGTTGTATTGTAATTCAGCTGAAGAACTGATCATTCATGGTTAACGAACACTATTGAGCCTTCAGGGATGTCTCTAGTGGAGTCGCTCTTTTTTCTCGATAGTCTGCACCCACAGTGCTGAATTTTCTGTGCGGGTTCGTAAGCCTTCGCTAATGTCCACATTTTGATAGCAACAAAAAATAGTCGTTGCGATAACCATGTTCTAGCATTCTTCTAGATATTCAAAAGTGGGCAGAAGGAGTCCAATTCAGAGACAAATGAGGTGTGCTACAGTTTGTTTGAAATTACACACTATAGTGGACTGTTAGAAAGGTTCAAAACGGGAACAAAATTGTGATGACAGACTTTGTATCAGCCAAAAACGCCATATAGCGGAGAGTAATTACTGTGAAATCTGCCCACTTGATTGGCTTTGCAGAGATCGCGGGTGAATCAGAAGTGTAGTGTAGTGGTTACGACTTTCTTCCGCCCTATTTTTTATTTCGCGAGTAGCTCGAAAGTTGCGACAGAAGCGGGTAAGCCGCAACCTATACATTGTTTAGCGATAACCTCTTTTGTGGGCGGAATTACTACACAAGCTAATTACGAACGTCGGATACAAAGAAAGAGTTTTTCTAGTTATAACACTTTTGGGGCTATAGAAATAGATGCAATCATCAAGCATTCATTCCTTTTTTACAAAACATGCCGCACTTGATATTCGAGTTTGCTGTGACGATGCATTGTTTGGGTGCTCCTTTCTTAGCCAAAATCTCGTTCAGCACAGTCCACATCTCGGCCATCTTCCATATGTTTCATCGTGTCGGCAATGCGACATCTACCACGCTGCTGGAATTACTCGTAGCAGTTTTGCGCGATACTATTAGGTTGTCCGGAAATGAATGTCCGTTTTGAATTTCAACCGCAATAAGTCATACATTTTTCATTTCTGAATACCTTTCAAAGTATCATTTGATAGAGCAAAGCAAGCTCTACAAGATGGCGTTTCTGCTTTAGCAACAGCTCTGATCCACCATGAGTTTCGAGCCAGAAACTAAAAATATTCAACTGCCCGAATCGAGAAAAATCGTAACTCAGTTCATAGCAATCCTACAAAAATTTTAACTTGCTCACGTAAACACTATCCATATAAGACATCTATGTACGCATTATCCTATTTTTTCCTTTGTTAGAAATAGAGAAAACGGAAATTTTATGCTTATGCCAAAGTGACGCTGTGTCGTCCCAACATAAGTAGATGTGTATTACAAACTTGTAGAAGTACAGACGTAAATTTTCAGATCTACAAATATTAGTTCTCGAGAAATATCGAATATAGCTTTCCTTAGTCAGCTGGTCCAAGCTAAAATTCAAATTTCTCGAGAAGTAAAGCTTGTAAAGAGCTGAAAGTCCGCGTTTGTACCTCTACAAATTTGTAGTATGCATCTACTTATGTGGGGACGGCAGCATCACTTTGACAAAAGCATGAAAATTTCGGTTTTCTTGATTTCTAACAAAGGAAAAAATACGGCAACGGCGTACATAGACGTCTTATATAGATAGTGTTTACGTGAGCAAGTTAGAATTTTTGTAGGATGCTATGAACTGAATTACGATTTTTTCAATTTTTCCGGCATTTGAATCTTTTTAGTTTTTGGTTCGAAACTCAAGGTGGATCAGAGCTGTTGCTAAAGCAAGATCGGCATCTTGTAGAGCTTGCTTTGCTCTATCGAATGGTACTTTGAAAGCTATTCAGGAATGAAAAATGTGTGAATTATTGCGGTTGAAAACCAAAACGGACATTAATTTCCGGACAACCTAATACAAAGGTCTCACCTTCTTGGTTGCTTTATTTAGTGGCCACGCGACGCATTACAAATAACGCCACACGACAGACTGCAAACGCGTAGTTGCAGTCGAGCCAAGTGAGGAGACGCGCATGTAGAAAAGCGCGCCAAGCGAAGACATGCAAATTTGGAGACAAGCTATGACATGCAAAAGTTCGCCTTGACCATCTTTAGTTTCAGCCTGGGTGCGCGTTGCGCGCTGCGTCGACTTTGCGCTCCACTAGGGCAGCAGCGAATGGCCCTCGCCAGTTCGATTACGGCGATTATCAAACCCACCACTACACCGACGATTAATGCCATTTCATTTCTAAGCAGACTTTCAAAATATTGTAATATACGAATAAATCATCATTCTTTTCCGGGCTTCCGCAGCTTTTTTTCCGGCTTCTCCAGCTGCAAATGTTATCCATTTTCTTCGCATGGCATTCTAAATTAACTTATGATGTATAACCTATGGGGACACATAATGAAAAGTAAATGAAAAGTACAGGACCGACATACGGTAATGCTTACAGCAAGAGTGGAGTATTCTTCAATCTCAGTCCGAGGAGAATGTATCGTACAGGTCTTTCGCGGTTCTTCGTGAAGTGCAGCGTTGAACGCCGTGTGCAGGCGACGCATGAAAATGCATGTGCAGCGAGGCAACACTCTCCCATATCCCGTCAGTTACGACTACTCAGACAAAAGAAGTCTGATAACATGTTACAGCCACCTGTAGTACCCTTTCCTATAGCTAATCACTTGAAGATAAACTCATAAAACTTACACTCACATGTGACTGCAGGGAGATTCAGAAATTAGGGGAATTTCGCCACACAAAATTGTCTGTCTCACCTTCTTGTAAAACACCTTCGGAATGCTCCATAATCACTAAAAAAACATTATGACGAACTTAGCGAACAAAAACTAGCAAAAGACTGAGAAAAGTTATAGAAAATACAGTTGGGAAGTAGTTAAATCAATTGCACAGCCGATGTTTCGTAATCACACACCACTCTTACAAATCCGTGCGGAACCCATCACCCTGAACACTGTGAGGTGAGGCACAAGTGGTGACAACTTACTCTTGTATTATTCAAAATCAACCCAAATCAAAAGCAAGAAATTTGTTTAGCTAGAAAATAAAACATTTGTTGAAAAGCCAAACACTTAGATTGGAAATACCTTTTAAAAGTTTAACAGGAATCTCATGGTTCACGTGTAATGATTAAATCTCCTTGTATATACCATATTTTATTCCAGATTGATATCATAAGCTGCTGTGCTTACACTATCATGCACCCCTTGTTTAGTCGGGGATCCTATAAAGCATACTTTCTACCCATTTTGGAGCGTACAAGGGAGGTGTTTTCGGTCGAAGTGGCCTTTTCAAATGGAAATGATACGTCTATAAAGAGCATCAAACGCTGATTCCAAATCTGTCTTCGATATCTGCCGAGCGCCCCTAGACGTCGAGTTATGAGCGTTTTTTGAGTTGAGAAATTAAATGCATATTTAGGACAATATTCGTCAGAATTGCTCAAATGGTCCAATGTTGATTATCAAAGCACTTTATTTAAACAACATCTTTCATTCAAAGCATTCATACTTAACACTGCTCTATTTGGGCGCTGAGAAGACCGTAAAACTTTATTTTACTTAGATTATGCGTTCATTTTTCGCACCAAGAAAATATTCATAACTCGACGTCTAGAGGAGCTCGGCAGATAACGAAGACAGATTTGGAATTAGCGTTTGATGCTCTTTATAGTCGTATCAATTTCATTTGAAAACGCCACTTCGACCGAAAACACCTCCCTTGTTAGTTCAGTGAATTTCAGTTAAAAAAGATATTTTCAAGCTCAGGAAAAGGGCAGCATGCATTAATTAGAATATTCTTCTGCCGTTCAAACTAGAAATATTGCAAATTTTCTCGCACAAAGGCTGGCCAACTTGGTTCTCAAATTTTTGTACCACATACGTATTCGGGCTGACATCCTCTTGAAAAGATAAAAAATGATAAAGGATTCGGCGTCTACAAAACCCTTGCTGGCATGCGCCGAACGCACTCTACTTCGTTATCGAAGAGGCTACTAAATCGCGTGAGACTAGTGCAATGACTTGCGCAGGCCAGTCGATTATCAAGTCAGTGTTTTTATCCTCCCGGTTACGCCGCTACTAATTTACTGCCTCCAGAGGTAGAATGCTTTCTTAACTCAGGGGCAGAATCGGACCATATTTCGACTTGGTCATAGCGGTGCTTCAGAACACTGCGTACTCGCCTCACTGACATCCTATGAGGCCATGAAGTTTTCGGAAAGCTACGTTTGAAATCCTGCAATTTTCGGACTTGCGTCCCTCTTAAACTCGAACATCAAACTCAATTTTTTTGCTGGCCTGTATCTTGACCAATCGTCTTACATCGACATTTTCTGTACATTCAAATCCAAAAAATCCTGCACTAAGGATCTTCTTTCCTGCTAGAAATATTTTATTTTATCTCATAAATGCACTCGAAGTGAATCAAAGAGAAAGGAAATTGAAAAAGAAACTTTAAACAACGCACAGACCAGCCATTTCCAGCCTCAAGGCGAAAAAAGTTAAGGTACAAAAAATGCATTGTATAGCGTAGAAAGCTTTTGAATGGGCTGACCAATTTGCAAACATCAAACAAATCTTTCGCACCGAGAGCGCTATCAAGATCCCAGTACAATTTCGACGTTTCATCAAGTGTAGGGAAAACTAAATCCTAAAAACAAGGCGTGACTGGTTCCATGGAGTTGCACATAACCGCGGAATTCTCGACTTTTATGGCAATGCCCTGTTGTCCATAATGCCCGCGTATCAGGGCTAGGGAATCCTAGGAGAAACAAAGAAGGTACAGACATTCGCGGACGACCAAGTGCCTTCGCAGATATCCAGTTTTGGTGTGCGAAATCTAATGCGTAATACCGCAGGCCTGTTCGAATGAGTGACCTCACATCTTTGAGCAAGTTCACACGCAATCTTGAATTATCGACCGATTTGTATCGAAAGTAGCAGTTTTTGGAAGGAAAATCAAAAAGAGATTCAGTGCAGAGCAGATTTTCAAAATTATTAGGTTGTAAAGAAAGTTCCGGGACACTTGCGAATTTTGTTTTCAAATCGCCGTAACTTCCAGCAGATTATCCTTTTTCAGAGCTGCGAATTTCATTGCAAAGAGAATTTCATCTACACCATATATTTGTCGTGCTGGCTTTTCGGCATCTCATAGCGGTTCAATAGCATGCGCAAAAGGGAGAAAGCTCGACGCGAAAAGTGACCTGTTTGTGCAGGATTTTCTCGGGCAGGATAACAGCTGAAGACCCCAGATGCTGTAGTTAAATAGAAATCTGCTGGGGCTGTTATGAGGACATTCATATGTTCAAGGGGCCACCTGCAAAAATTTTTTCCCAGAAAGTTTGAAAAATCGACCATTTTTTGCCCCTAAAAATGCACCATTTTTCGAGTAAGTGGCTTTCAAGTCTTTTCATTCTGCAGAGGACGGATCAAATATTTAATTACTGCGAACATTGTTGGAATAACATCTTACACCTCTTTTGGATCCATCACCCAGGCGCGGCGATCCCTGCAGAAGCGACGCCAGCTGCGAAAAGAGTTGCAGTCAGAGGCATTTTGGACAGCTTGTGAATTCTGAACACAAATCGCAAAACTCGAGTGCAGCTGCTGTTCAGAAGTTAACAGGCTTCCCAATTAGATCACCCATGATTTGGACGAAATTCTTTGAATTGCAAAGAAAAATGGGCGCAGAAACAGAAATTGCGAAATTTTTATGGTTGGAAAGATTGCCTTTTTTGGTATCGATAGAAATCAGAAGCGGTGTTGAAAAGTTTACCTCTTCGCTCTACTGAACACTATACAACACTTGGTGTCAAAGTCCGACCGAGTGCCAAAAAAATGAAATTTTCAAAAGTGCCCCGGAACGTTACAACCTGATACAAGTAAAGTGGGATCTGCCTAAACTTTTGAAGGAAAAATGGTATCAACAGGTACTTGAATGAATAATCGCTGTCGCTTTTTTGAACTTCGCTAAAAACATATTAAGGAGCCTTCACAATGACTGCAACGCATTCCCTTGCTATCCAAGCAAGAGTCGGAGATTTAGCGCACGCATACGGTACTCAGCTGGCGGCTAGTACATTCTATCGTTCATTAAGTCACTCACCCTGAAATGACTCCCCCTTTTCAGCTATCCTCCCTTCCTTAGTGATTTGCGTGCATACGAGCCTAAGGCTGCGTTCATACTGATTCCCATGTTCTGGAACTGTTCCCGCACAGTTCTCGCACTGTGCTGGAACTGTGCGGGAACTGTGCGGGAACTGTGCGGGAACAGTTCCAGAATTGTGCTGCATGCGCTGCAGCCGCCCCGCACCGTTTTGTGCGGCGGGAGTTGGAGAATTTTGGCCGTTCTCAACGGTTTTTCTTCCAGATTTCGCTCATTTTGGCCTTAATCCTCCACCCCGCTTCCCTTTTTGATCAGCAGCACTGCGAACTCGAAGCGGGGTTGAAGAATGAGCGCTTTTCTGCGCTGTGTGTTCGGAAAGATGGGCTATCGTGCGATTGTTCATTCTGTCTTCTTGTTTTTTTGCTCAGAACTACTTCATTTGTTCCAGGAAGCGGCTGCCCAGTTTCCATAGCCATCTGCCACGAATTAGGGAGTAGGAGAAATCCTGAAATTGCATGAGTTGGGACTTGTCTCTTGTTTTTCATGATTTTGGGCGTTTTTAGCCCTGTTCGTTTTTCCATGTCGTTGCTTCTCCGTTCTTTCTTCTACCCCGCTTCTCCTAGTGATGAGAAAAGCTGTGAATTTGAAGCGGGGTTGAGGATTGAACGCTGTTCTGCTCCATGTATCCGGAAATATGGGCCTTCGTGCGCTCGTCCATTCTCTCATCGCTATTTTTGTTTAGACCTATTCATGTGTACTAACAAGTCGCTGCGTAGTCTCGCATCTGTATTGAAATTGAAATAGACAAGTCTCTAGAACACATGAAGTAGGTCTGAGCAAAAATAGCGATGAGAGAATGGACGAGCGCACGAAGGCCCATATTCCCGGATACATGGAGCAGAACAGCGTTCAATCCCCAACCCCGCTTCAAATTCACAGCTTTTCTCATCACTAGGAGAAGTGGGGTAGAAGAAAGAACGGAGAAGCAACGACATGGAAAAACGAACAAGGCTAAGAACGCCCAAAATCATGAAAAACAAGAGACAAGTCCCAACTCATGCAATTTCAGGATTTCTCCTACTCCCTAATTCGTGGCAGATGGCTATGGAAACTGGGCAGCAGCCTCCTGGAACAAATGAAGTAGTTCTGAGCAAAAAACAAGAAGACAGAATGAACAATCGCACGATAGCCCATCTTTCCGAATACACAGCGCAGAAAAGCGCTCATTCTTCAACCCCGCTTCGAGTTCGCAGTGCTGCTGATCAAAAAGGGAAGCGGGGTGGAGGAATAAGGCCAAAATGGGCGAAATCGGAAGAAAAACCGTTAAGAACGGTCAAAATTCTCCAACTCCCGCCGTTCAAAACGGTGCGGGGCGGCTGCAGCGCATGCAGCACAGTTCTGGAACTGTTCCCGCACAGTTCCCGCACAGTTTCAGCACAGTGCGAGATCTGTGTGGGAACAGTTCCAGAACATGGGAATCAGTATGAACGCAGCCTAAGAATTCAGGAACATAGTCGCTCGGCGGCACACAGAGTTGTGAAAACCGACTTTTACTTCTGAAACTTGATAGGATAGGATATCGTCAATCTCGTTTTATTTTTTTACTCATCTCTCATGAATGCGTGGTAGCGTTAACTTGATGAAAGAAATGTTATCCTATAATTTCATACAAGCAGTTGCACTACTTTTAGTGAAATCTTCATATTTATTTCGCGCTGCCATTACACCCCTTTGGCTTATTTACCTGATTAGTGCGGAAAAAATACTGTCCCTCAAAATATAGTTCAAAAAATCGACGTAATTCACAAGTTTTTCTGGTAAATTTGACATAATTCCCAGGATGTGGATATACTCTAGCATTTTAAAAAACTGACCTCAAAATTCTACAAAAGGACCCGGCGGCGGATCCCTTTTCGCAGCCCATTTCAAATCAAATCTTGCAATTCCCCATTACAGATATGAAGAAGTGTGAAGATTTTCGGGAAATTTTTTGTTTGTCACGCGAAATTGAGAAATCCTCTACTGGTTAAGAAATGTGGTAGTGGGTCTCGAAATATTCTGAAAGTAGCCAGTCAGCAGTTGCACTAGTAGAAAAGCTGTGAATTTTTCTAACGATGAAGTGGCTGCGACGCAGCATAGTGCGTTCAGAAAACGTGGCACAGAGACTAGGTATACTCGTTTATCGCTCCAAAATCGTGTGTAATCTGGGACTTCGAATCAAAGTATGGATCCAACTCGTTAAGCAAGCGCAGTCCTGACTCGCCTCTTTTCGAGAATTTTTGCGATTTGCGTGTGATACAATCTTCCTTATTTGGCCAAAACAAAAATCACCAATCCATATTACAATGGGTATAGAATATTGGAGAAGAGATCATGCGCTACATACCAGCTTAATTTGAACCTTATATCAATGCTGGTGTTATAGTTACGGTCCAAAATTGCGCATGTATGCTATCGGCGCATCGTCAATGTTCTTGCGCGCTGTTATCACTCGTTCAAATGGACAGAAGCAAACAGTTTCAAACCAGACTTATATTTATTCAATCTCAAGGATCTCGCCTATGTATGGGAATTAAAAAACTACAGATTTGCTTCATGTTTGAGGTATTTCAGGGGAAAGTTGGAAGGACAGTACTTTTTCCGCACCTATACATTCATATTATCTCTTCTCGTCATGTAAAAGTTTGCAATCAAGCACGGTTACGGATTAAGTAAGGCATGCCGTACGTTATAATCATTGCCCATCGATTCAGCGACCATTGCTCCCAATACGTGTGAGCGCACTTTGTCATTAAGACTATACGCTACACAACATATTTTCATATGCATTCAAGAGATGGTAAATTAGTGCACATATAACGCGTAGAGGTCGCAAGTTGACGAAATTGTAAAATTTTCTACGCTTCGTGCTCAACTTTGCAAGGCTGTTCAAGTTTCTCCAATTTTATTTTGGCATGACTTCAGTGATAAGCTAGCCGCTGACTCCATTTTCGTTTCTACAAAGGTCTCCATCCTCATGTAAATTCTGTTGTAGATGTGTCACATTTGCGTGGCAATTTGTGCAAGGGTTGTATTATTGAAGTCTCAAATGCTTTCATAGACGCTATCTACAATAGTGTACGCACATCTATTAAGCAGCTGAAAGCTTTTTTTGACTAAAGATTGTGATGATCTACTTCCAAGGTTCTGCTAAAGAAAGTTATTTTCAATATTTCACCCTTCAGTTCTTACCTGATAGCATTCTAAGTGAATGTTTTCTGGAAGTCGCAAGTGCACGCACAAACGTTCCTAATCGAAAATACTGCTTGGTATGTAACTTTTTTCAAAAGTTTAGAAGTGTTTATTTTTGTTGCTGGTAACGTTCAGAGATCACTACATATCAGGAAGACAATGGCAGTATTCGCATTCGTGATGGTTCTTGGAATGACAGTGAACAATTGATTAATTTATGCATTTCGCAAAAGTGATAGCAGTGACAGCGTAAAATTTTGTGGGTGTACACTAGACGGCGACTTTTATGTAGCTAATCAGACAATTGCCGGGGGCAGGCGAACACCGGAAAAATAGATGGTTGATTTCTCGCACCCCGCTCGCGGATTTTTTGAAAAGCAATCAGGACTTTTCCTGACGCAACTTGGTAAGTTCTCGATCTCTCAGAGATTCAGCTATATATCTGGAAAAGATAAGAGCGAAAAAAGATTCAACAGGCGGTCTTTCAACAACTCGCTGACCATTTTCTTGGAATTTGCGAGCGGAACGCGAAATTTCAGCGGCGCGTATTTTTCGGCGCCGCCTGCCCCTGGCGATTACTCAGACAATCGCTGGGGGCAGGCGAACACCGGAAAAATAGATGGTTGATTTCTCGCACCCCGCTCGCGGATTTTTTGCAAAGAATCAGGACTTTTCGGAAGACCGCTTGCTGAGTCAGCGGATTTTTGAGAGACCGCCTGTTGAATTTTTTTTCGCTCTTATCTTTTGCAGATATATTGCTGAATCTCTGAGGAATCGAGAACTCAGCAAGCGGTCTTCCGAAAAGTCCTGATTGCTTTCCAAAAAATCTGCGAGCGGGGTGCGAGAGATCAGCAATCTATTTTTCCGGTGCCCGCCTGCCCCCGGCGATTGTCTGAGTATAGGCGTTTCCCATGCGTATAGCGGGCGTGGCCCTGCAGACATTTGAACACGGTGAAAAACTTGATGAACCTCCACTTTAGAGCATTGGTTTTTGTAATCTCTAGCTACCCAAAACTGCCACGCGCGTACGCTGGCAAACGTTGGCAAAGCTCCGCCCGCTATACTATGGGGAATCGACGATATCTGAGTAATGAGGAAGGATGCAAGGTAGATAATAAACGTCCAAATAGTAGTTATGTGGTCGATGCGCAAACTCATCACTGCTGATGCATCTTTTTATAACCGCTCTAGAGTTTCACCTTTTTTTTCGATAGATTTCTATAATTTATTCTATAAAATCCTGCGTATCCCTTTGATTGACCATACAAGCTAGTTACGCTAAAAATATTTATTGCAGCCATCGTGTATTATTTTTAACTTGGCATGGGGCCGCAGTTCGAATTGCACTTACGATAATTACATTGCAAAACTCTGTGGACGCAACCTTCACACCCAAGATGGATGTCCAAGAAATACTACAATGTAATTCTTATTCACACTTCGAAGCGGTTGAAGATGCAGAAATGCTGTAAAAAGGCAATCATAAACGCCACGAATCAACTGTAAAAAGGGAATAGGAGTACAAACAATTGAGAATTACGTACATGTAATGTTTGCGTGATTGTATAGCAGTAAGGTTCCAAGTGAAAGAATTTTAAGAAAGATAATTGAAAATGTCAGACCGGATAATGAAATTATTCTGAACCCGTTGGCTGTTCGTTGCTATGAATCCACCGGTCGTTCAAAACATCCTAATGGAGGTGTTAGATGTTAACAGTGTGTTTACAGTTGCGATACCAAATCATAAACGATTGATGATGACGGAGTGCTGTCCAGGCGAGAAAGCTGATACTTCTTGTTGACTTCTTCTGGAAATTATAAAGTCAGAAGCTGACAAATCTTAAAATTTTCAAGGGAAATTGCTAATAACTACATGCTGAATATTGCTCAATTCAGCCCACTCAAAACAAGAAGTCACGGAGGTATGGACCCGACAATAATACCCCTTTAACCGCTCGCAAGGGTTGTGAAGGGTAGCTAAGGGCAAGCACCTCTCGAATATTGTACATCTTAACAAGTTGATGACGAGCCAAATTTCAACGTGGCTGCCTTTCGATCGTTTTAACACGTCAACTTCAGCAAATTTTAGGCACTTATTCGAAACTGGCATATCAAAACAATCGAAAGTAGCCACGTGGATGGTTCATATGGGAACCATTCTAGGGGATGCACCATATGAAGTGCGAGAGTGCGCGAAGCATCTCCACCCACTTGTGACCAGCCGCGCCCACTTGGCAAATAGTGCAGGAAGTTGCTTGCGGGGCATGCCACTTTGAGAGCGGAGTTTGCTGACAGAGGGCGGAGTCGAGGTTGAATATCTTAAGCGGTCATCTGTGACCTTTTCCATGCCCTTCAAGCAAAGAAATTTTTTTTAAAGGTTACGAAGTAAGTGAAGTTCGCCAAAAGAAGGAGGGGGAAGAAGCTAATATAAAAACTCCAAACCAGACTTGATTTTATGAACACAAATCAAAACGATTGAAGCATTGGATTTAAAATTTAGGTACCGTAACATTGCGCGGTACCGTCGTCAACGTGTAACAAACGCCTGTGGGCAACCTGTGGTATTGTGTAAGTGGTTTCAACATGCAGAAGGAGCAATAAGTAATAACCGCAAAAGTTCGACTTATTCATTGCACAAGTTGCGAAAGAATATCACCATTGAATGTGAATGGTAAGTAACGGTGACTGCGATGTTACAGAATGTTTTAAAAGCATGGAGAATTGATGATAGATTGTTAGAGATGTAGATTATCAATTTTGCTGCGCCCACATAATTTCTCCTCTCCAGATTTCTTCTGGGCACTTCGAAGCAGTGCTCTGGTGAATAGCCAAATTACTTAAACCTTAAAGTTGAGATGGCATTTTCGCTCCAAGAAGAGGTGCTTAGTCACAGTGACGGACTGAGGATTAGAATACGTGATGAAATTTCATACTTTGTATCACCAAATTGCTATCTTTGTGTGGTGGTAAATGATTGAAAGTTTTATGCGAATCTCTTTTTCTCAGCTGTTGAATTTTGGCAATTGATAAAAGAAATATTTTCGTGCTGAGCAGTGGCATAAATTCAAGATCTTAAAATACTCAACCATCGACTCTTTTTCTGTTGCTTTTGAAAAATCTATTGTTCACAGCCTTACGATACCTTTACCACCCTCACGACATGTCTTACTGAAGTATATTCGAGTCTTCTACCAATCCTTCTAATGATTTGACTGTCAAAAGTTGCGCTGAGCTCCTCTTGTACAAACAATATCACTTTAAAGGTAAAGCTCTAAACTAACAGAGGTTGAATAAAAGTTGCTTTTAGAGATAACCATACCATAATCAGTATCTTGGCTACCACAGTGTACCAGGTGACTGCATACACAAGGAGAAGCTAAAAACGTTTGTATACATAGCTTGAATTGTCTTAGGTGTTCATCTAATGACCGATTGCGCAGACGATTTGCGATTATATGGTGGTTTCCCACAGTCTTGGGCTTAGTAAGGGGTGGCAATCTTACATTTTAAACACGAAATTTTATTGATTTCTTAAAATTTGACGGGGTCTTGAAGTGTTTACGCAAGTAATGCTTCGCATTGTTCTAAAGGGGACGATAAGTGAATAGAAGTGAAGAAAGTCGTCAGAGAAATTAACGGCGGAAGGCAATAAAATCAAATAGTTTCGTCCTCAGCAAAGTGGAGAGTACAATTTAGGTGTTGATAATTAACCCTCAGGATATGAAATGTACTTTAAATTGTGGAATTTCTTGCGAAACAGAAAAAGACTTTTCTCGGCCAAGAAGGGGTTGTCGTGCTGTTAACTTAAATGAGTTTTCTGAGAATTTTTGCATTTGGTTTAAAATCCTTTATGCGCATACATGTACCAAGTTTATTTCCACATTTATCATTCGCCAAAGACCCTTCAATTCAAAACCTTTGGAGTAAAAATTCGCTAACTTGTGCGAGATAGCATTGAAAATTGAAGTGTTCGCCTTTATATACATGTATAATCGAGTAGGTGTAACTCCTGATGAATGTCAGAAAATGAATTTCAGCATATGGTGAACCACTTACAGTCTTGACTAAGTCAACTGCTATCATCTTACTATTAGGTTGTCCCATAAGTCTTTTCATTTTTAAGTTTGTGCTGTGATAAGTCGTGCACTTCTCATTCTGAGTAGGCACCAGGATACAATTCGATAGAGCAAAGCAAGCTCCTATGAGATGACGCTATGCTTTTGCACCAGCTTCGAGCCACCTCAAGCTTAAAACCAAAATTCAAAAAGTTTTGGATGCCCAAAAAATTGAAAACTTTTTATATCTTCGTTCAAAAAAGTCCTACAAATCTCTCACTCGCTCACGCATATATAATTCACATCAGACACTCATATGTGCTGTTACTGTATTTTTTCATTGGCTAAAAACCAAGAAAACAAAAAGTTCCATGTTTTTACCAAAGTAATGCTGTGCTGTTCTTACACTAACAGTTGTATACTACAAGCCTTTAGAAGTACAACCGTAAATTTTCAGCTCTTTATGAGCTCTAGTTACCGAGAAATGCTAGGTGAAGCGTAAAAAGCCCGGGTGAGGAAAGCTAAATTCGATATTTCTCGGGAACTAGAGCTCATAGAGAGCTAAAAACTAAGGGTTGTACTTATAAGGTCTTTTAGTATACAAACGTTAGTGTAAGAACAGCATAGCATCACTTTGGTAAAAACATGAAACTTTTGTTTTCTTGATTTCTAGCCAATGAAAAAATACAGCAACAGCACATATGAGTGTCTGATGTGAAGTGTATATGCGTGAGCGAGTGAGAGATTTGTAGGACTTTTTTGAACGAAGAAATAAAAAAATTTCAATTTTTTGGGCATCCGAAACTTTAAAATTTTGGTTTTAAACTTGAGGTGGATCGAAGCTGGTGCAAAAGCATAGCGTCATCTCATAGAGCTTTCTTTGCTCTATCGAATGGTATCCTGGTGCCTACTCAGAATGAGAAGTGCACGACTTATCACAGCACAAACTTAAAAATGAAAAGACTTATGGGACAACCTAATAGTAAGATGATAGCAGTTGCTCTTAAAATATTAGGTTGAACACTAAGTTTTGCAACTTGTTTCAACTTCACTCTCGTTCAACATGGCGCACTCAAACTTTGGCATCATGTAGAATGCAATGTGAGCTACAAGTAAGCACAAATTGTCTGAATTTTGAACACGAAATAGAAAAGTTTCAGGCATTTTTCGAAAACTAGCAAAATTTGAGAATTTTTGAGGTTCCAAGCTAAAAAAGCCTTTGGCAGCCTAGACCATGCGCAGTAATGCGGATTCGTCTACAAATTATTGCAAGAGGTTGACTCCTTTGGCCTAGCAAGAAAGAAACAAAATTTATGGGCATGTCGAGATTTGGCGTCCTCATAAAGTCGAACGAGTCGATGTACGCGAGAGCTGCTGGGGACGACCGTCAATGACTAAAGAGTCCGAAGCTCAAATTCCGCCGAGACTTCACATAGTAAGGTTATTTGACCTGCCGAATGCGAATATCATATTCATTTGTTGAATCAACGCCTTTTTCCTTGTTTAGGGTGAGACCCCATATCGTACACCTACAGTAATCCTACAAAAAAGCCCTTATCACGCAATTTCACTATCGCTTTCGTGATCAGCATGTCGGATAACATCCCTATGCCAGGTTTCAGCCAATCCGTCAAACTTTGAATTTTCCCCCTTCATACCATACACCTACCGTAACCCTCACTGCGACGTCAGAATTTGGTAGGACAGCAGCTGCGCTTGTAGTATACATAATAACCAACACAGTGGCAAAATTGGAGTGCACCATGTTGAGTGAGAGGGAAGTTATAAGAAAAGTTGCAAAACTTAGTGTTCAACCTAATATTTGCATTACAAATTTTTGGAATCATTAGGCAACCCAATTTTGAAGCTGATTCGGTGATTGTTCGGTTTCTTTTTGTTTGTGGTACATTTTTTGACATTATGTAAATTGTGTATGATGTGAATTATAAACTTGCAGAAAGCTCTTGATTTTTGGTAAAAACATGAGAATCTGACAATGGCGTACCGAGGAGGGGGGGGAGGGAGGAGAGCCCCCCCCCCCCGAGAATGGGTCGCGAATTTGAAAGTTACTTAAATGTGTTATAGAAACGTGCAAGCGACTTGTTTTTACTTTTAAGCGCTTGATTCAAAAGTCACTGATGTTCGTATTGTTTGTCTCGTCGGCATGCTGTGTCTGGCGCGCACCATTGCTCGCTTGGAGCAGCATTACTGCCATTGCCATTCAGTTATTTTGGGGAGGAGGTTGTCGTTAAGCGGAGAATAGATGCTCTAAGGCTATTTGAAACTTAATTTAGAAAGCTTGTAGATTGAAGTTCAAAGGGTGAATTTTGGACAAGTTTTTTTTTCTTTTGCGACCCATTCTCGGGGGGGGGGGCTCTCCTCCCTCCCCCCCCTCCTCGGTACGTCACTGTCAGATTCTCATGTTTTTACCAAAAATCAAGAGCTTTCTGCAAGTTTATAATTCACATCATACATAATTTACATAATGTCAAAAATGCACCACAAACAAAAAAACGAACAATCACGGAATCAGCTTCAAAATTAGGTTGCCTAATGATTCCAAAAACTTGTAATGCAAATATTTTAATATTTGCTTACCCAAAGAACCCAGTGCAAGATTTTTAGTTTTTTAAGTCACTAAGAATGTACATAGTTGTATGTCTAAACTTACAGCTTGTGAGCAATCTGTACGATCAAAAAATAAACGAGACGACCTGCGCTATATACACTTCTAGTAGTTCGAAGCCACAATTCTGTGATTAACATTAATCATCAAAATAATCGGCTAACCTGGCTGCATCCGACTCTATTGTTGAATTATTGTTGATCTTAATTGAATGTCGCTTCGCCAATACTCCTGCTGTTCCGCCGCGCCGTTCGAGCATCGGGTTCTGTTATGGTGAACAGTCGTGTAGAAAAAGCAGAAACTTCAAAGTTATATCTATAATACCTCTTCTCCTCTACTATCTTCTATTTGCATAAGCGTGGGTGGAACACGAGGTGATTGGGGACTTGGCAGGATGGCTATGGTTGTGTGGGAGAGTTGAAACTATAAACTAGTATACTGATACATAAAGAATGCACAATGGTGAGACACAGTGTAAGGGATAGATTCCCATAATCAAAAGGGATGAAAATGATTTTTTTAAAGAAGCCCAAACTTGAGTCACACAAATGCAGATCTCTACGTGGACCTTTTCTTACTCCAACTTCGACGGCTCTACAGCTTTCGCTTGCGAGTCGCATTCTGCCGATGAGAGTAGTGAACAAATTTTTTACACCAAACCATATCTTTTGATAAGTAGTTTTTCTTCAAAGTGACTTGCTTTACGTTGAATCTGGTAATGGTTCAAATATCCTTGTAAAAGCGATACTTCAATTAAAATCTTTGACAGTGTTTTTGTATATACAAAGGATCGCAACGACACTCCACACAACTGACAATGAGCAAAGGACGAAGGTACCCTTTGATTCAATTGGCTTGACGGCTGGAAGGCGGAGCTCCGTGACCTAATTAAGGCTAAGTAATGATCAGGGAGCACTTGGAAAGACGCAGACTGCGTCGCGAGCGCGAACGGCCTTAACTAGATCAGAAAGCCCGCCTTCCAGCCGCCAGGCCAGTTGAATCAAAGGTTAAAATTAGTAATTAAGCAAAGTAAGGTAGGCTACTGAAAGGGACGGTAGAGTATAACGAGAAATCCGGTGGGCTGATGATGGCGGTGAGCGTTAAGGTGCCATCATTGTAGGAGTGCCACTTACTATGGATCTTTGTATGAGATTATGTTAATTGGTGTCTTTGATTCTCATATGCGAAACTCATGATGTGCAGACATGTCAGAAGCTATTTTGGATCATGTCTGTCACTGCTATCAAAGTGCTCTGCATTCTGCAAAGTATTCATTCAAGTATCTCTTACACACCGTGATTGAGCTGCACGGACAAGCACTCACATGGTGAATCAGGCCAATATGATGACAACATTATGATCTTAGCGAAGATTTATTCCAGTTAATTTCAGCTCACACGCCGTGGAAAAGAGAACTGCTATGAAAGTGAAATAAGACCACAAAATGCACGCAGTTATGCGCGTCTTCACCTAAATTACACAGCACCAGATCAGACTTTGCGGGTTTCAAGAGTTATTTTTAAACGATTGATTTGCACCGCAGCTGGAGCAGTACTTTGGTTACTGCTCCCTCATAATTTCACTTGAAATACCGAAGAGCCTTTGAATTGGAGTAATTTAGGTAATTGTTTAAGTGTACAACTGAAACGCCGGTGGAAAAAAGCCTTAGCAGTTCTGTTCATTTTAGAAGTACCCTAATTTCACGCGTACAAGGCGCGGTGGATTTTTTTTTCCAAAATTGACTAGCTCAAATACGCCAAAGAACTTTGCAACCAAAAGACCCTATACCGTGCTGTATATTGCTTAAGAGAATCGTACGGCATAAGGATCGCTTTCCGAAATACTTTGGAGCGGCTGAAGGGTTTGATTGAGAAATCGAAAAAGGTGCTCCTTGTACGCATGTAGGGTACTTAATCTAGCAGCCCTTAAATCGTCTTGCTCTCTGCAAAAAGTTTTCTAAAATGTTGACTGTAAACGTAAAAAAGTATACGTATTAATCTTATGTGCTTGAGAAGAACACCAAAAGGGTGCAGTAAGGGTTGACGGACACGACACAATGTGGCTCACATCAACAATTACTACGAATGTACTAGGTTGGCAAAAGAATGTCCGTTTTTCTAGGCCTACTTCCCGAACAACTTTCTCCCTTCAAAATTTGTTTTCCGATATAGATTCTGCATATCATCGAAATAAGATTCTATCTCATCTGTGAGAATTTCACCAGCATCTCGCACAGCTGCACTCAAAATAGAAATCTCGTTGCCTTAACTTCCTTGACCATATTCAGGCGTAATTGAAGAATTCTTTGAAAACATAGCAACTGTATGGAATGAATATTGTTTACCCATTGCATGTTTAAGTAGATTTTCCAAAAATATCTGGACTGAGAAATTGACGCCCCAAGATAGATACTTGCTGCTGTCATTCTACGGGTCAAAAATTTCCCATGATTAAGGCAATCGCCAAAGATTCGCTCACTTCTGTAGCTTGGGATTAGGACATCTTGCCTACAACTTTTGCAGAGAAACACAGCTATACAGTGCATAAAGAATTCCAGGTTTTTTTGAATTTGGGACTTTCAAGCCTACTACAAGTAGGATTGAAATACATACGTATACTATCTTTGCGGCTACTAAATGATTGATTATCAGCTATAGGAACAAAACTTGAAAGGATTTGTAAGGTTTCATAAACGACTTCAAAAGAGAAGTTTTTTGGCGCATGGTTTTCTTCCCGTTTGCATTACCAGTATGAGCAGACGTGCGCCAAGTTACGAAAGGCTTGATGCTTCTAATGGTCTTGACTATATTCAAAAATATGAGGAATGAACAAACTTATACGTTTTCAAAGTAAAACTTTTCAAAACGGACATTATTTTTGCACCAATCTAGTACTAAACAACTTCAAACCTATATTGTGCGAACATAAAAGCATACAGGGGAAAGGCAAGGATAGGCTTGATATTTACTCAAAAAAAACTCGGTTTAATTCGTCACAGCTTCTTTAGCCGTAAACATTCCGCTCTTGGTCAATAATAACACAGAAAATAAGCTTTAGCACTAATGACTTACCACACAATTTCTCTCTAGCGCGTTGTCTTCCAAATCTTCACCACCAGTATCTACACTGAGCATTTTCGTTTTTGAAACACTATGACTGTGCGGGGCTGTCGGCTTGTACAACGTTGTAGGAGAGATTTGCCTTGGAGCCGTCGGTGTTTCCTTCGAAGTATTGCTTCCCGAGCCCGCATCCTTTGCTTCCGTTGAACCGATATCTTGTCGTTTCACATCGTCAGGTCTTGGTGGGATAGAAGAGTGTTTTTGTTTGGATTCCGAACCTGCGGCATCTTCCACGCTAGCTGATGTGAGACTGCTTTTCTCATGTGCTGGTGGGAGGGGAGCCGGAGCACGCATCCATCCCGGTTTTAGCGTTGAAGGTGGTGGGATTGGAGCGCTATGATGGTCCGATTGAGTCTGTTCTTTCGGAGAATGACTGATACCATTAGGCAAAGAGTTTGGACGTCGTTCAGCGACTAGTGGGTGTGGTTTTGCCTTTGGATCTGGAAGCGGTGGTGCCGATTTCGGCACATGTGCCAGTGTAGCAAAACTGTTGTCAAGTTCCTTTTCTTTTTTACGTCCGAACAATGTCAAATCACGCCAACGTTGTTTTTCCTGAAAGGAGCAAGATCAATGTTGTCTAGTAATCCCATATCTCAATGTCCTGTGCTACACAAGGTAGCTTTAAGCTTTTATGCCCTTTCCCATATAAACTACTCTTTTTAGAGTTCTACTTTGAATCTCACTTTGCATTATATGCTATCACATAGTCCCTTTTAGAGCCAACATGGACATGTAAAGCACTGGTGACACCTTGCTTATTACGTATAGAATGAATATTATATACTAGCAGCCAGAAACTAATCTTCAAGAAGGAGGCAGGGGAAGAGGAGACTATTTGGAGGTTGGAGCTTACAACACGAAACTTAGGGCTGCATGCACTAACATCCCCGCCGGGGAGGGGATCGCAGCTCAGGAGAAAGCTTCATATTCTGAAGCTCCAAATATCTAGATCTCACGCTGTATACCTGTCCGCAAGTATTCCTCTATCCTTCACTATGAACATATTGAACAGGAGCGAGAAGCTGTACAAGCCGCATTTTCCAGCTTTTGTATCATCCCTGATGATCCCCGGCGCTTTTCTTCAAGTCATTTTTCTTTCTTTGAAGTTAACGAAGACCTTCCGAGTTGTACTAATTATCTAACACAACAGTGCTAAGCATGTTACTGATGAGAACAAATGAGTTTCTGAAAAATCGAATTTTTCGATAAACCACAACTTTCAACTTGTGGTTCATCGCAAATTTCATGACTCCGCTACATCACTTGTTCTTATCATCAACATGCTAAGCAGTGTTAAATTAGGTAATCTGCACGGCTTTGGAAACTTTTCGTTGAATTTGGAGAATGAAAAGTGACTTTAAAGAAAAGCGCCGGGGATCATCGGGGATCATACAAATGCTGGAAACTGCGGCTTGTACAGCTTCTTGCTGCTGTTCAATGTGTTCATAATGAAGAATAGCAGGAATACTACGGTTACGTACACAACGTAAAATCCAGATATCTGGAGCTTCAGGATATGAAGCTTTCTTTTGAGCTGCGATCCCCTCCCCACGGGGATGTTAGTGCATGCGACCCTTAGGGAGGTACCATTATTCTTCAATCCAAATCAACTACCCTAACTTACGAGTACAAGATGCACTTTTTTCGATTATTAGGTAGCTGCTCAGCCGCATCATTGTATCTCGGAAGACGGAGCTTATGCCACACAGTGCCTTCAGGCAAAACGCGGTATGGTAAAGGGTTCTTTAGTCGCGAAATTTTTTGGTGTGTTAAAGGCAGTGTCTCACCAAAGTTGAGGTCGCGCGGATCTTTACATACTCTATTATAGGGACCTCTAAATAGGCCAATGCAACAAGTCCCACTCAATTTGACCTTCTCCACGCTGAGAAAAATTCGTTCAAAGTGGTACGCGGAGAGGGACTTGGTACGCGCGGACGACTCCTTCGGTCTCCCCCCTTACGCGTTTGAACATGTCCCTCCACTTGGCATCCACCTCCTTTCTGTTGCTGCCACTGTGGCTGTGGCTGAAGTTGGAAGGCACAACTCGTCCGCGTTGCTTCCGTGGGGCCCCCAGAAAACGGGGTTTTTGGGAACTTTATGTGATTTTAAGCCCATACAGTGCTAGACAGGGTCCGACAGGCCTGCAAAATGCAAAAATCTCGGCAGCTAAATTTTGGTGAGACACTGCCTTTAACGCTAGTCGAGTTTGTAAATAAAATCAGATGCGTCTTGTACTTATGAAATTAGGGTAACATTCCCCGAAAGGTCATTGCATTACACAACAGTCCTCAGCTGCACATTAATAGTTGATAAAAACAAATCTGTCTTTTACCGCAGCTACAGATGATAAGCAATTGATCGAATGCACAAATGCAGAAGGACTTGTGAGAAGGTAATTTATCTTTTGTGAAAAATGCGATAACGCTTTGCAAACAATTCAAGAACTTTCTATCTACTTCTGCAAATTTTACCAGAATCTCCCAATCAAGAGTCTCTGTTTAACTAAGGCCACTCTATCTTTTTTTTTATCTTTTTTTTATATACCATCTATGTAAGATTCTATCGCAATAGTTTGCAGATTAGAATGCACATGTGCTGATGACGCGGCATTGTAAAGTCTTGTGATTGATAGGTGATAGATACAAGAAAAATGTTGATAACAGGAAAGAGGTGCTGTCAAAGGATCTATCCTTGATGACACTCAAAAACTTCCGACAGATAGCTTGTCGCTAATAGTAACAGAGCTTTATTGAAAAAACATTTTGTGAATTGGTCTAGAAGTTATGCCACTCGAAGTATGTGTGGTTGAATCTCTGGCTACTAAAAGACGGCAAAGCCCCATCATGTAGTAATGAAATGTATTAGGTTGGCTCGAAAGTTCTGGGACATTTTCGAACTAGATCTGCTATTTCTCGAAACCTAACCGCATGTACATCAGGTAGAGGTACCATTCGAGAGAGCAAAGCAAACTCAAAGAGAGCAAAGATATTATACTACAATGAAGAAGATTACGAAATGAACTTTGCAATTTTGCAATCGATGAACTAAGCACCAAGCGTTGGTTTCACGGCGCTGATCCCAGTCACACGGGATCTGCCAATACTCTAATTGTTTATAACTCTTGAGCACATTTTATACACATTACGCTATTGTAATATGGGACCGAAAAGACATGTAGTGCTGGGCGTACATCACACGATTCCATCGCGATTCCACACGCCTTGCGTCCTACACAACTGATCGCGCTAACTACCACAAGCGCAATGCAGGGTGATCGGCATGATCATGGACTCGTGAAAGTTGTCTTGTTGGAAGAATCGCGAGGCGATGAATCGCGTAATGCATGCCCGACCCTCACTGCGAATCACCCAATGGCGCGGTGACCACAATCGCACGGTATGCCTGGGGTTTTGAAGGCGATGGCTGGGCAAATCCTCGACCTACACCTTTTTGCTTAGCTGGGTGATTCAACGCGGTGATCTCGAAGACCCAATGCAAAGAGCTCCAAAATGGCAAAAACCAGCAGTTTCTCAGGCTCTCCCTTTGCTTACAGTGGAATAGTTCGCCAAGGTTGGAAACGCGATAGTGTGCGGGACCCTTATGGTCATAACATTGCGACGTGCCGCCTTCGACTGTGGAAGGGAATCGCGAGCTTGTCCAGGCGCGGGTAAATATGGCTTGCGCGCACGGGTTGGGGGCAGAGTTTTCTTGGAAGGAGCAGCATGCTGTAGACTTGCACTTGCTCTGTTTTCCATAAATGGGATTTGAGCAAACTACCGCCTCAAAATCCCGAGTTGTTCAGTTTGACCGGGCCACTGCTTTTGAAGGCACTCTGCATTCTTATTTTAAGATAGAACAGCATGAATAAGCAATTGTCCAACACGAATGATATGAGGACTTTCCAAACATGACGTGAGCTATAACGATCTCCAAAAAAAGCTACATTCTTCCAACTGCTCAATGTTATCATTATCTGTCGGTGACAGGAAGTATAATGTTTTGGAATAAGTTGATGTCAGCTTAGAACTTTACAGCGATTATGAAAGACAAGCAAAATGCACGAGATGGACGGGGCATTTGATGGCTTAAAGCATTAGATCAGAGCTTCTTGAATTATTTTTACGCCTAAAGCATATTTCAAGCGATGCTGTGCGATCTGGCACTGCAACGACTCTTCTTGGTTGTATATGCGCTTTGCTTGGGCCAGACTTGATGTGTTTGCAACAGCCTACAGAAACTATGTGCCTATGCATTCAAAACAAACTCACGAGTGATCTGTAGACATCTGGCAATTAGCCAAGCGGCGTGGAGGCAGGGATTTGACAAAGTCGCTGGAAATTTGCTTTAGGCTGGGTTCATACTGATTCCCATGTTCTGGAACTGTCCCGCACAGTTCTCGCACTGTGCTGGAACTGTGCGGAAACAGTTCCAGAACATGGGAATCAGTATGAACCCAGCCTTAGGCCTTAGGCTTCTGAAGACGGCCTACCGCCGGACGTGAAGCGAATAGAGGTTTTTTGGCACCCTGTCACGGAAGGAAGTTTTTTTTTGAAGTTTTCTGATTACAAAAGTGCCGAAATTAGGAAATACTCGCCATAAAATATGACGCTTGATGAGCACTCAGCGTGAATACGCGAGACAAAGAACGATGTGGCCAAAGGTCTTGTCGTGCCAACTTGTAAGGGAAGAGTTTTAGACAGTTAGCGAATGGAACAGAACAGCATAGACAGTAATAGTATTTGCGTAGGAAATCTGTCTGCTATATTGACTGTTTCAAAAATGCTCAAAATTTGTGTAAAAAAAGGAATACTTGAGGAAAAAACTTCATGAATGATTTTTATATTTCCTTTGTTTCGAAACCAAAAACCTTTCAGGACGCATGTATTTTGTAAAGCAGACTCAGAGTTTTGAACATCTTAGGTCGGTGCAAAAGTTTTGTCAGTTTTTGAATCCACCTGTAAATAAATGTACCCTGACGAAGAATTTCCTTCTCTTTCCAGCTGCTACATATAATCTCAGTGCGATTCGATAAGAAAATGCTAAAATGATCGCTGGAGTTTACAACCCTTCCTTCTACCATGTCTAAATTGCGCTGAAAAATGAGCGCCATTGCGGCGAAGACTACGAAATCAAGTGTACCATATTGGCTTATGAAGAAGATGCCTCTGCGGAAAGCTCTCAAAGCATTTTAGATCACTCGCAGAAAACCGCTTATGAAAAACAGAAACGAGTGCTTAGCCCTTACGAATGATCTCATGCCGTTTTTGTCACTCTGTGGGCTATGATAGTGTAGTGCGATGTTGAATCTACAATGAGCTGCTCAACATGGCTTATTGGCACTACTGTCACCAAGAAAGCGGTCGCAGATACCATCAAGTGCACCGGCGGTGGAGCAATGGTGCGTTCGTCTTTCCCATCTTGCGAATTTTGCTTGTAGACCTCGAAGGGGGATCGAAAAACTATCCGATAGTTGATGAAGCACTTGGTGGAGCAGACATAATATCGCTAATTCCGCACCGCTTTAGGCCTCTGAAGACTGCGAGTAGTCGAAGCGTTAGGCCATTGATGTAATAAAGAGCTTCACTAAAGTTGGCAAAACAATACTGACAACACTATCTCATAATTGTTTTTTCTTGGCAATATACGAGAAATCGCAGTACTTCTCAATTTCACAGTGCGCACTGAATTACTCTAAGTTTCAAAATTTTAAAATTTGAAGCGAAAAACGCTTTTTACATTGTATGGTCAGTGGTGTAGGGTAGCGTGTGTTAAGGCCTTACTACTTCAAAGATTTTGCAATGTTTGTGCACTAAGGGTTATTTATTTATTGAATGCACAAAAAGTGCGCCCATCATAAAAAGCAGAAAACCAATTAATAGTCAGTAAGAAAAAAAGAAAAATGAAACACTAAATCTGGACAAAAACTTGAAAGCAGTACTGGTAAAGAAACTCAAGCAACACTCATACAGGTACGTATGAGAAGAATGATACCACCAACCAAACAAAGGATGATATAGAGATTATAGCATCCAAAATTGGCTACCTTAGTTGATCTTATATCGTCGGTTAGTGAAACTGCCAGATGCCACTGTGTTTTTGATCATGAGCCATGAAAATAGGCTTATAATAGTATCTACATAGAAGGCACTCATTGAGTAGGTGGTAAAGTTGAGACGGACTGAAAGGCATAACTATACCATGGCAGTATACCATGTTATGCGAGTTTTCCGAAACTCGAGAATTTCGAAAAATTATTCAGCTAAAAAAGAATATCTGAAAAAGAAGAAAGACTGCTCCACTTGACAAAAAGTTTGCCATACTAGGCCGCCATCAAAATTTCGCCAGAAGTCTCACATAAAATTTTTGAAAATCAGCGAAATTTGGATATGGTGAAAGGGAAAGTTTGTAAATTCCAACAGATATCTCAGCACTCTGTCAAAGAACCACACTTTGAATATAGAAGCTGGAAACGGATGAAATTCTACATTGGATACATGAGGTGTTTATCTTTATTCTGCCTCATTTGCCGGTGGATTCAAAAAATTGACAAAACTTTTGCACCGACCTGATATTTGGATACTCTTTCAAGCGGTCTGCAAGATTTTGAAAATAAAACAATATATAAAAGGAAAAACGGAGCTTATTATAAAATTTAATAGTTTCGATATGTCACTTCATTTTCTAAAGCAGCATACGAGAATTCACTGATTGAAAGCCTTTTCTTTCCTCCACGTCCACTCCCCCCCCCCCCCTCCTCCCACCCTCCCACTCCCCCACCCCGACCCCTATCCATAGCCAAAAAATATCGGAAACTTGATTCAAAAAATGCAACATTTTGAGGGCCGCGTATACTTCACGCGATTTCAATCCACCGCGATTTGGCGATATTCCAACTGTCCATAACTCACTGTAAGCACAACTTGGATATACAGAAAATAGAGCATTTTATCAATCCGCGTAAGTTAAACACAATATTTATATGTAGTTTGTCAGCGTTGGATCTGAAGATTTCTAGCGAATTGCCAAACCGCGTTGCGACTGAAATCGCATGAAGTATGCCCGGCTCTTTACACAAATCACCGTTTCTGTTTAGTTTTCTAGCACCTCAAATAAGTCGCGAGAGAAGCTTACTTGGTTCTAGGGGCTTGTTTTTTTCCACCACACAAAAGTCGAACTATTTTGTCCAAGGTTGCTACGAAAGCGTGGCAAGCACATTCTTCATTCAGCAGCAAATTCAAGTGGGTTGCAGAAAAAATGGAAAGTGCACTTGAGTGTAGTACGTTTTTAAAAGGGAGAGTGGGAAGTCTTCACGAGGTTGAAAATTGACTGCCGTATTTGGAAAGTGCTTTTTTTCAGGCGCGGCAGGGGATGAAAAGGAATAGTAGTGTTTGCTGTGCATGTTTGCAATGAAAGGATAATATAGGTATGTAAACATGCCACAATTACTGCCGCAATACGAATGCTGCGCAAGAAATTTTCTGAATAATGTATTTTGAAAAAGAAGGAAGAAGAAATATGAGAGAATAGGGATTGGCACAGATTTTTCAAAGAGTCTTTCACCGTTTTGTAAAAAGGGGAAATCAATTAAACATGGATTAGCAGCTAAATGGTAGTAATTACTAGAAAAATCTTTTCAAATCGCTGACGAAAAGAAAAATAGTAAAGTTGCTCGTTTATAATGAAAAAATAATGTACATAAGTAAAAATAACACAAGAACTATTACCTCAACGCGAATGCTGCACAGCAATTTTTTTACATATGATGTAACTTTCAGAAAACGAGGAAAATAACGGAGAACATGGATTGGCACAGATTTTTCTTAGACTTTTTCTAACATTTTGTAAAAAAAAAGGAAAATGTAATAAACTTGGATCAGCAGCTAATAATAAGTGATAGTAATTATCAAAAAATCTTTTTCAATTTGCTGACGAATATATGGGCCACCATTGACCCGCGGCACTTTTGCAAAAATTTTTGCTTACTTCTCCGAAACTTTCGCCACACAACTCATGTACTCAATTTTAGCTACGGTCTTTTCGAGAAACCATAAAGCATCCTGTAAAAACTATGAAGCATCCGTTTTCATGCCCGTAATTTGTCGCGATTGTGCAAAATTTCGTCATCACAAGGTTACTTGACGTACAGTCTGTGTCAATCACGCCTCCCTTTTCCGTAAGTGTAATCACGCGCCACGTTCGCGCGAGCATGGTTGCACATTCAAATTGGACTCATCGATTGCAGGTCCGCACGCAACGCCCCTGCGCAGCGCATGCGTATTTCTCACACGAAAATGAGTACGTAATTGACACTGATTGCAGCTTTTTCGAATAATGGTAACTTTAAAAGGTTTTTTCGTCGAAGTATTTCACCCCCATTTCAATATTTTTCGTAAATGGGGAAAAATCGGAGGCTTTTTCGGAGAATGAATGAGGTTAGTGTCCGTTACTAGTTTTTTGATTCAAGTCCGCGATATCGTTTACGAAAAATTCCGCTACAAAATTAAATCCTCCCCCGTTATTGTTCACTCACTGCATTTGCTGGACGTACAGTTATTATGTCTAGTGTGGCATTTCAAAACTAGATAATTCTCTCCCCTCATCCGTACGTTCAGCCATAATAACTACAGGTGTCCAGCAGCGGTCAGTCAGGCGCATCGATTCCAGAGACAAGTTTTTCGCGAAGAGCGGAGAAATTTTCCGCTTTCATGCTTTTGTCCGAAAGCAGACGAACCTTTTTTGTCGGCTTATCGTAGATCTCCTGCTGATGTTGATGGTCAGCTTTTTTCGACGGACGATATTCGTCGATTAGACGTCCATGTGCTGAAGTGTCTCGACGTTCTTTTGTTTTTAGGCGTTTACGAATCGAATTACGAATCTCGCGCATTGCCTGAATCAACATGGAATTTGATGGATTTCAAGGACAAGATGGGAAGACAAAAAGAAAATGTACAGTCTAGTAAATATGTCGGTCAAACAGTGCACTTGCGGTGAGGACAACATTTGCGCGTAAACAATTGCTGTTGATGATTTCTGGATCATCAACCATTGATGAACTCTATAATCTGTATAGCCTACGGGATCCCCGTAGGCTAAATGGTGAGCTACTCACTCTCGAGTATCTAATCACTCAAGAGTGAGTGGTACCTGTGCGCCAGGAGTGTAGCCAATCGGCGGCATCTCCTTTTAAGCACCAACTCGTATACTTTGTACCTTGTATTCGGTTTGGCTCCGCCTTTCTTCCTATATAAGGAGCCTCCGAATGTATTAGAGGTTCCACCCCGGTCCACACCGGGACACCTCGATGATCGCTCTCAACTAATCTACGCCAGTGTGAATAAACCTATTCCACAACTACTCGTCTACCCTATCACTTGGTACACACCAAATTGGTGCATCGTCCAGTGAACTTCCTTGCATTTCCCCTCGGAAATCGAGGCCTACAAGACCCGCGTGGCAGGACACTGAATATTGAACCTCTCGTTGCGCGCTCTTTTCGTAAGAGACCCGAGAGTAGTAAAAAAAAACAGTTGTTGAGCAACACCACTGAATATTGACACCCTCGTTGCGCGCTCTTTTCGTAAGAGACCCGAGGGCTAAAGAAAACAGCTGGTTCCACAACTCCACTGCAAATTGAACCCCTTTCGCGAGCTCTTTTCGTAAGAGACCAGAGGGTAGTAAAAGACCAGCTGGCAGGTAACACTACTGAATATTGAACCTCTCGTTGCGCGCTCTTTTCGTAAGAGACCCGAGAGTAGTAAAGAAAACAGTCGGTGCAACAACTCCACTGCAAATTGAACCCCTTTCGCGAGCTCTTTTCGTAAGAGACCAGAGGGTAGTAAAGGACCAGTTGGTAGTAGCTAAACACTTAATTTCTGAAAACTTCCCTTGCGCGCTCTTTTCGTAAGAGACCAGGGAGTGGAAAGAATTTTGTGCAGCAAACACCACCACAATTTGTGAAACTCTTTTCGCGCGTCCTTTTCGTAAGGAACCAGAGAGTGAATCAGTTTGTGTGTGCACTTCCAATCTCACTAATCTCTTCGCGAGTCCTGCAAAGGAACCAGAGTTAGAAAAAAGAGATTTCAACGGAAGAAAGAACAAGTCAAGAACCAAAAAATCTTACTTGTTAAGCTTCGAAGTTCCACCAAGAACTCAAGCTCTCAATCCTCACGGTACAGGTTCAACACACCTTACCGTCCAGCACAGCGTTCAAGCCAACAAGGCACGCTTGCTGACAGCTAATAAAAGCTCGGCACCCAATTGCCAGCTCACTAGAAGGCTTCCTTGCACCCATTAAGGACACCTATCATAAGAGGCCAGCCTTGCTGTCGTCCTCAATCCAAAGTCTACAACGAGGATACACATCTCACGTTGCGACGCTCGCAACCAGCACTCAACGGACGCACCGAACACAACTTTGTGCGATACAAAAATGGCAGCGCTCCAAATTTTCAAATCGAAAATCAACAATGCCTGCGCACTTGTGAAGTCATACGAGTCGGAAGTGGATAAAATTGACGCACCATTCACTTTTCCTGTGGACAAGACTGAATGCGAGACATATATCAAAAGGAAAATGGGAGAAATCACGCACTTGCTCAACTCTCTGCAAAATGCTGTCAAACTTCAAGACACTCAAGTGAATGCCGCAATTGAATACATCGGCTCAAGAAACGAGGAACAAGAAAGAGAAAAGCTGATGACTGAGCTCAGCAAACACCTTGAGTTGAACTCTCTTCATCTGGAGGTCATGGCAGTACAGTGGCAGAACAGAATCCAGTTCCGACAACATGAACTCAAGGAACAAAGTGCGCTTGTGCACTGCAATACTCCAAGCATACCGAGTCAGCCAAGTAGTGAAGTCGGGCAAGCTGGAACTCCGGAACGCAACGAAAGACAGATCAAGATTCGGAAGCCCATGCTTGAAATTCCCACGTTCTCAGGCAACTTCCGGGAGTTCAACAGTTTCTGGACAGTATTCGAATCTCTCATCCACAATGACGAGGAGTTATCCGACACGGACAAATTCCTGTTTCTGAAACAAGCTCTAAAGGGAAAAGCAGCAGCCACTCTAAGCTGCATCCCCGTTGTTGGGGAAAAATATGAGACAGCGATAGAAATCGTAAAAAAGCATTTCGATCGCTCGGCCAACATGGCAGACATACTTATAAATGAGATCGAAAAGCTTTCAGGGGCGGCTGATAATCCGAAGAGTTGCCGAGATACTTTTGAAGCAATCAACTCCCGGATCATCCATTTGGAACAAACAGGCATGAAGCTGAACGCAGACCGAGTTTGGCGTCGGATAATCTTCTCCAAATTTCCCGAATCCATTTGTACGACCGCCATCCAAAAAGAAGCGATACAAGATGATCCCTTTGATGTTGGCGAAATCCTAAATGCTATCGATGGCATTATTTCACTGCGGGAAACCACTTCGCTTACAACGGAAACTCTTTTCCCAACCAGTCATCGCCAGGACACTCAACAAAATGGAAGAAGCAACAGAACAAGATGGGGAGAAGAGAATCACTTTTTGAAACCAAGACGTCTGTGTTTATGTGAGCAGTCACATTCGCCCTATACCTGCCAAAGATACACCACCCCGGAAGCACGACGCCTAGAAGCAAGAAATCAAAGAGTATGCTGGAGGTGTTTTGCCAAGAATCACACTTCGAAGAACTGCACAATTATGGGAGTGTGCCCTAAATGCAAAGATTCACACCATGGATCTCTCTGCCTCTCAGATGCAAAGAAGCAAGACAACGGGTATCTTTCAGTCTCACGTCGACCTGCAAATATGGATCGGCAACCAACGCTACCAAATCGACCACCGCAACCCTCCAGTCAACGCAACCGACCTAAGACGAACGAAGTACGAGCCGCACAAAACTCACAAAATGGACGTGAAATCTCTGTTGTGGACAAAGCCCCACTCCTTCACAACCAGTGCGTACTTCAAATTGCAACAGCGATGATTTTCAACGAAGCAGAGTGGGATTATCAACCAACTTCTATACTCCTTGACTCCGGAGCACAACGAAGCTTCATCAGATCAGGACTCTGTGAAGAACTCAAGCTTCCAGTCCTTCAAACTACTTTGTTCACTACGTCTGGAATGGGCGAACACCAAGAGCAATTCAACTCATCTGAAGTGCACATCACCTTGAAGAGTCTTCACAGCTCCGAGAAGCTCAAGAAGTTGTCATTGCATACAAAGCAGAAGCTGACTACCGATATGCAGACGGCAAGCCTCACGGAGGCAGACTTGCGTTTCATCGAAGACGGAAAGCTGATGATTGCTCAGGATACGCTCTCTCACAAAAGCCTTCTACCGGACCTGATCATCGGGCAAGACCTCATAAATCTTGTCATCCTTCGAAATGAGAGAGTGCTCACGCTCCCCTCCGGGCTCATTTTGACCCCAACAATCTTCGGTTACGTCATATCAGGAACAAATCGCACCGCCATTACAGCAAAATCCATTGGTACCTTCGGCTGCATATCAACGCCACAGGAAACATCTCCGCCAACAAAACTACAACAATTCCCTTCATCTAAAGGAAGGCAACCCAGAAAGATGGGGCAGACGCTCAGAGCTTTCATCTTCCGTGAAGCTCAAGCAGACAGACAACGTTGGCTGAACACAATCCGTTCCCTTTCAAACTCTTCCGATGGCTCTGCGATGATGTCGAATGGAATGACCACCACCTCGTCGTATCTTAGGAAGCAAGCAGAGACAATGATGACTAAGGGCAGACATTACAGAAGTTCACGCTTTATCAAAACGGCGCCTACCGAGAAGATGACCGTCAATAATGCTTCTACTATCAATTCAAAATCAATGACGAAGAAGAAAAGGCGACGACGACGAGCAATGCCAAAACGAAATTCGCCTCCATCAACCACCTCAACTGATCATCCCATTGTGCATATATTGTGAATTGAATTAATTTTGTGTGAATGTTAACATTATTTGCAGCTCTTATTCAAGATCGCTATTCTGTATACATAATGCTCACTAACTTACTAGTCAACCTCACATGTGTCCACACTCATCAAGATCTTACCAGATCTCACTTTCCTCTCGCTCGCCCGGAGTGTTGATGATTTCTGGATCATCAACCATTGATGAACTCTATAATCTGTATAGCCTACGGGATCCCCGTAGGCTAAATGGTGAGCTACTCACTCTCGAGTATCTAATCACTCAAGAGTGAGTGGTACCTGTGCGCCAGGAGTGTAGCCAATCGGCGGCATCTCCTTTTAAGCACCAACTCGTATACTTTGTACCTTGTATTCGGTTTGGCTCCGCCTTTCTTCCTATATAAGGAGCCTCCGAATGTATTAGAGGTTCCACCCCGGTCCACACCGGGACACCTCGATGATCGCTCTCAACTAATCTACGCCAGTGTGAATAAACCTATTCCACAACTACTCGTCTACCCTATCACTTGGTACACACCAAAATTGCCATCTCAATTCCGAAGAGTTTCAAAGACAAAATAGGAAGACAAGAACAAAAAATGCACAGTGTCGTCACTAAGACGATGATGGAGTGCTCCTACGGTGAAGACAACATTTGCGTGTAAACAATTGCCATGCTTGCGTGCCGACAGTTTGCTTGCGACTTGCGCGTAAGAAATAGGCTAGAGCGGATATCGCTAGTTGCTGCATCTATAGTTGCCCATTTGCTAACGTCATGCCATCCTCCACGTGCACGCGCCCTGTATCTATTGATCGATGTGGGCACGGCGTTAGTACGACGCTGACACGAAAAATTCTGGACGCAGGCTATTTACGCGCAAATGTTGTCGGCAGTGCAAGAACACTACATTCAAAAACTTAGGAAATTTGCTATTTTTTTACATTATTAATCTACAATAGGAAGATAAAACCTACATCATCCACATCCACAGCCGTGGCCGAATAAATATTGCAGAATTTCCACAAATTTATATATTCTTCCTTCTTGTCATCGATTTTGTTCAGATGTTTCGCACATTTCATCCGTGCCTTACTCAGGCCTTCCAATTTTTTCACCGGTAAATCGACCCTGAAAACGATCGATGTAGACAGGTTTTCAAGCGAAAGTAACATGAATATCTGATCTCCGACGTTCCCCCGTGCTCATGAGGAGTGAAAGTCGCGCTCAAACGCTGATGTTTATCTATGTTGTTCTCAAGCATTGTTCGTATACCTAAGCGCTGTCCCCCGATTGCGCCCTAAAGTTCATAAAAACAAGGAAGAGACGAGCGTGACACGGGACAGCCTCGTTATGGAATGGAAGATGGGAAGTGTTTGCATTTGCGAAAATAAAGTTTACAAAAATCACAAAAAAAAGAACAGATGAGATAATCTTTTGAAATTGAGGACATTGTCATCATTGATGGTGTAAAACTTGGTATGAAATACAAGTGGCAAAAAGTTTCGTTAGAGAATTAGAGAAAAAAGTGCCATAAAATTATTGTTATTTATAATCGCGTTTCAAAATTCGAGGAAAGTGTTAACAAAGTTGAATGTAATTATTTCGTACTTTTTTTCAATGAAAAATCTTTAGTCCAAAAAATCTTTTCTTTTTGTCAGTCCACATAATCGCATTCCAAATCTGAGAAAAGTATCATTAAAGTTAAATGTGATTCATAATTTTTCAAAGAAAATTCTCTCGCTCTTTCAAAATAACTAATTTTCAATTGCGAATTGTGATATCAATTCTGCATTTGCACTTAATTTTCATATGTTTATTGGAATTATCGAGCAAATCACTGATCAGTAAGTTAAAAGTGACATTCAGTGTATAACTATTGGGTTTACTTTTCAGGATGAGCAGCACTGATATATTAAACGGCTGCATAGTGCCGCTACAGTGCTGACAACCCTTGCGCGTTAAAAGTGGCTATAGAGCGCACTTTGTTGTTGATACCGTAACGGAAGTACACGCAGAATATCCACTAGACTATGTGTTCATTTTTTTGTTTTTCAATGAAAAAAACTAACCTTCCATCTTTTATTGTTAGTAACTACAATGCAACAGTGCATGGACCTAATATGTGAGGATGCAGAAAATGCGCGCCACCCCTGGCTTATTCATGCGAAAATCAATATAAGATGTTTCAATAGAGCAAGATATTGAGGAGTAATTTTTACAATCATCTGTAACCTCAATGCAATAAGACGAGACAACGAAATATTTCTGCGACAGCTTGTAAGCAGTCGTAAAACACCGCGCGCGTTGTGCAATCACACAGTGGCTCACAAATAACTAAATGTGACATACCAGGAAAACGAAGGTATGAGCAGTAAAAAATTCTATTTTCTTTTCTTTTCCAAGATGCTACCAGAAAAAGTTGCTATGAATCACTAGATATTTAGAACATGATTTGAGCTTATTATTTTCAAAACTTTCCTAACCAAGATTTTTCCTCAAAATTCTGCAGCTTTTTTTGCAAGGCATACCATTAGATTCGTGATGCCCCATTGTACGCATAAGTTTTTGGTTCATCCATCTTCCGCATCACTCAACACGCAATAAAACTTTCTCAAAACTGAAAGCTTTCTAATGCGAACTGATGCGTTGCAGCAGCTTTTGCATACTATCGCATTAGAGTTGTACTTTTGAGCTGAAAACTAGTTCTCAATTACGAAATAGAAGGGAGCGCGCAGTTTAGGATTAGGTAAGGAGTATATGAAGCGCTAATGCTATGTTTGGAATCTCTTATAAAATATTTTATCAAAAATGCAAACAGATTCTTTATTTCAAAGTTTAAGAGAGTTGCCACAGTGAGAACCTGCTTTTGATGAGTTTTAAAAAGAAGTCTGGACATGAGCTTGCTTGGTTTGTATACATTAAGAATCTTTGCATCATTTTTAATGTAAATACGCTTTGGCTTGTCAGCAATTCATGTAAACCATAAAACGTAAAGCACATTACGAAAAATTAACGATTCTAGTTTTACAGCAACTCAGTCGAAAATCTAAGCGATTATGGAATAATTGTTGAAATACGAATCATCATACTGCGCGCGTAACTCTAGGGAATTCGAAAAATTGTATTTTTTGGAGTAACAAGAAAGCTCTAAAATTCTTTCACTTCTCTCTGGTACGGACCAAAATATGAATAAGTCTGAAAATAATCACAGAATGGCACTATATTTCATCTATAAGAGAAAATGATAGAAAAAATGTTCCTATGCATTTTTCATTTCCATCTGGACTATTTCGGACCTTGATAAATTTCTATGTCTTTGAACTATTGAAAATGTTTTGGCAACCATGCAAGGAATGCAAAAGATAAACATAAAGATGATATTTAAAAAAATTAAATATGCTTTGTGAGTTTTCACAATACCACAAATGCAACACAGAAAATTCTACAAGCAAATTAGGGTTTATAAGGTAATTAGGGTTTGATTAGGGTTTTGCTTCATTCGAGATACTCTCTTTGCCTCATGTAGGTAAAATTACTCGTCAAGTTCAAAACATCTACTGCGACTACACTACAATTACAGATGTTACGGTGCTGATCCAGCATGAACAAGCAGCCGATTGGGCTAAACAGAAAGAGCATGTTATGATGAACTACTTTACTGAATTTTGGCAGACTGTGTGATTGAGTACACTAAGGTAATGAAACCTTAAAAATCAATTTTTTTTTTCAAAAAAGAATAGCGACAATCGTATTTTTTTAAATTTTAGTTTACCCAGCTCTTTTTACAAGCAATGAAACTTGTCCCTATTTTGGGTTGATGCAGAATTCATGCACAAAAAATAAAAACTTATTTTAAAGATGTTTAAACAAGTAATTGATTTATATGGTATGCTCTTTGTCATGTATAACAAAAGTAGTAATTTAACAGTTCAGAAAACCAGTATGAAACAAAATCAATAAGTTGACCTGACAAAATCGATTTTCATAACTATTCCTAGAGAATCACTGTTTTATCATTTCCAACTTTTCTAAGTCAAAAAAAGTAAGTCATAAAAACAAGACCAAAAATAAATTTGAATTTTAGCGGATGTTTCAGCAATTTTAGCAGCCAGAAATCGAAAAATAATTTTCTGAGTATTTTCATAAACAGCTTATATAGTCGCCATATGCCCTCAAGGAATTTTAACTCTTCTGAAAGAACTCTAAAAGCGACACCTTTTAAAAGCGCAAGGTTTTCTCCGTCCAATATCTATCAAATCAGAAAATTTTATTGAAGTTAAAAAAAGTAATAAAATTTCTGAAAATTTTTGTTCAAGAATTATGCATCGATCTTATATTTTCCTTACTGGTGTTTCCCACGAAGGAAGTAGCCTCAGACGACCTTCTGAGACATCCCCCCCCCCTAATCCGATCAGCGTGAAGATAGCAAATATGTGCTTTTGGACAGCTCATGACGAGGCGTGGCGCGCGCCACCCGCGCATCAATCATCGCCGGAGCAATTTGGCGCATCAGATGGCAGAGCCGTGCATTGTTTGACGACGTCTGTTCGCGCCAGTTAAATTTTTTCCCTTTCGATAACACTTGAGATGAATAGTGAATAGAACGCTAATAACAGACATGCAGGCGCTCCCGGGACAACTGGCACTTTCCCACCATAGCATCAGCCAGCGCTTATATGACAGATGACCACTGTCACAATCTGTTGCGATATCCAACTGGGGAACGCAACCTTGAAGTTGATGAGTATGGGATAAATTCGTTAGCGATTTTCGCTGGGAACAACTTTTTGATGTCATCTGGCGTGTTGTCCTTGAAAATTACGAGCGGTGAGGTATGGATCGCCAAGTTTTTCTCTTTTATGCAATTACCATGGAGGAGGGTCAACTGGTAATTGAACTCAGCGCCGAAAAAGATGACAGATTTTGATTGGCAGCGGCTGTTGACAGGCAAGAGATGCATGAAATGAGGTCAAACAAGGGTTTGCAGAAGTTTTTCGAAGCAAAAAAGAGGCTTGGCAGAATTTTGACCCTCAAATATTCAAAAAAAGAAAAACTCCCAAAAAGGCAGCTAATACTTGATGATGTCATTGCTCTGCTAGTCCCTACCGTAATCTTACCGTAACAAGTTTCAAGCTTCAAGTACTGGGTTGTTTATTTTTGTGGGCGGAGCTTGCGGTCATTAGGAGCGGAGTTCGCATTTAAAAGTACGTAATTTTTTTTACGTTTTCATGATGTTTTTGAGGTAACGCATACTAAGAAGCATAAAGCGATTGCATTTCTATACGTATTTAGCATTTTTATATGCAAGTGGCGGAGTTCACAGTTGTCAGGGGTGGGATCCGCCACTGCACTCAATTCCCTTCCTTCCTTCCTTTTGACTGAAATTCCATGAGTATTATGCATCTTGGGACGTACTCAATTTTATTATGAAGGAATGGGACGGGCATAGATAAAACTTGCAGGAAACGTTTAGGAAACCCTCTTTCTAATTTTTGCTTCCCTTTTTTTACGTGGACACAACAACCTAAATGTTTGACCATAGCCACGAAAGATTTTTTTTCACTATTGGTGGTATTTTAAATACCAGGACTAGTAAGACTGGCAACCACACCGGAATGTTTCTGGAATGCAAAGCAATTTTGAAAAATTCCTTTTCGACTAAAAAAAGTGGTAAGCCATTTTCTTCTCAGAAAAGCAGACACAAACTGGTATAAGCTATAAACGGATTTTTGGGATAATTTGGTGGAACATATCGTGGAACTAGTTTGACCCTGACCTGAAGGTAAGGCTACCGTAAATTACCTTACCATGACCGCTTATTAAGTACACGCTAGCTATCTTTTTATACTTTTTGTGAATGTGAATGTTTTCACACAGTAGAGTGGGACCTAATGTACATGTGATAAACGAAGTGATTCATTATTTTCAAGCATTCCTGCTGCATTGTTCCTAAAGGCTACGGTAGGTATACGGTAAGATGGTCGATGCAGTAACAGCCTAGCCTAGTAACTGCATTACACAATCTTATTGTCCCGAAACTTCGATATGGAAAATCCACAAACGGTCCTTTACACTGCAAGGTCTCGAAATGTCCCAAAAAAGTCCCAATCAATCATCTTGTACTTCCTATCCTTTCCTTTCACCTTTCATCCGCTTAAGAGATAAGCAACAAAGTATTGCAAAATTGCGGTCACAATTTTTTCTTTTCGGGCGGGAGGGGGGGGAGGGAGCTAGAGACGAAAAAGTAATTGGAATTTTGGGAAGGGGGCGTTCTGGAAAAAACTTTTCAAGAATTCTTTCTCTATCGGTAATTCATATTTCATAAAACTTGTGACCTTATTCTTATCACCAACAGACAGAAAGCAAATCGTGTGCACAATTTTGCCATTTTTGTAATTCACGTAGACTCTAAAAAATTTCGAGATCTTTGAGAAAAATTCCTCCTCGCTATGTGCGTCCTGGTAGACTTTCATAATAAACAGATTCTATCTTAATTTTTGCATTGATATTCAGAGGACCTTAGCTAGAAATAGAACACAGAACGACTTTTGGAAAAACTGCTCCTCATTGCGCCCGTTCAAGCAATCGCAGACTGGAATCTTCAAAAAATGATTACACAATTCCTCATATACTAGAGGAAATGTCAGAAACTTCTAGACTAGCTAGGATAACAAATTATACACTAAAACCTTCAGTAATGGCTTTGACGATCACATTGTAAAGGAATCAACTTATTACGTAAAACCCGAAGTATTGTAATATGACATCTACGTCATTGCCTTGAACTTTTGATTGTCAAGCAAAACATAGCAGAATTGCAATGGTCATGCCAAAATATGAGTAATCTCACAAAGAAAAGGTATTGATTTATGTGTATACTGTACCAAAAATGTTGCACGTTTCTAGGTTTTTGCGTAACTTCTCAGTCTTCTATGACGACCTAAATATCACGACAATGCGAAGTTAAGATACTGTTTGATTTTTACGATATTGATTTGAAAAATATTGATTCGTTAAAACAATGGATGAAATGGCGGGATTGTTCGGTAATGATCAATCATCCATTCTCATAGCTCACTTTTTTAGAATATGCTTACATCAGTCTACAACTACAACTAGATTCTCATCGATCATGGCCGAACAAGACTGGGATAGATTGAAAAAAAGTGGTAACTGTACGAATGAGGGGAAGCCAAGTTTTGGTTTTTTTACCGGATGGTCTGATCAAAAAACAAAAAAGGTTTCTTTCTATAGTACAGAATCAACACCAGTGGCTTTTAAAGGCATTATATAAAGGAAGGTAAAAAATATGACTTTCTATTACAAAGCATCTGTAATAGAAAAATAAGGGGTATTCTAAGTACATTAAATTTTCTAGGGCAGGATTTTAAATAATTAAATATTTTGCTATTTTTGATTGTTTGTTGTATAATGGGTGAAAATAAAAATTTTAACTTATTAATATTAACAGCAATTCCATGTCTATCAACTAGCATGTAATGGCAAACAACTGGCTAAAAAGCAAAAAATATCTAAGTATGAAGAATTGGCATATTTTTGGATGGTGAGAAGGTTCAAATTTTTGCAACAAAAATTATGCGAAAATTTTTCTTCTCAAAACGCTTGAATTTTAGAACGGGTCTCTAAAATCTTTGATTCGTGTTATTTTTTGTTATGTTAAAAGCTTTTGAGCAAATCTGAAATTCTATAAAAATCGAAATGATTACTAATCTTAATCACAAACAAGTTCTTTTCTATTTGCAAGGTTAATAGTCGGTAGTTCTTCTTTCTTGCGTTTTGTCGCCATATACCAAAAATGGTCGTCGCGATAAGAAAAGTTTGCAAAAAGTTTTTTTTCTCCGCACCACGCAAACAAAAACAGCGATTTCTTCAAAGGTGCAAAGTTTTCATTCCAATCTAATATTTGTTTAGGAACATTTTGTTCCAACTAGTAATCTGGTAAGCTTCCTTGATTGGTAAAAGGTTCATGGTAACTTCTATCACACATCAGTTAAATCGCTATTGTGAGCAAAATCATAAAACTGAGTTTCAAAACCACAAGGGTAAAGATAAATTACCTTGTTCATTCACCGAGTACCTGTTCTTTCTAGTCCTGCAGAAGCCCTTTCAGTTGTTCTCTTTGTGGTTTTGATTGCATCATATATATCATACGTTATTGCGTATTATAATATTTTGTTACTAGAAATGTGATAAATAATAAGTAGAAGAAGCTTGATGCCTGCAGCTTAGATGTAAATAATATTATTCTTATTTTCCTTAGAGTATATGCTTATTATGTCTATGCAACCTAGCAGCGTAAATGGGTAGTAAAGCAACCCCATCATATCATATAACTACTTATCATAAATGTCTGAATGACTCTATCATTATGCCATCTTTCCGAGTGAGTGTGATAAATGTCCCATAAAACCGACTTCCCATCTTCTTCTGATTCCCATTTCCCTTTACGGTGAAGAGTTCAAAAGGCTCGAAAAACTCGCTCGTAAATCGATTCAAAGACACGGTGTGGTGATGAGTCAAAAGAGGAGTCGTTGAAAGCAGTTCTTATCTACAGCTGTACGGCACTTCTCCCCTCTTTCGCCCCGATAATCGCAGCACAATCTACGGGGCAAAAGTGACGTGGGGGGGGGGGGGGGGAGAAAGCGGGATGAACGGTTGGGAAGTCCCATGACTATAGACAAACAGATTAGCACCTTATACAGATGAGTAGTTGTTTAGGAGGGAGTCCGAGTAAAACCAAAAATGTGAATACAGCGAGACTTTACCTGGAGTTGATGAAACAGAGAATAAGTTCGTGAATTTCTCGACCATATTTTTCTTCGGTTTTCGCTCTGAAAATGATTTTTAAAAATTCAGAAAGTGCATATGGCAGAAATCTTATTGTTAGAGCACAAAAATTTTGACTTTTTATTTCTCACCAAATTTTTCAAAAATTTTCAGAAAAAGATAAATCTATTATTTCAACTTTTTAAATTATGGTTATGCTGAATTTTGACCGCGTATGGAAACCTTCAAAAACTTTAAAAATAGGAAAAATAGCAAAATTAATGTAAAAATCATGAGAAATAATAAACAACTAAAATGATAGATAAAGCTTGAAAATAAGAATAAAAGCGCAAAATTTATGATGAATTATTCTCTGAATTCACCACAACCTAAATTCGAGCAAAAAACCCTGTTTCAGACATGTCTTAACTCCGCTACCCTTTCCTCTCCACTGTTGTTCATCAGTTTCATTCTTGCGTGTCATAGTGTTCAAACAGCTGATAAGCCTTTGCACTGATATTTTGATTGCCCAGTTTTCAGAAGAAGAAAAAAAATTCTAAAATTTTTCTTGCCCAATTTCCTGCTGCAAAGGCGTCGATAAGGCTACATTTGTCACTTTTTGTAAAAGTGAGAAATTCTGCAATTTTTTGACATTTTCACCATAAAATTGCTATTTCAAGCAAGCGTTCTATTGATTCAATACGAAAACTCTGAGGAAAAAATGGACTCTCAAAAAAACGTTAATACGTAGGAACTTGCAAAACTAGTTGCTGAATAAAAAGTGAGAAGGAAATTGGAAGAAAATGTTAATGGCTGGTGTGTAATCAAATACAAGCATTATGATTTGGGAAGAAATACGAAAAGAAAATAAGGAAAAGGGAAGGAATTTGTCTTCAATGGGACAGCGCTAATGGACGTTTTTCGAGAGCAATGGCAAAAAAGGTGGAAATGGATTGAGAATGAAATACCGTGCAATGCGAGTATTTTTACCTTAAATATGTCCTGTGAAACGGGAATTTCATGAAGAATTTGAAGTATTGCAGAATGCAACTTTGAAGCATTTTTTGAGTTTTTTATTCTATAAGACGATAAATTTGACCTTAAAAATTTCGTGTTTTAAGTAATTTTTGTAGAAAAGATTGTTGCAATAGAAAATTTCTAAAAATGATTCTAAAAATGCCAAAAACGAACAGACGATTAGCGAATTCAGCGATGGAGTAGTTGTCGCCCTGTCCCATCGTCGTGGTCGACTGCTCTCGTATCGCCGCACGGCGCCGCCCATCGTCGAACGCCGACCGCGTCGGCGGCAGCGGCGGCGTCCGCGACCGCGGAAAGCGGAAGAACCTGGCTAAGGGCATGGCGGCCCTATTAGGGAGTCATCAGTATTGTTTTGGTTGGGGGGGGGGGTATACCGCGATTGAGTATAGACTTGGGTGATCTATTACCTAGGCTGGGTATATCCTGTTTTCTACCCAACCTGGGTAAATTTGGTAAACTCGCAGGTTAGGGCGGGCACATTCCCACGTGTTTTGTTGAAATTCGGTAAATTATGGGTACATTTGACAAAAACGTCTTTTTAGTCTCAAAACAACTCGTCTAGGCCAGTAGTGCGCAATTACTCACTCTACTTCTCCCCCCCCCCCCTCCCAATATCTTTACCCCCATCCTTCCTCTCGCACTTTAGTCCACCTTGACAACCCAAAATGTCGCTGAAACATTCAAATCTCCTGGAAATCCGTCTTCTTTTGTTTTCTGATGCTTGCACTTCTATTTTTGGGGCATCACCCTACTTTTTCGCCGTCCCCCCCCCCTTCCCAGGTTGCACTATCAGAAAAGCTTGCGTAAGATCCAGTTCATTCGTTCGCGTGCGCCCGCTGTCCGTTATGCGCGAAATCCCAAGCAATTCACTCCCGCGTTCCGAAGAACCCAATTTTCTCCCCCGTCATCGCCCCCGTCGTTACTTGCCTGGCGCGTTAACCTAGTTGATAATGCTGATGATCGTTAGAGTTTGTCTAACGAGAGACCTAGACCTAAAATAGAGTTTCGCGGTCAGGTGTAAACACTTCGCTCGCAGTTTGCAAGCAGTTTACTACCGGATTCCCTAAGCGCTCTCACCAACGACGAATTTGGGTCAACTATAATTCTCTTTCGCTTTACAAGGGGAACAAGTTTTTACGATGAAGCTACTTTTTGCAATGGACAGCAGCTTTCGAAGTGTTTTTTCTGTGGAGGATGTGAGAGTGTAGAATGTAATCAAGCATGAGGCAAAGAGAGGGGGGGGGGGGAGAAAAAAAGTGCAGAATTCGTTATGCTCTATTTCGCGATAGCGACTATTTGTGTAGTCACTGTTAGTAGAAATAAAAAGTTAAACATGGGAGTTGTGGGGGAGGGGGAGGAGTGGATAGGGAATGTTTAGGCAGAAAAAGTTGCTGTGATTGAACCCCTTGGCTTCTAGTTCCAGACTTTTCCTTGAAGGAGAATGACATAGGAAAGGAAGTGGGGAGGAAGGGGGGGGGGGGGGTAAAGGGGAAAAGATAGAAGAGAGCTAGTTGTACGATGCCTTATGTATGTTTCTTGGTACGCACTGAAGCACTAAATAGAATTTTTGATTTTTTAAATGAATTCTAACTCCCTTCTTTGAAAAGTGATTTTCATTTTCATACTACCATTTTCCAGAAGTTTTTTTCTTTTTTTGGTAATCAAACAATAAGGATGGAAATGTAAACATTTCACAAATGCTGTGCCGCGACCTCTCCTCCCCCCCCCCCCCCCGTAAAGATTGGGCCTCGAGATTTTTTAAGTTGGTCAAAAAAACTTATGAGATTATGCAAATAATCTGTTTTTTTTGTGAATATTATCAAATAAAAGAATCAATAGTTTTTCCAAATTCAAGTCATAACGTAGATAATTATATGACTAGTTAAATCATAATTAAAATTGTTCCATAATTTTTACAAAAAATTAATTAGCATTTTTCTTCAAGCAGAATTACATTTTCTCAAAAACTAGTGAACCATCATTCTCAAAGAGCCAAAGTTGCAGGCGCGATCGCTTCGGGACCCGCTCGGTTTCCCGCTATCTGATGATTTTTGAAGCACCCTACAATTCTTTATATTATTAGATATGGGCAACTGAAAATTTCAGAAGGGATTATACAGGTCTTCCTGCGCGAAAATAATTTGCTTTCCCAAGTTTCAGAAGAAAATCCTGGGATATATGATATCTGCACTATTTTTGTCTTTTGTTCAAAATTTCCTACTTTATTAATAATTTCATTTATTACTGTTAAATATTCAGGATAAAGAAGTAGAGTGAAGTGTTCATTATTTCTTTCTTAAGTGCAGCTTTTGTATAAGTTATATTTGACCTTCAGAATGTTTTTGTTTTCTAAATTTTATGTTCTCTAAAAGGAGACAAAAAGAATAATTTTACTATGTGCTCTTCGATACTTTGATAAAAACATTCCATTCTTGCGGTCCACTGCAGAATTTTCAGCACTCTTCGTCACCAATCTTGCGTCATTCAGCCCTGTATTGAGAAACTCCTCTGACAGTCGCGTCTCATACGTTTTTTGCTGTTATCTATCGCATTGTGCTGTCATGCATGTCGCTTCAGCCCCCTCCATTCCTGATACTGTCACCACAATAGCCTCCTAAAAAGCTGCACATGAACAAGTCCATTCAGATGAATAATAGCATTCTATGCGATGCGTTGCTATAATAATGTTGATAACGAGCGTAAAATTCTGAAATCCGAGAAATTAGTGCTCGGCGATGAGTCAGCGCGTAAAAAAGTGCAAACTTTACGCGAGATTGCGAGCGAACATACTATTTGTGGAACACAACAGCTGCCGTTAGTCAAACAAAATCTTTGGCCAACATACATTCTTTTGTGGACAGATGAAAATATGAAATGCATGGCGATGACCAAAGGAATCAAAAGATAGTATCATAGTAAGGAAAAGGGCATTTGATTTTCTAGCACGTTTATAAATACCATTGTTACTTCATGCACGCATTGTACAGTTGCAGCGGTAGAATTTGTTCAAAATTGCGGGATTGTCGGGATTCGCGGGATTCGCGAGATTCGCGACTTCACGGGATTTGCGGGATTCGCGGGATTTGCGAGATAAGCGGGATTTAGCTGTAACTTCTTCTAGAACAACTTTATATGAGATCTAGATAATCTAGACCACAAAAATTGTTGTTTCAAAGCCCGAAATTGTAAAAATTAGAATTTCATATCAAATTATCATGTCTTTATGTATAAAGATCTGATAGGCAGTTACGAGTGAATAGTGTCAAGTGTGAACAGCAAACTATTAGGTTGTCCCATAAGTCTTTTCATATTCTTTCATATTTGGACCTTCAATTCGATTTTTCTCAAGAAGTAGAGCACCTAGTAGGCAGCAAATTTGTGGCAGTAATTCTGAGTGGATAAGCTATATAATCAGCTATTTGCGAGCAACACAGAAGTGATACAGGCAAAGTTTAAAAAATTTTCTTGGTTTCTAGCCATCAGAAAAATGCAGCAAGGGCATGTATAAATTTCCGATGAGGAGAGTATATGTATGAGAAAGTGGGAAATTTGCAGAGTTATTTTGGACTAAGATATGATGATTTTCGTCTTCACAGAAATTTGAAATTTTTTTAATTGCTTGGAACTTGTTGCGAAATTTTGATCGGGAGCTTGTAGAGCTTGCTTTGATCTGTCGAACGGTACGCTGCATTTTATCAGGAGTTCAAGAGGAACTGATTTATCTCGCTGGAAAGTCAGGTATGAAAAGACTTACGAGACAACCTAATATCAATAATTTTCATTTAAGTCAATAAAGGTCTTCTTAGCAATCTGAGATTGGCGAAACATCTAACTTATTCAATGTTTATGTCAAAATTGGAGACTTTGGCAAATTTTTGATGAGTTTTCCTCTTATCACTCAGTGCCAGTGCCAGTGCCAGTTTACCTGCTAAAATAGATTAGAAATACCATCCAATGAGTATTATCCTTTTTATTTTCAGGCAACTTGTCCTCGATTTCTGGTAAAAAAAAGAGGTTTTCTGGCTCCATAGGTTCAAACTTCGCTCCTATCATAATCCCAAACTTGATAAATTCGTAACTGAAATGTCATGCGTACTATGCTTCCACTCAACTCCGTCAGAATTTTATATGTTCACAAAAATATTGAGCCCCAATTCAAGCTGAGCAAACACACGTTATTGTATAAGGCTCTGTTTCTGCAGCAAGTTTAAAATGGAATCACAGCTCGTTCTCATCGAATTTATAGGATGCCATTATTTGCATCTCTTCCCAGCGAGTTTATAGGATGCCATCATAACTTTAGTTTTGAGACTCAAACAGATTCAGTTTTTTTCAATCTGGTCACATCTGATCCAACTCACAAAAATAATAGATAAACATTGCTTTCTTTGGATACATTCAAATTACAATCAGGGCTGGGCACGAGGTAGCTTTCCGAAAATGCGAAAAACGGAATTTTTCTGACTTTACCAAAATTTTACGAAGTCCCCTTCGACCTTAACCCGTAATCCTAAAAAGCCTCCAAAAAAGCAAAACGTCGAGCAAAAAAAAAATACGTAGCAAATTTTGTGTCTTTTCGGCCACAAAAACGAAATCCTTTTGCTTTTTGTCCCAAAAACGATAACCAGATTGCTTATAAACCATCTTCGCCGACCCTGATTATAATATTCAACTACTGTCCTCAAAGCAAAAAGGTAAATAAAACAGCATAGAGAGATAGATCCAATAGTGCTCAGTTTAGGGTTTTACGAACACTACATAGGGCATTTTCTTGGAATTTTTCGGACCACATACAGGGTGTCCCAAAAAAATGTTTAGAACGTTTGATCGTTAATATTTCTCTTCCCAAGAAGTATTTTGCCTTGCTTCAGGTACCATTTTGTAGAGCTGGCTTCAACTTAGATTTCCATTATAGAACGAATCACCCATCTCTCTTCATTACTGTAGGGTTACGGTAGAAACTTGAAACATATGGTGTCAATGTGGAAAAAGCTGCCGTTTCAAAATTTTTCAAAAAATTGTGAAAACCTGTGTAATAGGGTTTTTATAGACGCTGAGTTTAATACTCAACTATTCACAAGATTACGAAGCTTTCTAAACGGTGTAACCGCACTTTTTGAGAACATTGAAAAAAAGGCCGCTACCTCTCACCTGGCATAACTCTTCAATGAAGCATCATAATAAGTTGGGAACTTTACAGTTATAATCAGCAATTCTGATTAGCC